TCTTTTATCGAAATAACTGCAGATATCCTATCCTATTAGAGTGGTGAGGTTTTTAGCGTGAGCAGTTTATAAGCACTGTGATTGGTCGTTCAATAGCTTGCAATTGTTTACTGGCGCGCAAATACGAGTGTTGCAGTAAGTTGAAAAAGTGGAATATGAATCTATCGACGGCTTAAGACCCTTCGTTTATCTTATTTTTCTATTTTAAATATTAAAAAATGGCAAAGTAGGGCAAGAAAGAAGAGAGCGCGCGCAGCGCGCTGAAAGTCGGGCTGGTATTCTAATCAATTACTGCAGTAATCACAAAATGAGTTTTTTGGAATTAATCCTGGTCACGATCGACAATAAGTGCAATATATTTCGATTCGATTCAATGTCTCATATAGACATTTATTAGGACTTCAATCTCGTTTGAGAATATGGAAAAAAAATTATTCTATAACACCTGGTTCAAAAAGTAATTTTCGAACCTTACAGAGCTTCCTCGTGGAGAAAGCAAAAACGACTCGATAATCACAAGCGCATACATAAGCGGGTTTATAACTTATACATTCAGTTATTCGGTCAGATATCGTATCTGAAAAATGCATTTTACATCTGCGCCTAATAATTCATGAATTGCTTTGAAAACTACTTGAATTTTAAATCAAACCGAAGTTTGGTCTGTGTATTATTTATCAACCAGGATAAATCCTTTCAAAATCGGTACTTGAGATTTGTCGCATTTTATTGAATCTTTTACGAATCCTATGCGTTGAATGCGTTGATAATTACCACAATTATACTTATGCCCCAAGCCGATACTCTAGAACTCGTGAGCTTAATCATTATTTTGCACAGTGTAAGAGTATATAATTTCAAGTCCGTTTTAATATGCATATTAAAACGTTACGCGTTCGATAAACCGGGAGAAATTTTCCACCCGACGCAAAAATTATGTTATTTATATTATTGAACGGGTGTGATGACGATTACAATTATACTTCGATCCTTGTTCGAATAATTAAAAAAGATGTAGATCGCCTTTTCGATCTGAAGTCCACGAATTTTAGAGAAACAAAAGAAAACTCTGCCTCTCTTCACTCCGCTGGGCCGATCCAGGTCTCATATTGTTTTTTCGTGCTGACCAGTCCACTTGGTTAGGTTTGAATAGAATAAAAAATTTTATCCGTAATTGGAAATGGGTCGAAATTCTCGTTCGCCGAGAAGAAGATCTAGCCGCAGCAGGACTAGGAGTCGTTCGCGTTACAGCGGTAGAAGCAGCAGTCGCCGCAGCTATCGCTATGAGAGTGAGGAAAGGAGCAGAGAGCGAGATCGTCATCGTCGCCGCCGTCGTCATCGCAGTCGCAGTCGCAGTAGCAGTCGCGGTTATTATGATTATGATAGAGATAACCGTCGTGAGTCTTATGATAATTACAGTCGTCGTCGCGAGAAAAGGACCGTGGATATACGGAGTCGATCTCGTTCGAGGTCAGAGAGTGAGGTGTCTTATACTCCTCCGAGACGAAGCTCTAAGCGTGTCAAAAACGCGTTAATAGAGGATACAAATAGCGAGAAGGAACAGTCAAAGACTGACTCTTCCGATAAGCCTGTGGAAGGTGCTGTTTTTTCGCACAACGTAACTCATCCGAGAGGTGAGATGATTGTCGCAGTATAACCTGTCGACTTTGTCCATGAGGCAAAGCAAGCACAGAGTAAAGTCTTTATTCGATGCGCAGTTGCCGCTACGCCACCACCGGTGACATTACGCCCATCAGCTGCGGGGGATCCAAGCTCGACGCTTCAGTCATCGTCAAAAGCGAGCGATGCGGTAACTGCTGATGGAAAGGACGATTCGGATGTGGTGATTCTTGATGAGATAGCTGCTCGAGTCCTCGGTGATGATCCTAGCCAACCTCAGCAACAGAAGAACAACGTTCATCCGCAACTCATAGTAAGATGGTGTACATGGATTAACGATGGGCTTGGCAAAGACAAGCTAAGCGCGCTTTTGGAGTCATATGAGCCCATGAGTAAACTGAGCGCGCATAAAATTAATCCCGAGCTTGCGCATACGCTCTCGGATAAAGCAAAAAAGCGAGATTCCTATTTTCTCAATACACAAAAAATTGCTGGAGCTGCTTTAACATCTCTCGGATTGGCTACATCCTCTTTGTTATCCAACGACAAAGAAATTAACCGAGAATTTTTGTTGGAAAAATTAAACGATACGGGCAAGCTTATTTCTCAGCTGCATCACGGCCAGCTCGTTGGCAGGAGAGCGTGTATTATACCGTTAGTTAAGAAAAACTTGAGACAGGTTATGCATGATTTGAAATCTGATGAATTTCTATTTGGAGAAAATTTATCTTCCAACATCAAAAAATTCATCGGAGATGGGAAAAATAACCTTATTTTAGATGACTATTCTTATAAGAAAGATTTTGTTAAAAATTTAAACTCAAATCGCCCACCTGCAAAGCAAAATTATACCAATCAGGTGGGCAATCGGAAATTTTCGAATTACAAAAAGAATGCAGCCAATTCGAGACATTCGAAATCGAATTATCAAAATTCAAACAATCGGAATCCGAATTACTCTCGGAAACGTTGAAAGGAGATATAAAATTTGCCGGCCGCTTAACACATTTCGTGGAAAATTGGCATCTTTTGACGAGTGATAAGTTTGTCTTAAAATGCATCAATGGATATGAGATTCCTTTTCACAGTACTGTGTATCAATCAAAAATTCCGAAAGAGAGATTGCGGTCAAAAATTGAACAGAAAGAATTGTCAGATTCGATTTGCGAGTTATTACAAAATGGCTCTATTGAAAAGTGTGAACATGAAGCCGGCGAATTTATATCTTCTTATTTTCTAAGGAAGAAACCTGATGGATCAAATAGATTCATTTTGAATCTCGTAGAATTAAATAAATTTGTCGATAAAAGTCATTTTAAATTAGAAGACATGAAGTCTGCATGTAAATTGCTCAACCACGACGATTATTTATGTACTCTAGATTTAAAAAATGCTTTTCTGTTAGTGCCGCTATCTCGCAAGAGCAGGAAGTATATTCGCTTTGTTTTTGATGGAAATTTGTATGAGTTCGTCACGTTGCCTTTTGGTTTATGTACAAGTCCTTGGGTATTTACAAAAGTTACTAAACAAGTTTTCAAGTATCTAAGATACAAAGGGTTTCGCTCGAATGTGTATTTAGATGATGTCTTATTGTATGGTGACTCGATATTTAATTGTCAAAAAAATTTGTTATTCACCGTACGCGTTTTCAAGTTCTTAGGGTTTGTTATAAATTATAAGAAAAGCGTTTTATTGCCCTCTACGACATGCACTTATTTAGGTTTTATTATAAATTCAAAAGAATTTACAATTAAGTTAACGGAGAGAAGAATTGTGAATATGTTACAAAAGTTGAAATGTTTAAACTCTCCAAAATCTCATAAAATAAGAGATTATGCACAGCTGNAAAAAAAAAAAAAAAAAAAAAAAAAAAAAAAAAAAAAAAAAAAAAAAAAAAAAAAAAAAAAAAAAAAAAAAAAAAAAAAAAAAAAAAAAAAAAAAAAAAAAAAAAAAAAAAAAAAAAAAAAAAAAAAAAAAAAAAAAAAAAAAAAAAAAAAAAAAAAAAAAAAAAAAAAAAAAAAAAAAAAAAAAAAAAAAAAAAAAAAAAAAAAAAAAAAAAAAAAAAAAAAAAAAAAAAAAAAAAAAAAAAAAAAAAAAAAAAAAAAAAAAAAAAAAAAAAAAAAAAAAAAAAAAAAAAAAAAAAAAAAAAAAAAAAAAAAAAAAAAAAAAAAAAAAAAAAAAAAAAAAAAAAAAAAAAAAAAAAAAAAAAAAAAAAAAAAAAAAAAAAAAAAAAAAAAAAAAAAAAAAAAAAAAAAAAAAAAAAAAAAAAAAAAAAAAAAAAAAAAAAAAAAAAAAAAAAAAAAAATCCCTCCCCAAATATACATCCATAGCGATTAATAACTACATGTATAGCTCTAAAATTATGAGACCTGGATCGGCCCAGCGGAGTGAAGAGAGGCAGAGTTTTCTTTTGTTTCTCTAAAATTCGTGGACTTCAGATCGAAAAGGCGATCTACATCTTTTTTAATTATTCGAACAAGGATCTCGTATAATTGTCATCGAACTTCACTTAAGGTAAGTTCGTTTGATGTACAATTTATGTTATAAACAGAGCCGAGGAAAAGACTTATTGCGCGTGAAGATCGAGAGGGTAAAAAGTAGGCTATCATCGTGAGCTTGGAGAAAAATAAAATTGTCATTTAGTTATGGCTTTTTCAAGATCAAACTATAAGTTATCGGTGGAATTTTTTTTGATAAAAATATTGAACTAAGTCTTGCGATACTTTTATTAATAAAGACTTAATATTTTTAATATTTTTACTATAAACAAGCTCAGGTTTATATGGAGATTTCGTGACCACAATTACTAAAGAAGTTATTAATAATGAACTCGTTGAATAAATTTTAATTTTCGAAATACTCAATTAATCTTTTTAATCGGTTACAAATCAACGTCTGAAAATTTCTTACAACGAATAAGCCAAATTACGACACATCTTTGAAACTCGTGTTCATATCATAATAATACATTAATAATGAATGATTTCTTGTAAATTTTCAGGCTTGTTGTCAATAATGCTATTTTTTAAGTTCTACTGTAGCAAATTTAAGCCAAAGGAAAATAAATTTTCAACGTATTCCTTCCCAAAGTCCATTTTTCACTCGCGATAGTTCTCTTAACTCGATATATCATACTATTATTAGTATGAAGTTTTTAATGACCTTCAAAGCTGATCATTGATTTGTCATATTTACACAATGCATAAAGTTGTCACTTGCACCAATAACACCAGGTTAAACCTTGATGTTGTAAGGTGCTAAATTATTTTCGCTTCAATGAACAATGATAAACTTTCCAAAATTTTGCATTTATATCGCTTTCAAAACAGGTGTACGATTGATAATTGAATTAACAATCCATTATTTCTTGTTATTTATAGGTTCAAACAATTGGCCGCCACTGTCTCAATAGTCTCAATTTTTGGTGAGTTAATCGAATACAAATAAAAAACATCTTTAATCACTGCTTTTCGTGCTCGTAACGCCGTAATTCACCATGTCATTGGCACAACTGTGTAAATGATCGTTGCACCATTTCATCGTACGGGTTAAATTTTTGCCGCGACGTGCGAAAAATGAAGCGATAAAATTATCATGCCTGTACAGTGCGATTTAAAATGCAATAATGCTACGTACGTATAGACTCGGTAAGTATATTTAGAAGTGGCTTCAAACGAGTAGGGTGGTAGCGGCGGTGGCGACGTTGACTTCGATGATGCATTGCTCTTGGAAAGAGATAAACTAGGTCAAATCTGAATAAGGCAATGCCTAGATACGCTGGCATGAGCATGCATCCACTTCCTCGTTATTTTTATAAATTGCAAGAGTAGCACGTTGTTCGATTGTTTTTCTTTCTACTAATTTATGGTAGTTATTTTTTCCCTTCTTCTTTCATCGCAATTCGATCGAAATATCTAATTCATACGAAGCGCATGATCGAGGTATTTTCCGGTGCAGAAAGTGAATTTTCGTGGACAAACAGTTTTTATTTACATAAAAAACAATTGGAACGTGCTTCTTTTGCGAATCCAGGTCAAACTGCAGCCACGGGGATACACACGGAGTATGCGCATTATAGCTTTCGCTAACTACCAGACCAGTAGAGCAATTATAAATAACAATTGTTACATAAGCTACGTATACATTGCGCAAACGCTTAATATCCAGCGCGTATTCCTATACATAAAGCGCGCAGCGACATAATTACCCGTACTCGAGTACACCGAAACGAAGATCGCGCTCGAATTTCCAGCTCTTTTGCAGTCGTAAAAAGCAAAATCGATCCACGTTAGAGCTGCAGATCGCGACTAGCTCTGTGCCTCTGGAAACTTGAATGAGAAACTTTATAGCTCATGTGAAAGCAGCTTTAAAGCTTGAAAAGCTTTTTTAATATTCATGTGAAATTTCAAGAATACGTAGTGCGCAGAGTGTACGATCCGCCGGCAAGAACAGGAGAAGAGAATTGGAAAATGTCAAAGGGCTGCTGGCGCGATTGCATTCATGTACCGCAAGCTCCGAGAAAGATAGTACGTATAGCGCTACTTCGTGCACACATTGCTCGGCAGTACTTGGCTCGCCATCGCATGAATGATAATTCCCGAGAGAGGCGCGCGCACACACACAGACACGCGTACACACGATGCAGTTCACGCAAGCTCTCGTAGGCTTGCAGCGAGCTTTCACCTCGTGACGCTACTTCCTCTTGCTGCTGCTGCGACTGCTTTGCTGCTGCTGCGTGGCGCGTCTGTCCGCAGCTCGGCGTGTCGCATATAGCCAGCCACCTTTCCGACATGGACGCGTGCAGTACAGTGTCAATAAGTGCAAAACTCGTAACAGCGTTCGCATATGTATTTTCGCTAATCGCGAACGTGTTATTTTTCATTCATCATGTAGCAGCGAGGAATTCGCGATTCCGACACGAGAACGATTAATTTTTTTATCATTTTTCTTCTTCGTTTTCTTCGTGTTAGCGATGCGCGCTTGCATAAACAATTCTCTCATACGTCGTCGCTCCGCCGCTGTTGCTGCCGTGATAATTTAAAAAAAATATTTATAATAAACATGTTTTATCGTCAGCGTCGTCGACGGGCAAGTGCACTCATAAATTCTTCGACTTATATCTTGGCTCAGAAAAAGATTAGCACTTTTTGTCAGGATCGAACGAATGTACGAGTTTATTTTGTTGTATTCGATCGTGATTCAAAAGAATATGTTTACGGTGCGAGCTAGCTTAACTATTGAAAAAAATCAAAATAATTGACCGTACAGAAGACTAGAATTGGAGTAAGATTTCTAATTAGACGAAGCCGGTTTATAACAGTATTTAATCAGCTCGTAAAAATGTTGAATTCGACAATAAAATGTAGCTGCTGTAGATCGCGGACAAAAGAGAGCTTTTTCAAAAACGATCCCGTGTCTTACAAGCTCAGCAGGGCTTTCGTACGTGAGCCCAAAAATCGCATCTTCATCCGACAATATTTTCCTCGGCACGAGCATCGGAGAGAATTTTGCGGTACGAGTAGGTAGGTTTGAGGAGCGACACGACTGCAGCTGCGGGAAACATATGTAGTACAAGAGCGGCAGCCGGTGCAGGGGTAACGTAACATCGACCGGGCGTAACGAAAACTAGGACACCCCGGTGACCCAGATGAAATTACTCTCTCGCACACATTCAAAAAGGGAGAGAGAGAGAGAGAGAGTAGTGGGTGTGCGTGGGTGAGTAGGCGCGAGTACATACATGGCGTGGACTAAACTGCACCCTCGGTAAAGAGAGAGAGAGAGAGAGAGAGAAAGAGAACGTAACCATGGCAATCGAGAGTGTACCTCGCCAGATTTTTGCGAGCAGCCCAAACATGTGCGCAGGCGTGCTATGGCATACACACGTATATATACACCGCACACTGCTCGATTCAGTTGGCTGACTCGCTCCGCGCACTCGAGTCGGCTATATATTTCTGCGCTTAATACAGCTCCATTATGGCGAGTGAAAACGTGCGCGCGGTTATACACCTGCACATGCTCGATAGGGATCGGTCGAAAGACGTCGCGTCGTGCATATAACGAGCGAACCTTTATCCCTTTATATTCGCGCATGGACCAAAAGGCTACTCGCTCGCAAATTCAAACGTTATGCGTGGATATGGTGCGTGAAATTATGACGATGCCATAAAATTGCAAACTTGACGCTAATAATCGTTACGATCGATCTTTGAATGGAGAATAAGAAGCTGCTACGCTTGCCTCTCGGCGCTCTTGTATGCGCACGTGTAGCTCGAAAGTATAATAAGCTCTACTAATGTCGATGTGCAGCTTGGGATGATGGTCCGATTCGCGTAATACATAATAAGCATGGCCCTCGCTCTCTCTCTCTCTCTCTCTTTTACAGCGTTCAAGCCCTTCAGAAAACAAGCTACGCGCCTATCTCCTTTCTTTTATATACCCAGCATCCGGAATAAATCATTTTGCCTTTAATTAAAATGATTTTGAGAGCGAATGAGAGAGGGAGAGAGGCCGATTGTGCACATATACAATACTCTCTCTCTCTCTCCTTTGGCAAACGGCCAGGGCTCGCCGGCCCAAGGAACTTCATTAATAAACAATCAAAAATTTGCGTCGTAATTACATGCTCTCTTGGCAACGATCGCAATATGCATACGCACACGCTCACTCGACGAGGTCCTGTATTATTTTGGAAGATCTTTCCTCCTTCGTCCGGCTTAGCTACTCTCGTTGGTAGTCGTTGCTGCGAAAAAGACGCTCACGATACGTATGCATTATACGTGCACGGGAGCAGGCCTTACGCGAGAGCGCCTGATTGTTCGCAATTTGCGGTGGGCGGGCATATCGAGGGCCTCCATATAAACTGCTGCGTGTGCAGTGCATTATATGCACGTGTGTGTGTATGTATTTGCAGGGCAGCTCACGATGCGGGAGCTGCAATCTGTTATTATTATATATATTAGGACCCATGAGCACTCAAGAGAGAGAGAGAGAGAGAGAAAGAGCAACGAGCGATTCCCATGAATGATGTATCGGCCGCACAAAGGACAGGCCTTGTGTCCGCGATGTATTTGCCGAGTAGCGAGCTCCTTTTTTCGGCGATTTGTATAGGCGTTTAATTCGACGTCGAGTGCAGGCACTCCGACGTTTTATCAAAGCGTCACTCATGAAGCCTCTCGATCGAGATTACGCGCAAATCTGCCTGGAATATTCGCTTCGATCGAATTCGAATACCAAGCGAACGATAAAAATAATATCGGTGGTATTGCGCGAATTCCATCGGTCGACGATACACAAATTGAAGCTTTGATTTCGTCTGAGCTACGTACTTGAGCAAAGATTATCGATTTTCAATCGATTCAACTAATTATTGAAGCCACTGTAATCTTTAATTTGTAATTATTATGTTGTACTAGATAACGCAGGCATCATATGTTGCATCTATAGTGATTATGGACGACGCATCGAGCGCGGACGATAAATCGTGAGAAAAATGTACGTAGAATTGGTTGCGCGCCGTGTACGACAGGATCGCGTGAATGCATACGAGACTCGGCATCGAAGGAAGGTACCTATATCCTCTCGTTGGAAGGAAGTCGAGCGTGCGGCTTCGGCACAGCACGTGTTGTGTGTCTGTCTCTATATCTGTATGTGTGTGCGTGTGTGTGTGTGTGTGTGTGCCGTGCAACAGGCAATCCGTAAGCAAGAGTCATACAAGACAAACGAAAGTCGGTTAGCACGAGCGCGAGGAGAGCCGAGAGCGCGACGAAAGTGAAAAGAGTAGCTGCAGCGTAGTGCATGTATAGTCGTGTTGCTGGCGAAGCGAGCGAGCGACTTTCCGTCCTCGCTCCAGCCGATCCCACATAGCTGCGCACAGAGACGCGCTCTGCACTGCAGCAGCAGCAGCAGCCATCGTTGTGTATTCACTTTTCCTATCGTCGCGACCAACTTTTGCATGCACACAAGGGATAATATGGGCGACGCTCGTATCGAGCGACTGCTTTTTAATCGCGCTGCGCTGCGGTATAATCGTACGGTAACGCGACACGGTGACTTTGCTCGCGCCGCGGAACCTTCGTCTGCTTCCATTTTCACTTTCTTCCTCCTCGCATGAGCATTTTTTTCACAATTTCTTTTATCGATGACAATTATCAAACGAAATATCAATTCAAGACATTTTTTGCAGACAGCTCGAATCGCACGATATCGGCTTGGATCCCTTCGTACTCGAGCCCTACCGCAAATCGTGAACGGACGGAAATTACTATAAATCGGCTGGCGTAGAGCAACTCGAAATCATGGCAGGCGAGGATCAATTGACCCTGTCGAACGGCGACAGCGTGCCGACACCCGACGTCATGACAATAATTCCACCCCCGCTGAGCTCCGTGACGAACGGCAACGGAAAGGTAAACGAGACGAACGGCGTGAAGCAGCAGCAACACAACAACAACGGTTCGATCGTCTCGACGAATGCCAAGGAAAAGGAAATGGTCGCCGCGGACAACGGCAAGGTATCGGCCATCACCTCGGTGGCCGACGACAAGTCCAGCAGCTTCCAGACCGACTACGACGACGAGGAGACGTCCTGCGGCTGGGGACCCTTCAGGCCCAAGTGGCTCCAGAGGCTCGCCACCAAGCAAATGTTCCTCGTCGTTTTCTGCCTCACTTGGGTAACGCGCTTGAACATTCTCGCCTCTACTTCGTCGATCGAGAAACAACACAACGGCTAAAAGGTTTAAAAAAATGCTCTGCGTGCATAACAGGTGCTGCAAGGGATGTACTTCACGTACTTCGTGTCGGTCATCACAACGATCGAGAAGCTCTTTCAAATCCAGTCCAAGACGACGGGCCTGATCATGTCGGCCACGGAGATCGGACAGATCGGTTCGTCGCTGCTGCTGACGTATTACGGCGGCCAGGGCCACAGACCGAAGTGGATCGCCTGGGGCATGATCCTCTTCGCCGTGAGTTCGTTCACCTGCTCGATGCCGCACTTCATCTTCGGCGACCAGCTGATCAAGCAGAACGAGCTGCAGTTCAACGGCGGCACTCTCAGTGGCGAGGTCAACGGTACCAATGTCACGAGCCCGGTCCCCGCCAATCTCTGCAAGTTCGCCGACAACAGCACGCTCAATGGGTAAGCCACACACACACACCCTCGTCTTTTCTTTTTTACTCATCGATTCCATTGTTTCTACTAATTCTTCGCTGTAACTGCACCAACCGAACTTTTTTAACTTCGGCTAATTAGGTAGTTTTACGTACACGAGTCCTTAAATGTCCAAAATATACGTGATTTTTATAATCGTTCTATCGTCGATGAGCCATCAATTACGAATTATTACGCTGAATCGTCGGCAGAGAATCATCGTGGGTAATAACGGTATTGCAATTAAGCCAAGTGTATAAAGTGCGCGACCTAGAAATTACAATTGTATGGGCGTAAAAAATTGCTGCAAATCGAGCAGTCAACAACTACGTGCATTATACAAAGGACTTGCACGATGACCGTACACATTTACACGGGCGGCCTGCAGACAATTGTATTTACTAACAATTCACGGCCGTTTTGTTAGCTATAAATATATAATGTATATCGCGTGTGTGCTTAGCCAACGCGATCTCTTTTTACATTATTGTATATTACGTTCCGCTAGACATGACCGCGCGTCAATACTACAGCCGCGCGCGAGGATGTCCAGTTTTTTTTTTTTGCCCGACGCTCATCTGAACTTGAAAGTGAAAGTAAACTTTCGATCTTTATAGCGATATAGATAATGCCATACTGCGCTCTTCTCTACAATTTTATGCTCTCACTTTTTTGAATGGGTGAGAAAAAAAGTAGCTGCAGCAACTTAACTCGAATACGTTTTTCTTTTCCTTTTTTGGTGCATATAGCTGGTCGTTGGCTGGAGCGACGCTGCAGCAACGCTCCGACACGGTCGAATACTGCGAGGGAGAATTTTTGGTCGAGCAGCGCACCCAAGTGAAAATCGTCACCGTCGTGCTCGGCATTTTCTTCATATCGCTGCTGGGCGTCGGCATGGGCCAGACGACCGTTTATACCCTTGGAATTCCCTATATCGACGATAACGTGGCCAGCAGAGAAAGTCCCCTTTATTTTGGTACATTGCGCGCGCCTATATATTATTCAAGCCATAAACTATCAATGGTCTAAAAAATGTTAAAACCTTTATCCGTTTCGTTCGCAGCGATAACCATAGGAGTTAGAATTCTCGGACCTGCCATGGGCTTCATGCTGGGATCGCTGTGCACGATGGTTTACGCCGATCTGTCCGTCGACCCGCCGATCACTCCGTCGGATCCAAGATGGGTTGGCGCTTGGTGGCTAGGTACGTGTCTGACTGCAATTTTGCCATTTAAAGTAAACCGCTCCGATTCATTACACATTTTATCAAAGAGAAACCGCAACGAGCCAACTGAATGTATATTATGTGCTCAAGAGAAAGTTTTTCCTTCCGATAAATTTCGGCTTGCAAGATTCTTTGGGTATTTTAAAATGTTTTTTTTTTAATTTTTTTAAATTATCGAAAATGCACTTACTATCGAAATTTTCTCTGTGACCCCGAGGAAGAAACTTTTTCATTTTGAATGAAAAAAAATACTCGAATAAGTCATTTTTTATAGGGCTTTTTATGATCGCTGTAAGGAATAATGGATAATAATTACGAAAAATGGAAGAATACAATTTTTTTTATTATTTTTCAGGTTTGGTGCTCATAGCGTCAATGTTGATGTTGGTAACGATTGGTATGTTTGCTTTCCCAACGAGACTGCCGAAAAGCCGAACACCACCAAGAAGAGCTGACGCCAAAAAGCCAAGTTTAGTAGGTGAGATCATAATTTTCAAAAACCAACTTCAACAGAAATAACATAAAAAATTTTTAAGAAAAAAAAACTTGCACTTGCCATTTTTTAATTCTGCCGAAATGTTAAAATTCATTTTTCGTTGAATAATATGTACGCCTCTAGATGAAAAAAATTGTTTTTTTTTTTCATGATTGATACATATCGCCTGGCCAACAGAGAAAAAAATAATCTTCGATTTTTCTGCCTCTCTTAATGTTGCATGGAAAACACAATTCACCAATATCTTTTGGCAAAGAGTGCATATCATCGACGCGCATTGGATAATACAAAGAATTTTTCCGCGTTTGACGCGCTATTTTTGCTGCGCGCTGTGCGATTATCTTGCCCTCGGCTCTTCTCACTTTTTGATGCGGGTTTCCAACTTATAATACACATACATACATGCGTGCCGCACACAAATGTATTTAATGCATTTAAGTGTATAGATACGCGCCACATCACTAAATCGTTTGCTTCGTTTTGGCCATTCCGAGAATCATCATCTGTGACGATAGTGCTTTTTTCGATGCAGTGTGTGGTATATACACTTGTATAGTTGCGAAATCCTTATGCGATGACGCGAAGCCGCTCGTTGATTTTATAACAGAGGACTTTTGATTATTAAACACGGGAAAAACCTCAGTAATAAATTATTCCTGGTCGCAGAATTTATCTATGTAAATTTTAAATAAATCACCGAATCTGTTGACATTTTCAATTATTATATAATAAAAATTCAGAATTTAAATTAAATAAAAATAAGTTTAAAAAGTGTATTATCTGTTGAAACGAATTGAAAATATTTGGTTCTGACTGCATACAAAATTTTTGGTGAAAAAATGCACCATTTGCTATAATGTAATAAATGTTTTTCAACGTGAAATTTTTTTTTAAATTTCATTCATTCTTTCTGATACGCAAAAAATTTTTGATTTTTTTGGCTCACTTTAGTTTTAAGCTGTGATGTCATTTAAAAAATGTTTTTTTTTCAAATTATTATTCATTACAATTACTAATGGAGAACTCTGTACTCAATAAGACAGTATATAATGTTTCTCGTTGCAGACTTTCCAAAAGCCGTGAAAAGACTGCTGAAAAATGACATACTTATGTTCCGTACGGCCAGCAGCGTCCTCCACATTCTGCCGATAGCCGGCCTCTACACGTTCCTGCCGAAATATCTCGAGAGCCAGTTCCGCTTGGCAGCCCACTCGGCGAATCTGATCTCAGGAGTCGGCGGAATACTCGTTATGGGTCTGGGTATCATACTCAGCGGCGTTTTCATTCTCAAGATGAAGCCCAATGCGAGATTCGTCGCGGGCTGGATCGCCTCGACGGCCCTGGCGTACGCCGTTGGCATGGGTATACTCATGTTCGTCGGTTGTCCGATGAACGACTTTACCGGCCTCGTCACCCCCCAGCAAGGGTAAATATACTATTATCTCCTAATGTATGCACTCTGGCTGCTGGCGTGTAACTTGGGGTATAAAAAAAATTCATCTTGTTTTCAGACCACCTCATTTCGAGCCAACTTGCAATTCTACCTGTTCGTGCGACACGAACAAATTCAGTCCAATCTGCGGTGCCGATGGTAAAACTTATTTTTCCGCCTGTCATGCGGGCTGCTCCAATTACACGGTTTTCGAAGGCAAAGTCACCAGCGTAAGTAGCTGACACCATTCGCGTGCCGAGAGAATCAGCCTCATCGGCGCTCGATAACAATTACATACTTTTTTCTCATGCAGTTCTCGGACTGTCAATGCATATCGAGCAATTACACGATCACGCCCGAGCCCATGCCCGAGTTCACGGCCAAGACGGGCTACTGTCCGCTCGAATGCGACAACTTTTACGTCTACCTCATACTCTTCTCGGTCTTTGTTTTCATACACTCGACGAGCGAGGTAGGCTCGATGCTGTTGATACTGCGATGCGTCGATCCTCGCGACAAAGCCATGGCTCTCGGTCTCATACAGTTTGCCATTGGCCTTTTCGGTTTGTACCAAAAATCTGTCGGTTCTTTTCCGAGGACTCTTTTGAAATGCAAATGACGTTACGAGTTGCTGATTGTATTTGCAGGTAACGTGCCATGTCCTATAGTATACGGAGCCGTGGTTGACTCGGCCTGTCTAGTGTGGGAGTACGCGTGCGGGGAAAAGGGAGCCTGCTGGCTCTACGACTCCCAAGTCTTTAGGATGTTCTTCCATGGTAAATAAATCTCATCGAAATGTCTCAGAAATCAAAAGCTCGATTCTTTATTGGACTTAACGGTTTGTTCTGTTACAGGTACAACAGGTGGTATAATGGCCTTGGCCTTCATAGTCGACTTGATAGTCTGGTACAAGGCGGGCAGTATAAACTTCGTCGACGAGCCCGAAAACGAAGTCGGCACGGCCGAGGAGATGGCGAATCTCAAAACTCAAGACGTGCAGTCGGTCGAGAACGATTACGTCTGAGTTACACTGCGCCTCGGATCAAGCCTCATTAACAAGTTATTTTCCAAAAGAAAACGCGATGAAGGCTCGACGTTGACCGAACGAGCATAGATTCGCTAACAAATCAATGGTATAATATTTAATACATAAGGGAGAGAAGCGATAAATTCTTTAAAACGATATAGAATAAAGATTAATTTAAGCCGAGCGAATGGGTTTACAAGACGACATATTTTATTGTCAATACAGTGACGTACGTAGAATTTATACAGATATTTATCGCAATTGCGGAAGGATGAAGTACGAATACGCGCAATATAATAGGTGCTCATGAGAGAGGAACTATTTTATTTGACGATGAAAGTAAGACGCGTATGAGAGCCAATCATGTATGCATATTGCGTTTTTTTGCATTCGCATAACATTTATTTTTGCGTGATTGATAAATTGTAAATAGATATAACACATGCTCGATAAAGTCTCGCTTCGAATTAGATCTTTATTGACCACAATATGACAAAGAAGAGGAAATATTTATTGTATTTTTAAGGTGTATGTATGTGTGTAAGTATGCTAATGTGTCTACCTCGCGTAAAAAATTTTAATACGATCTTGTAATAAATCAAGCACCGTAAAAACTCGACGAATATTAAGTACGTTAACGAAAAATGCTTCATTTTTAATTTCTAAAAACATATGAAGAAATCATTTTCTCTTAATTTTTAAATGCCAAATCCTGCGATAATTTTGAAATAAAATATACACATTTATGAAAATAGATCTTTATGAGACGAACGAATACTGATCCAGCATAATTTAATGAAAGTGCATGTACAGCTTTAGTATTACTATTATTCCACATAGGTTTCAATGCATTTAAATATAAAATGTGATGCAATTTTTGAAATCTATCATATTGCATTTTTACATAAGTTCTTAATTTGTTATCTGATTTTTTGTAGATTGCTGAGATTTTTCATTTATTAAACGAAGTACCTTTCATACATTTTTATTGGATAAATTTTAAAAAGCTATAAACGCATACAAAAGTACAAAGTCAAACAATATTGATAATCTTCTAAAGTTACTTATATTCAGAAAAAATGTCAACATAACTTTGGCTTCAAAATTATTGAATTTCGAGTATCTTCATTTCTTATTGATATGAAATTAAAATTGAATATCGAAGAAAAAAAACCCTTGTAAATTAATTTTATTTTAATGATTTTTTTTAATCTATTTCTAAGATTTTTTCCATTTGATAGCGTTGTATATATTTTTTGTAAATTTATATGAATTGAATAGTTCAATAGATTCCGTATTTTAATAATTTGATATTAATTTTTTGGTACGAATCAATCAATACTCTGTCTATTGAGTGCAAAGATATACAAAAAATTTTTTTAATTAATTAGTAAACAAAAGATTGCTATACGTTATCAATCTTATTTTAAAATAAAAAAATTAACGTCATTCAATAAGTACAGTTTTTGCATTTTTAAAATAAATCAATTTTATTCGTACAATTGATTTTTACCAATTAAAACTCGAATTCACCCTAAAAAATTGTATTTTTATATATTGAAAATTATTAAATGGAATTCCATGATTATTGGTCGAATAAGTTATATAATTCCTTTCGTTTTTACTATAACTGAATAAATTTTTGTTAATGAAAAAGGCGAAAGTAAGTAAATGACATTGTTGGCTATCTATATCTTGAAATGACAAAATGACACCACGAAAAATCGTAGTACGAAACCGAATAAAGCATAAATATAAAGGATTCAAAAATCAATGATAAATAAAGTATTATTTTCATGTTGATTAAAAATGTTGAAAATTAATCAGTACATGTTCTGTGAATTCTTGAAGAAATTTAAACAAAACGAAAGTCACGTAAAACCTAAAGATCACGTTTAAGAAATTATATTTATCAATAATTCTAGTATAAATCATCGCAAAATATTCAAGTGAATCGATGGTAAAATATTATTAAAAAATCAACTGGAGTTCAAAAAATCATTTGAAATAAATTCAACACAAAAATAGTGACGCTTGAAAAACAATAGATCATAAAATATATTATACAATACTTACATAGAAAAATGGCAGATTATGAAATATTATACATTTAAGATAGATTATTAAAACCGAACAGGTGCACAAGTAAAAAAAGATTGATCACAATTTAACAAGAATTCAAATATCTCGAATAAAATATAAGAACTGTTAAACAGGGAATTCTGTTAAATACTACAGCAAGTTTAAAACATTTTTGGTAGGAAAAATCGTATAACGATTAATACTAGTCTTTTTACGCGAACGTAATTGCGATTGAAACAAATAAAAGTTATAATCATTGAATGATGAAATGTGTGATAAGAGTTGACTGAATGAATTTTTATGCTGTTCAATAGAAATCTGATTTGCATATCTTCATGTTGCTAAAAAATTTTTACCGAAAAATGAAGAACTGTATTTTTAAGGATTTTTTCATTCTACTGTGTTATACACGTATACAAATCGAAGATTCATTGTTATTGCTTTAGTTGTACGATTAATTTTTATAAATAATCATTATTAATAATAATTATTGTAACAACGTAGTTTCCATTTTTATCGCCGTGCACATATTTTAAAAGAGATTATTATTAGTAATTTATCACATTTCCCTTAAAAGAAACAGTTTTTAAATTTTTCTTTGGTGTCCTGAAAAATCACTGAGTGCTGTGGATTTGTGTCCATATTTAACCAATTTTTTGTCAATTTAATCGTTAATATTACTCTCAATATGCCATCACATTTATAACCATTTAATGATTAACTTGTGTACATATAAGTTATGAGTACCGTTTTGAATTCTTTGTTATTTATGTATGTAAAGTTATCACATGTATGTAAATTGTAAATTATATTATACTCTTCTGTCTATAATCATGTTAAAATAACAAATGCTTGAACATTTTTGGAATAAAATATACATAAAATAAGGTACGCAGTGATAAAATTATTCTGTCACAAAATGTTTTTTAAAAAATACACTTCTATTTTTTAATTGAACAGAATTCTAATGTTTCGTTTTTATCATATGCGTACCAAATAAAATATTGGCTATATAACTTGTTCGTGTATACGATTATTCTCTTCATTTGTTAAACTAAATTCAATGGAATCTCGCGAACCCATTTTCTATCAACTCGCTGACAGTAAATAGATTTGGAATGACTTGTAAGTACATAAACAAAATATTTAACCCTCAGATTATCAATTTTTAATACTGAAATAATAATTTTGTGAATGTATAAAGAAGGCCTACTTAAATATTTCGTCTTGATACATTCTATGGTGAAATCATAACAGATTTCACTACTTGACTGAAGTTTTTAGCATTAATGCTTTTTACAATTTTTAATGTATTTAAAATTAAAAAAAATTTATGAAACACTGCCATTAAAGTTTTACATTTTTCTAAAGTCAAAATAAAATAAAGACTTTTCATAGATTTTTACAAGTTTTTGGTTAATTTAGAAACATGATAGTACTTTGCCATCGAATGAAATGTGAAAATATGCAAATAATAAGATGGTTTTTCATTTGATAATCAGAGGGTTAAGACTGATTTCTGTAAGACGCATAAAAATATAATTAGCATATTATGTAATTTATAATCTTAATATTATTTCTAATCTTCGTTATTGACTAAATATGAATTTGTTCTTAATAAAAGGCAAGTGCCATAATTTCAAAAAAAAATCGTCTTCATTTATAAAGAATGTTCCAACTTATTTTACGATTTGTACGAAAAACATCAACTTGAATGAGACAGGATGAAAGAAAATGACAATATTTTTTTAAGGAGATATAGAAGAACATCATTCACCAACCAATCTTCATTTTGATGTTCTTAAGGTCGCTATAGAGGCTTTTGGAAAAATATTCAGTAGAAGTTTCAAAAAACTTGATTGAAATTTTGATTTTTTGTCTGGGTTCTATATACCCTTAATGCTACCCACTTTTTGTTTCATAAGTTTCATTTAAAATTTTTTAAAGATGTCTTTTCATACCAGTGTCCCGAAAGAGACTACTTCCCTGCCGCTGCGCAAAGCGGAAAGAACGATTTTCCGTCCACTGGGTATGAAAAATAGTATACAGGCCTATGCCGCGAAAAACAGAAAAGTCTAGGGCAGCAATGTACTATTGAGGAGTTTTATGATGTACAAAATAGATCGAAAAATCTCGTAATACTTGAACTTATTAATCGTTGCCCAAAAGTGAGATGGTGAGGAGGTTTTACTGTATTTTCGGATTATTATATTACATTCGGACGTCTTAGATCGATGGAATGTTCGCTTGTTGGTGAGTCGCTAGGGAAGTGTTTCTCAAAATAAAGTCAAAGACTATGAACAACAAACTTAATTTATTATTAACAAACAATTCCTCTTGGGCGACACCACATGTGTGGCTACAGGAAGAGTTGGAGAGACGATCGAAACAATAGTTACTTTTACAAAAAGTACAATCAACTAATAGTGACTTATTTGACGCTTAGTAGGTGTACCCGCTCAGTTGTAAATAATTCCATAGGTATCCGTGTGGATTATCCTCGCGGCTTTCCGCAGAAATTCTCGTGGATTTACGGAAATCCTCATTGATATACGAGGATTGAATAAAAATCAACGTGGATCAGTTCAAAATCCGCGGCGATTACATTTTTTTCAAACCATCATTGATCCTCGCGGAATCCACGTCTAATCCACGTGGAATCCCTGTCTAATCCACGCGGATAACCATCATGCAGTTATTCGTAACTGGGCGCTGCTATCGACAAGGTGATATATTTAACTGCATATTTAATCTGCAGATTTATGTAGATTTAAGAGTCAATAAAAAAGCTTGCGCACTCTCTGGGGTTGGTAGAACTTGACCAAAGGCTTCAAGAAGTAGTGGCTCTTGTCTGACAGTCATTTCATAATCAAAAAACGAAACTTTTCCATCGTGATCGATGTCGAGCTTTTTCAAAGTCATTTCCGATAGATCTCTTATACCTTCTTCTGGGTCTTCTTCACCAGGTTGTTTCATGAGACAGTTTCTTGAAACATATTAAAATTATATGATAAAAATTATTGATCAACCTCGAAGTGACTGGAAGTATTCCGATTGGCATATCCTTACATATTATGCTTAAAGCATATTATGATTCATTGGAATAGTTTTATTGAGAAAAAACTTTAATTTAGCTCGAAGATAAGGTTATCCCAATCGGAGTATTTTCGGCCGCTTAGAGATTTATAAATTATTAATGAAAGAAATTATTCATGTACTTGAATAATAAAAATATTTCATCTTTTGTGATAAAACCATCTCCATTGAGATCATAAACTCTGAAACAAAATTCAATTTTTTCGCGTATGTTTCCTCTTAAAAATACATCGAGGCCAAGAATCCATGGTTCAAGTCGTATGGTCCCTTCGCTATCTCGGTCCCAACATGAAAACATACGTTCAACCAAAATTTCTTCAGTTAGCAAATCAAAAGTGTTGTGTAATAATTCCCGAAAGATTGATCTGTCAATACCCTAAAAAGTTTCGATTCATCCGATATTTTTGACGAAAATTTAAAAAGGTAAATAATGGAAGATAAGTTTTTTTATATTATACCTCAGTATTTTGCAAAAAGCTTGCTATGCCATTATTAGTAGAGAGATCCCTTCGCGATCCTATGTTTGCGATAAGTTTACTATATATTTTACACAAAGCATCTAATTCTTGTCTGTTAAACATTAATTATAAATATGAATTATTTTTGTTTATTAAAAAGTTAAAAACGTTTTGATCTTTTTTTTAGCACAATTTTTTCAATTTAAAATAATAAAGTAAAGAAATAAAGAAAAGTATATAGGATTGTTTGAAATATAATTTATTGCCAATTTTATAACAACTTGCTATTCATACAACGGTGCTTTAATTATTTGAAATAATAAATGAATTTACATTTATAATTACCTAAATTATTTAGAACAAAAAGAAAAGTAATAAAAAATAGAATTCTGTATGAAAATCAAAACAAGAAAGCTTGTCAAATTTTTAATGAACCACTATTTTTTATTATACCTGGAAAATTTAGTTTTTCGGCGCAAGCTTTCTATAAGTTTAGCCTGATGAGCCGCTGCTCCTTTGGCCAGATTCTTTTCACCGGGCATTATGAGCTTGCAAGCTCGCGAGTCCCGTCTGGAAGAACCACGTCTGTCGGCAGCGCCTGTTGCCGTTGAACCCAATGCGCAGCTCGAGTCTGACTGCTGCCTGCGCGAGGCGACCGACACCTTTCGACCGCTCGCCAAGAAGATCGAAACGCTTCTCATGACCATTGCACCAGTGCGGCCGCTTATCGGCATTCTTTGAGGGTCGGCTTCTACTACCCCCATACCTGCATCCCCACTCGATTGGCTTGCAGCTCTTTTGTCGCTCATCGTAGACTTATTATGATTTACGTGTCTACAAAAACCGATCAAATGTTTATGAATGAATAAATATTTGCAATTGAGCGTGTACTTCCAATTTTTACATTCAGATTTTCAAACATTTTCTACTTATCATTTGTTATAATTTAATTTATTAATTGTCTTATTAAAATTATATTCAACATTGAATTGTACACTAACAATAGTAATAATATTACGTTACAATATTTCAAACTAATGTAAAATACTAAAATTCTTAGACAATTTTTATCGTCATCATTTACCTTTGATTTTGATGTTATTTTTTATCATTCCAATACTCTATATGGATAAGGATTTATTTGTTATAATGACCTGTTCAACTTTATTCGCATGAAATGAAATTGGATCATAGAAATAAAAACTGAGCATCAGTATCAGTGCATGTTGCAAACTCATAAATACAGCATTGAGGAATCGAATACGTAAACTTTTCTCATCAGATAAGGCATGTATTACATACGTATCAAAGATTAGAAACGAAACAAAGTTCAGTTTTGAGTGTATTGATTATTTGCCGAGATGAAATACGGGATATAAAGTTTGGCCGCAAATCTCCGTAAATTCAATCATTTTCATAAAAAATTTATTTACGCGTAAAGTTACCAAATTACGAGGACACTCTGTGATATCACTTACAGGAATACAATAAAAATATATTATACAATAAAACTAAATAAAATATTTTTTCCAGGCATTATTAAAAACTTTAAAGTTTTGTATAGAAAGAAGATTTTAATTTATATCTTAAGTAAAATTTCACTTGCATCGTCTGCTTCCGATTCGTCCAAAAAATTAACAGTTTTGGATGCGATTATTTGGATTAAAGCAGCAGTAGCTGAAATCAAGCCTGACACGGTCCTTAATATTTTTAAATCTTGTGGATTTACTGTTAAATCAGACGAGGACGAAAATTCTGTGGCAGATGAAGACGAAAATACTATTACAAATGAAGACGAAGAGTTGCAAGACCTCGTCTATAATTTTTCTTCTGACTTGGACGATAAAATCTATGCTGAAATAAACAATAATATAGAGACAGAAAATTATTCCGTAAATATTTTGGACTTCATTCCCGAGGACGATTCTGAAGACGAACAGGAGAGCGAAGAACAGCAAGAACCCACTAAAATTGTAGATGATTTGAATGCATCTGCTTATTTGGACAAGTTGAAAGACTATTTTTTACATAACAAAGATACTATCTCGTATCAAAATATTTGTAGTGCGCAAATGCGATTTGACAGTTTGCAAGTAAAAAAACCTCGTAAACCACTATTACAGATTATTTAAAAAAATCATTTTATATATTAATAATATCATGTTATTAAAAAAAAACTACTTGTTTTCGCTCACTAAATTTTTTGTATCACATGTTCATTTTATAACCCCTTCTTAATAGCGGCCAATTTTTTCGAAACTATCAGTGTCGCTAATGGGTGGTTTCATTTTACTTCAATGGATCATGGTACCTATGAATTGATCATTGTGTTCTACAAAAAAAGTACAAATATTCAACAGTACAGAAAAAAATAAAAGAGAAATATATTAATTCAAATTGTATAAGTACATCATACCAGGGTAAATCAAGTAAATAAAACTTTTTGAAACAAAATATTATTGAAGTGGAAAAAATAAACCTAAAGTAGATCCATCAAATTTGAAATTTGTTCACTATTCTTTTACACGATAAATAAAAATATTACACTCATGGTGTAAAATTTTCTGAAGTCGTAAAAAATAACTTTCTTGATAGCCTCATCATCTTGTTCTTGATTTACTTGAAATGCGCACTTCGAGCCGTAATGTTTATTACTTCCTTTTGATGTGTTCGTGTGAAACTCAATGAGAAGCACGAAAAGTTTATTTGTTTCGTGATTGAAGTAAGACAGTTTCAAAAGTAGCAGTGCCACAGGCGAGACATGTTTGTTATATTCCGCAGCGGGCTTTGAAAATGTTAATGTTTAGTTTGAATAGTGTTTCTTAAATATTTTTGATTGCTGTATTCTAATAAAATATTACGAAATTTTGCTACTTTCATTAATATTCGAAGCATTAACAATAACATGTTAATTGTTCATAGGTTCCATTAGAAAAATTGCAAGCTATTTCTATTAAGTATAACAAAAATTTTTGTGTGAATAATTATTCCAGATTTTTTTACAATAACCATTTTATGCGGACAGTTTCATAAAATTCTTCATTTGTCTACTTGCGAGTTTGATTTTTTTTTTCGTTAGCAATGCGTTTGTAATTAGTTTTTCAATAAATGATTTACTTTGAAGCTATTTTTAAGTAAACAAATTCATTGAGCGTCTAAACAAAACATAATGGTCATTTTTTGAAGCAAGTTGTATGCTTCAGTTCCAATTAGAGACCTCACATTATAAGATCAATTTTTTCAGCCAAAATGTACCGCAGAGTATTGATGCCAGATTTTAAAAATTATTCATTATTCAGCAACAGTCTGCTTAGATTTGCTTATAATAAAAGATATTTGTATTATTTTTGTAATAATCAAATCAATTTCAAGGAGATATTAAAGCCACGGTTGGAATGTCAAGTTTCACTTCAAAATTTTCGAACTTTTTTTCCGGGATGTATCCAGAATATTTTTTTCGAAAAAACTAAGTATATGTTTAGGAAACCATATAATAAAAATATTGACGTGTTTTTTTTTTAAATATTCGGTTTACATCCTGGAAATCGTGTTCGAACATTTTAGCTTTAACTTGGGTATTTTATTAACTTTATATTTTTTTAAAGTACAGAATTGTAGCTATACATATGCATTATGTCTGATATTCTGTGGAATCGAATCGTCAAAAAAATTATTTTTCTAATATGAAAAATGTATTGTTTTTAAATTCATGTAAGTCCTCAAATTTTACTAAATTTTTTCGGAACCTCTGAGACTCTTTCAAATATCAAAAGTTGACATTTTTCGTATTTTTTTTTTAAATTTTCGGAACTCTAAGAGTTCCGAAAAAATTTAGTTAGTCGTTAGATTCAAAAGCCCATTACTAAAATTTAAGAAATATGAGTTGATATTATTGTATGGAAGCGTTGTCCATTTTTTGGTGATAATAGTCTGGATCTGGAAGTTATTAAGAAATGTTACCTTTAGGTGTATTTTTTTTTACAGATTGGAAAATTTCTAGCAAACAAGATCTTTATCACGTTTTTTCGTACTCTATGCAGAGCTTGACATTTTTTAAAATACTATTAGTATTAACTTTGAATTTGCTGATGAAAACGTCAAATTTTGGTTTCTGAAAAAGACTTCTGAACGTCTCCGAAAATTTTAATAAAATTTAATGACCTGTGTGTTACCAAAAACCATAAACTTTATGTTAACAGAAAACAATTTTTTGGCCACTCGGTTTCAAAATAATAGGTCATAATACAATATATATAAAAAAACCCACTTATTCTGCTAATACTTGAAAAGCAATCAAACCTTATCAACAAACTATCTTGAAAATGAGCTTCTCACTTCATTTTGAAAGGCAATTCTCATTTCCCAGTTCGATGAGTTTCTAATCCGTACTTCAAATAATCTATCATCCGAGATTCGAAGCATAGACGGATATATATTCTTGTCATTACATGTGTGAATACCTTACACACGTCATATTCATGAACACGTGTAGTTCTGTAAACACTTATTCTATGATGAGCGATTTTCAAAACACGCAATGTTGGATCTTCCAAATTCGCGGCTCCTGACCTGAGTCCTTTCAGATACACGTGTAGTCCGTTAAATTACATCATGAGGGACTTATTTGAGAATAATTAATTTTGTATTCTTTGGTAAAATTAAAAGGGGCCTTGTTCAGCTGGAGTACGACTAACTTACGCGAGCGCGCAAGCACCAACATATTGATCAAACATAAATATATACCAATGTTTCTGCTTTGTAACTATGCACTGTCATACCCACAGCTATAATAATTGGCCAAGAAAAACAGTGACAAAAATTTTAATAAATATAATAAAAGACGTTAACAAACGTTTAATTAATCTTATTTCACCGCAATACATGCAAAGGATATTTGAATGGTATAAGGTTTATGGACTATCGATTTAACGAGTTATTACAATCATTTTTGAAAAGCAATTATAAGAAGGCTCACATAAATTTGCCCAGCAATCATCAGAAATTTGAGTCTTGGTTGGACTTTTATTCGTTTAGAAACATACGGTCATAAAAATATAATGGTTTCATGGCATGCAAATCTGTGAATTAATTTAATAACCGGAGTTCATTCCAATCGTTTAGTACCTAAAACGCGAGAGCAAGTACAAATTGTACCACACCATAACATTGATGAAATAATTGCCGATTAAAGAACTTTATTTATTAAAAATGTTGATTAAATATCCATAAGAACAGATAGTTGTAAATATTTATAAAAACTTTATTCTCTATAGTAATATTATTAAACATTACAAAAAATTAACAATACCGAGGTGGTTTAAACAAAAAGCGCCAAAAATCGTATAAAAAAGTTTCAAGGCTACTTATATACATATTAATTTTTCAATCATCTTTTTATTAAACCTCGAAAAATTTCAAGGTGGGATGAGTATTGCAAGACTTTCCTTATGCATAATGCTAGAGGTCATTTATGTATTTCAAATATTTAAAAGCAATAAAATGACATTCATTTTCTAAATAAGCTAATCGTCTCTTAAAATAAAAATCCGGCTACTTTTTGAATATAGTGAATAACAAAAATCTTGTTCCGTATACATATATTAAAAAAAACTACAATACTCCAATATTAACTTATTAGAAGCATGAATGAATATTTATTGTTTATTTCAATATGTAAACCTTATTCTACCGAAAGGACAAAAATTGTCTGAAATATAACTATTGATATAACATACAGTTCTATAATTCGAAGGCATCTATACTTATGTAGAGTATCAATTTAGATGAATAACTAAGTATCCGTGTGTACAGACATATTTTGGATTGCTCGTGTATGTACAGTCTATAGGCGATAGTATTCCTACTCGTTTGAATGCACATATGCTTAAATATTTCAATACATCGTTCGGTACTTATATGCTGATTAAATTTCTAATTTAAAAATACCAAATGAAATCACCTAAAGATTTCAAATCACTAACTTTACAAAACACTTATTTTATTCAAATGTATTTTTTCCATTATCATTAACATAATATAAATTTGAAATAAATATAATCACTTAACATGTATATTAGCAAGAGATTGCTCTTAATTATAACTATAACGGCTATCGGTGTCAAGTGTTTCTATTAATTTTACTGGCAAATATCAGAAAATTTTTTGAAATCATTTTGTAAATTCAAGAACGCAATTTACTCGTTATAATCAACAAATTTTAAACTTAAATGACCTTCGATTGTTATCTTATGAAATTTCCATTGACTTGTTTTTCTTACTATAAGCCCTCTAGGAACTCAACGGTCTAAGGGAATTCCCGGTGGAAACCTGTTATACTTAACGCAAAACAAATTATCATCTATGTCTTTTACATGATCTTGGGTAACCCAATCTTTCATTGACTGCTTTTTAGCTCTGGTTTTTACCCATAATTATTCAAGTATATGGAACTGAAGGATCCTTTCAAGGGCAACGATATTTTAAGCAGAAGCACTCAGTATTATGTAAACAAATCCTTTATCAATTGAATTTTAAACAAATACATCATTATTATTGTTTTGAAATTTGATGAGCAGTAAGTATGAATAAATTAATTAAAATAAGGATAAACAGTTTAAATATTCAAAGACTATTAAAATTAAATTTACATATGACTTCTTTTATCATTAAATTTATACAAATGATTTCGAGCGAAGTTGACTTGAATAGCTAAGTACTCTGTGTAATTTTTGTAACAAAAGATCAAATATTTATAAAAAAAGTCAATAATAATATCAAAATGGGCTTTAAGGATGTTGAATGGTGCAAAAAAACGCCAACAATGATGACGTCACGGGCCCAAAGCATCATCGTCATCAATATCGTCTTCGGCATAAGCGGTTACATCTACCTAATAATAAAGAACCAGTCTGGGTTTCTTGTTTGTGCAACTCGTTTCGATCAGGCTATATAAATTGTGGCGCACTTTGTCCGAACGCCAGTTTTCTCCTAGCTCTTGTTTGGGTAAGAACTTTGATTATAGCTTCAAAATGGTAAAATACGCTATTGCCTTCGTTTTGGCCTTTGCGGCTGTAGCTACTGGTTTTCCTCAACACGAGCAGCATCCCGATGGAAGTGAACATTACCCAGGAGATGGACATGATCATCACATTGGTAAGAATATCAATATGCGATATCTTTAAAAATTCTCTATTTGTTTCAAACTAATCATAATCATTTATAGTAAGGATTGTTCGTCACATTGCTATGCAGAATGGACCAGAACATTACCCTGGAGATGGGCATGACCATCATGTTGGTTGGTATTTTTGTGACACATTTTTCTAATTATTCAAAACTTTAGCGATTAAATCTGCAAATCATATATTAATTTTAGTTAGAGTAGTCCGAGAAGCTGATCCCACTCATCACCATGACCATTACCATGGACATGGGCACGGCCACGGTCACGGTCAAGTTCCTTACCCTCACGGTGGCGGTTTTGGACATGGTGTTGGCCCAGTAGGTATCGGTCATGGAGGTATTGGTCATGGACATGGAGTAGCTCCAGGCTACGGCGGATTCAACAATGGATTTGGTAATGCTAACGCTAATGCTCAAGCCAATGCTCAAGCTTCTAGTTTTGGCGTCGGTGGACCTTTTGGTGGTTCGAGTGGATCATTTGCTCAGGCCAATGCTAATGCTGGGTAATTTTTATAACATACCTTTTCGGTAATTTAATTTATAACATAATCATTACTATGATTTTATGTATTTTTTCAGAGCATTCGGTAGATAAATTGGTTCATTAACAAAAACAGATATTAGTTAAAATTCACATTGAAAACATAAACTAAAAATAATCTGACCATTTGAACATTAAGACGCTCATCAAAAATATAGTAAATATAATTTATTGGCATTAATGTTTATGGTAATCTTTATAAAATTTGTAAGATATTTAAGTTCTTATAATGTTTTAAATAAGTTGTATAAATAAACTTAACTTTATATACAATTTATGTATTCTACACTTTTTTCACTCTCCTCAGTTCCTAATAAATTTCATGAATAAATTATAATATTATAATACTAAAATTTAAAACTATAGAAATTTTGTATGTAGTTAAATGTTAAAATCACAAAATATATATTAATAAATAAAAACCTTCAAATTATGATAATCGAAAAACAAAATGATTTCGTGGTAAATTTTGAACTCAAATAAAATGTATAGTCATTAAAATTTTCGTTTTTTAATGATCCCTCTGACTAGATTTCTGGAATCCATTGAAATACATTGAAGTATGCAAAGATCAGAACCAGACGTGCATTTTTTTAATTCCTTAGATCAATCGTTTGAAAGTAAAAGTTTCATCAGCTGTGGTAGCATCTTAAAATAAAAAATTGTTCAATTTTATTCGTAGCTTGTGATCTTTATCATCATGAAATATTTCTTACAAACCTTTTATTTATCTACCGATATAACCACCGTAGGGGTTATGCTCCATACCAGTGAAATTGTTATTTTTAAGTCTTATGATTTCAACTATCGGTCGAATTGCTATATCATCAATAGTTTCCGAAGTTGGAAAACACTCGCTCAGTTTCTGTAGCAAAATTGAAAAAACCTAAATTATTAATTGGAAAAAAATCAATGAAAAACATACTTCAACAAATTTTTTACCTTACATTTTCTTGCCATTCTTTTTGATAAACACCAATATTTTTCTCCCAATGTACAATAATCAATCACGTGACTTGTATTGAGCTAATCAACAACAGACTATAGTCGTTTATAAAATTTATTCAGATTAGCATTTTTACAATTTCAGATTAATTCTTACCTTGAGCAAAAATAACAACGAAAACACAAGTAGACTGAAAAAATATAATGATTTCATTGTTGTATCTGTGCGTTTTATGCGTACCTGTTGTATCACTACGAGGGCTTTCTTTTTTCAAATATAGCGCGTTTTTATTCAACTTCAACTTATATTTATGAGCAAGCCAAATTATTTAATTAATTATTTATGAATTCGTTCACTACACAGATTCATAATTATATTTTCTCTTGATCCAGATGAAAATATTCAAGTTTCAAGGATTTTATGTAAAAAATCCAACTTTTGCAACATATTGTACCAGAGAGTAATATTATACAAAACTGGAAGAAGCCACATTAAACGATAATAACCAGCAACTGAGTACTGACACTGTTTATAAATGCAGTGAGCTCTCGTGTAAAGAGTGACACATATCATTGATAAATGATTGACGTATTATGAGTTTAATCTTTGTATTTCTTTGATACGAAGAAACATTCATCGTGCCTAAAATGTTTTAAATATTTTGTCAGAGATTTATATATTTCCTTCCAGTCACGTTTTGTATTGCAAGTAGTATTATTAACAAATATGCAATTTTCGAATTAACATGGATGAATAGCTAAAGTTAAAAACAATTAAAAATACTGGAAAAGTGCAAGGTTATTAAAATATGAATAAGTCTGTGAAGTGACAAACATTATATTATGTAAAGTTATCGTCAAGTCTAACAATTCTAAGGTTATATGATTTTTTCTAATAAAAAAATTTTTATATTATTTCTAATCATTTTTTATTGAATCTGAAAATTTTAAGTTTCCTATGATAATGATAAAAAGATAAAATTTAATTTAATAAAAGTCAAATATGAATAATCGAATTATCTAATTTTTTAACTACATATTTTTAACATAATAAAAATGTAGACGTGCTATATTATTGTTGAGTTAACCCGAAGTTTTGTGGATCAAGTTGAAAGCTGTATATGAAGTCTTCATTAGCTGAAAAAATTGTTTTTTTTAATCACTGAAAGTTATATAGATACCATAAAAAAGTGGTTTACCCAAACAAAAGTATCTAAAGATAACGTAAATTGCCCTTTCCAAGATATAGCTTCAACGTTGTTTGCTAATATTAACATCATCGTTAATAATTTTTGCTGGTTTACTTGTAATGAAGTCCAATTACTTTTATAAATATTATTTTTGAATTCCAATTCCTGGCAAAAATATTAAGGAAAACATGAAAATGAGTTAAGTGTCAAATAAAAATTAAAGACAAGAAATTAAAATAGTTACGTTCGACTTCAATTCTTCTCCGTATTTACAATAAAGAAATACTTGACAAAGCATACATGATAAATACATGGTGAATCCTAAGAACTCCAAGGTAAAAACATCGTTTTGTGATAATTGGAATATACTAGCGCACAAAGTAAGAGAACTCAAAAAGAAAAGCGGAGCAATAACAATCATAAAAGCCGTCTGAATACGTTTAACAGTTTTTTTCACCATTCCATAATGAGTTATTGTTTGTTTTAATAAAAACTCGTCGTTTTTTGAAATTGATTCTTGAAATCTGTAACTTACAAGCTCATACTGGCCAGAGGTTAGTAAAATAAAACCATAAATCATGGTATCCATTGAAACGTTGATGAAAATTCCAAAAATCAAAGCTACGAGCTGGATGACATATGTTACAGAAAATCCCAGTGTTGTTTCATCGTCGTAGAATTGATAAGTTTTAAAAGGTAACTCAAAATTCTCAGGGTCAAGAGTTACAAAAGGTAGTAGACAAAAAAATACTCCAGTGCTTTGAGACAATATTAATATGATCCTAAACATGTTGTATGCACTTTTTGAATACATTTTCAATATTTTTTCCTCTTCAGGCGAACATGCTTTATACATATCATGTCGAAACATTTTTAAAAGATGTAATACACTTTGACGTCGCATGATGAAATTTAAAATTTTTAAACACAATAAAATGTAGGTAACAGTCAAAAACATGACATCGATAAGTTCCTCAAGATCTTCCAGAAAAAAGTAAAGTTTAATAATTTGAACAATAGTAAAGTAGAATATAACCGTAATTAATGAAAATCCCCAAATAGATTTCAAAATGTTTTTATCAGAATCGGTTTCGGTCCAAATCCCACAAAATTGGAGTAAACGAAAATTAGCTGGTATAATATCCATTTTTTCTCTCAGATATTCACAGAACTAAACCACGAAACTTTACAGGAACAATAGCAGTATAGATAAGTTAGTTAGTATGCATCATAATTTCCTTTAATAAAGACGAATGTCGTTGATGTATTCGACGTGAATTTGCATATTTGATTGGTAATTTACAGTACAGGAGTGTACTAGAGTAAGAAGAGTTATACTGTACTGTAATAGTTATTCCGTCAATAATTTGAGATTTATATCGTATCAGTTGTCATATACTGATAATAACTAGATTCGAGTTTCAATTTCAAAGTGCTGTATGTGTAACGTATTAGACAACACTTCATTAAAATATGACTGCTTGAAAAGTGAAAAAATATGTGCTATGTTATTCTAGCCCCTTCGAAAGTCGAATTGATTTATTATTAATGTTTTATTTCTTTTATAAACTTTCATAAATGTAAATAAAGGATCGAATTCGGATTCACATAAAAGCTTATAACAGTTTAATATTTTAATTAATTTCATTTTTTTTTAATCGATAAAGTTTATTAATTTATGGCTGGAAATTTTAGCTAGTTCTAAGTTTAAATGTATTATTGGAATCGATATGAATGGGTATAAAAGTTGTAAAAATTTTATAAGAACGTATAAAGTTTTTTAAAAGTTTATACAATTTTTTGAATGGTTTTTTCTTTTTTTAAAGGTTGAACAATTTTGAGTTTCAAATGGAAAATGGATGATAGTTGCTTTTATATAGCGTAAAGTACGCAATCAAATCGAACTTTTAGAAATGTTCATATAAAATGAGTCTTCAATCTGACATTATATGTAAGTTTATAAAAATTTTTAGAAAGTTTGATAAAATTATACCAAAATACGTTTCCTGTCGGGGAGACTAGTAAAACAAACCTAGCTATAAAAATATTTATGGTTTAGAAATGGTTTTTATATTGTAAAATATGGTATCTTAACGTAACTTTATAAATTCGAATAAAATTCAATTATAATTTGTATCATGATGAGAGTGAGAAAAGTATTATTTATTGCTTACATTGTGCATATCAAAGTGTAGATGCTTTTTGGACTAAATGTTTAAACTAATTTTAGACGCGTTGTAGTAAATTGAAGGCGGCGTAAGAAGTTTTAACAATCTGTAAAAAAATTATTATTTTTACAGAAACAAAAAATAATCTTTTAATTCAAATTGTAAATATGTATTAAATTATTACGACACCCATAAAAATGTCTCCATAGATAAAGCACACAATCCGTGAAATGAAATATTTTTGCTATTTCGAGACACTGAGTTCAAAAACCAGATGTGTCGACGGTCTTTATTAGATAAATCCAGCCAATTTCCCATGTAGTAAGTTTCAGTGATAGCTCTACTCTGGTAAGTAGTTAATTGTGTATGCACATAATGTATTTCCCATTTATATGTATATTTTACAATATGTACATTTATATTTAATATTTACCTCATATCCTAATTCATTACCAAACCAGCAATATAAAAATACTTGAGTAAGTATACAGATGAAGTAAAAGAAAATGGAAAAAAACTCAAAACTGGCTAACTTAAGCTGTAAATTGTTTTTAAAGTATTATGTACAGTTTCAGTAATGAATTGTTTACATGGATTATATTGTATAGTTAGTGAATAGAATTAATATTCGGATTACCTTCGATAGTTGATAAATACTGGATGCTAATGTGATCAAACTACTCAAAAAGAAAAAGAAAATAACTTGTGAGAAGAATGCTTTTATTTTTCTTATCAACTTTATGATCAACATATGATGTTCAACACAATTCTGCACATCGTTTGAAGTTTTAGCATTTGTTATTCGAAACCCATTTAATTTTAATTGTCCGCAAATCAGTATAGAGAATCCACTTAGTAAACTATCCATTGAAATATTTAAAGTTATGCCATAAAAAGTAGATAGTGCTTGGATAGAATATGCTATCCAATAATTAACACTTTTGGTGATATCAAAAAATTGAAATGTTTTTATCGGAAGATTAATTTTTCTATTTTCCGTGGATAAAATAGAAGTTGAAAATAAAACTACACCGCAGAGTAAACAAAAACTTAAAAATGTTAAAAGAACATTTCTTGATAATTTACGAAAAAAATTTAGAACATCTTCTTCTTCTGTCGATTTTGGTTCACAGTGAAAAGATTTCAAATCATCTAGTATCTCTTGCATTTCTTCTTGATGAATTAAAAAGTTCCAGAGTTTAAGACACAAAGTAACATAAGTCAAAGTTAAATAAAGAACTTCTGAAAATTCATCGACGCTACCTTGCATACATATTAATTCTAATATTTGGCCCATAGTTATTTGAATAATAATAAATAGTACTACTATTTTGTAGGTATACTTTATAACTGGCAATTCATTATTATGATTGTGCCACATTCCACAAAATTGTAGGATTTGAAAATGAAGTGGCAAATCCATTACAAAATTTTTCTGAATTTCAATCTTAATTTATATGCGTTCAAGTGAGTAAAACAGAATAAAATGAATTCCTTAATACAATAAATAACTTGCCAAGTTATAATACCGATTTAAATTTCACTACACTCGAACGGCATAGTGGACTATATTTGTACTGTTAGATAATTGGATAAGATAGCCACATTATCTATGCACAAATAATTCGAATCACATACTTAAATCTGACAGCAGTCATCAAAGTGTCATATAAACTAAGTTTAATTTGTCAAACTCTAAGCTTTTTCGAATAACAAAGGAAAATCGCTTGAATACCTCTAAAAGAGCCGTGCCCAATTTGAAATTTGCATGTTATTTTAAAAAGTGAATCTCAGGTGACACATTCTTATTATTCTTAGATTACATGAGTAAGAATGTACAATTTACAATACAAATAAACGGTATAAAAATAACAAAAGTATTATTTGTGAAGTTTACTAGTAAAAATGCTGCAATGGCAAACTGTAGATAAACTTCTTTGAATTCAAATATTTTAATAGAAACTTAAGCGTATACATACTACAAATATAATTATGCAATAAAATAATTGGGTCGATTTTTGAAATTATTCTGTGTGATTATAAGTTTGTAAAACGCGATTGAGAATCGCACTCCATGGTTTCATAATTTTTTTATTACTTCCTAAATTAGGTTTATCTTGTAGACTTAATGAAAAATTTAAATTATGTTTTCGAATATCTTCTTTGAGTCGGTTTAGTACATCATTGATAGCTATGGGTTTACTATTTTCATCATTTTTACTGTATTTATTAATGGATTTGTTCGTTTTAAATTTTTTTTTACTTTTCCTCTTACCGTCTCTTACTTTTTTAAGCTTAGAATTTTTAGATTTATGAACCGTTTCATCAATTTTCCTATTTGGCTTTGATTTCGTCGTCAACAATGTGAAAGTTTTCGTATAAAAATTTTGACTCGACAGTGTTACTGTTTGAGGTATACGTGTAGTTCCCACTTTAATTTTTTCATCCAAGCTCGAATCGATTATTTTTTGAAGCTCAACTTTCGTCTGAGATGTTTGGTTTTGCTTGTTTTTATCACTTACTATTGAGTCAGTGCGAATTAATTGTGATGTTTCGTCGAAAGTTGTATTGAGTTTTTTATTACTATTATTCTCTGAAAGAAGATCATATTCTTTGTTATATAAATTTGTTGTAGGTAATGTTACATGTGAATTTTCGGTTTGAGAAATTGTGGAAGTATCATTTCTTAAATTTGATTCAAATGTAGAACCTATCATTTTTATAAAATCTTGTGTAGTTGTTCTATAATAAACTGTTGAATCAGTCGGATACGGTACACGAGTTGTTTCCAATTTCAAAGTTGACTCAGGAGAAATAGTAGATTTAGTTAAACTTGTTAATGAAGCTGTTACAAAAGTAGGTTTTGATGGTAGGAATTCTGTTGGAACAGTTTTATCTTCCTGCGTAAATTTTTCAATTGGAGGTGTTGAAAAGGAAAATATAGTTGAGCCAGTCGTTTCTTCTCGTACGACTGTATCAAATGATGGCGTCGACTTAGAAAATACTGTTGGATCTGTTATTTCCTCTTGAGTAGTAGTTTTATGGTTGACCGTTGATTGAGGAAACATCCATGAACTAGTTGTGTCTTCTTGAAAAGTATTTTCAAATATAGGTGTTGATTGATAATATATCGTTGAATTAATTATATCTGTTTGATAAGTTTCTTCGATATCATTCGACCTATTGTTTTTAAGTATTTTTCTAAAATCACACGCGTCAGACCCTAAAATGATACGATTATTTATGTATGGAAATCCAATAAATAAAAATAAAAAAAAATTATTGAAGAACTCACATTTCTGGCATATATAGTTTCGTGGAATAGAGCAACTAAGGCCATAAAATTTAGGTTCTGCTGAAGGTCCTTGTTCCATATTTAAACAATTTCCACTTTCATCTATGACTTCATTCAAAATGAAATTACTATCAATATCAAAAATTTTCTTTTCAGTCCTGCTCCATGTCCAAGATTCATTTTTTTTCAATCCATCAATCCAAAATTGTTTTAATTCTATGATTAATATCTGCATTTATCAAATGAAATCTTGTTTAAATTATAAATGAATAATATTCTTTTAGTACAAAGCAAAAATGTATTACTAACTATCACGTTTATCAAACATGATTTGCATCATATCGTTCATAGTTTCAAAAGAATCTAGAATTGCTAAAGTTGCATTATTTTCTAAACAAAGTCTGTAAGCTTTTTCCCATGGCACAGGTGATATGCCTATAAGATACGAACAATTACCAATATTAATTAATGCAGGTTTCGTAGCTTGAAACTCTTCTGTGGCTAAAATTGTTACAGGTTTTCAATTTCAATCAAGGATCAAAACTAATTAATTAACACATATTAAGATATGATCATTGTTACTGTGTTACTCACGAGTTTGACACCACACTCCAAACTTTTTATTGCAATTCACTCTCAAAAAAGTTGATAGTTTAATCATGTGTCGATCTAATATTAAACACTCGCCAAATTTTTCAGGATTTGCTATGTAATTTTCAGATATATTTTTTCCTGATGGTAGCCATTTCCAAACGTAATTTTTTCTATGCCCACCTATCCAAGTACTTTCAATTGCCTCTATTATGAATAAAAATAGTATTATACTGTTTCTCTAATAATAAATTGAAATATTGAAAATTTTACTTGGCCTCATTCTTAACATTTCCCAGCTCAAGTTCTCAATTTCAAATGCAGATGAAACTTCGGCTATTTGTAGGCCTTGATGACGGCAGTAAACAACTGCCTGCATCCAAGATAACTTTTCAGGATAAAATGTGAATACCTTGTCGTTCACTTCGATAGATGCAGGAGTTGAATAATTTAAATCATCTGAAAATTCGAACTTGATTAAAAATTAGTTACAAATTGAGTCAATCAATTCAAGATTAATTGTACTTTTTTGACATATAAATGATCTAAATTCATCGCACAGAATGGGAGTAAATGTAATCCCCTGATGATTCTTGTGTGAAACTGTTAGACAGTAAGAAACGTCATTCATTGAATTTAGGAATTTTATTGTCGATGTTTCATTTATTTTATTCAGATCAACTTGTTTATTTGATGTCATCCAAATCCAATTCCTAGAACCCGAAAGCCGTGAACCAATCCAAAATTGAACGCCTTCTGCAAAAATATCTTATAATTAAAATGCAAATAATTTTAAAATTATTATAATAATTCTACTATTAAACAACCTTCGTTCATTTTACTAAAGTAATCACTGATGATCAATGCTTCTTTTTCGGCATCCAATATAGCCAAATTTGATTTATGTTCAGAACAAATGATTTGAGCTTCATCCCACGTTACACGATAATCGTAAAATGTATAATGGATGTAGTCCAATACAACAGTTTTGCTTTGAAAGTGTCTAAAATTCATATCTAATTTTCTTTAATTTACTCGCTTGTTATTATTATCTACTAATAAAAAAAGATTTTTACCATTAGAATTTGATTGCTTTAAGTTTAATTTCACAACTATTAAAAACAATATAAATTTGAGCATATCGGTAAAATGATCAAAATAACTTTTATGTTTATGTTCGAATTTTATCAATTGAAGTTCTGGTTTTATTCATGGTTTTAGTCCTCTTTGAAAATGATCGATGACTGTCGCCACAAAAAAACACGTAGAAACGTACACAATCACGCTATTACAAGCTTTGAGCATAATCTCGAATTCTTCGGCTACTAGCATTAAAAACAAAAGTGTGAGTCGGTATCGTAATCGTCAACGGTGTTGCGTGACTAATAACTAATAGCGAACTATTTTAACCATCAGCTATATGAAATGCATTTGAAATCAAATTGCATAAATGTACTTATTCATAGGTTGAAAAAGAAATATTTTAAAAATACATTAATGAGTTAATGGTAAAAAATCATAAAAAGTTTCTGAAAGTGCCACATTTATTGTAAATAATTTTATGTGCATTTCAAAAAGTTTACACTTTTTACAGAAATGAATCATGCAATCTTGTTAAGATTGCTAAGATTGTGAGTCAGTCTAGCACATAACACACTTACGCAGAGAGAAAAAACATTATTAAACAGAAGTGAACAATTTTAAATGCATGAATTTTCAAAGTATATTAAAATTACTATTATAGAGTTTTATAAAAGCTTTAAGAAACTTCACGTAATAAGTTGAAAGCTCCATAAGAAGTTTTAACCACCTGTAATAAAAGATTATACGAATAACTTAATTGAAATTATAGAGAAAATCAAAAAAAATTTTAATTAACAAGAAAATTTTTTTTAAGTATTCATTATAGTGATTCATGACGAGTTATAGTTAATGTTTTTATTATGGCATCTGATTTTATTTAATAAATATTTACCCATAAAAAAGTAGACATTGATAATTGACATTGGCCATGAAATGAAATATTAGAACTGGTTTGAGCTTTGAGCATTAAAAAACACATTGATTGACGATGTTTTTTGTTAAAATCCATCCAGTTTCCCATATAAATAGCATTTGCAACTTCACTACTCTGAGTTTAAAAAATGTCATAATTCTTAGCTTTTAATTTCCTTATTTGGTTTTGGCATGTATATTTCAGTAAATCCCTATAAAATTATAATTTTACCTGTAATTTTAATTCGTTGCCAAACCAACAATAAATGTATACTTGAGACAGCATTAATAAAAAATATGTAGAAATAAATACAAATCCAATACTCATAATCGGTAGCTGCAACATAATACATGATATTAATTAATTACTCACGATTCCATAAAAATATATTCTTTGATAATTTCTTCGAGATTTTTGGATTGATTTTCACCTTAGACATTATGAAAATGCTGGTGCATAAAACAATCAAGCTAAATGTAAAACATGGCGCAATTACGGGAACAAAAAAAGATTCAATTTTATTTCTTATTCCAAGAATTACTTTGTGATGGGCTACACATTCTTTGATTGAACTTCCATTGCTAAGGTTACTCAATCTCATGCAGTGTATCTTAAATTGTCCTTTTGCTGCTGTCAAAAATCCAAAAACCATAGTATCCATCGACACGTTTAAGGCAACTCCATAAATTGATGACACCACCTCCAAAGTATAAAAAATCCAATAATTTCGTCGATTGTTTAATATATTTTTGGGCAATTTTAATGCCAGTGGTAATTTAGTAGTATCAAAACCCTCATCTATGACAGGTGCAATAAAGAGGAACGCAGTACATATCATTGAAAGCCACATTATCAACGTCCAAAGTTTGCTAGCACTTTTGATGTAGCCAGAAATTACAGCTGCTTCTTTATCGTTTTTTGGTAAACAATGCGGTGATCGAAAGTCTTCAAGTAATTCTACCATTTCACGACGACGAGTAGTAAAATTAAAAATTTTCATGCACAAACCAACGTAAGTAAAGCTGACAGACAAAGCATCGGAGAATTCTTCAATACTTTCACGGGAATCTGTTGCACCCAATATTTGGAAAATAGTAAATTGAAAGATAATTAACATTACAATTATTTTGTAAGAGTTTTTTAAAACCGTAAAGGTTTTATTTTCCTGCCAAATGCCACAAATTTGAAAAGTTTGAAAATTTTTAGGCAAAAGATCCATTATATCATATATACTAATCTGAATCTATATTAACTTGAGATTATTTATGATAATTTAATTTTAAAAAATTAATTCTCAAAGAAATATTTTTATCTATTTTAAAGTTTGACAAATCACGGAGCTATAGATCTATTAAAGCGCTTGTACATTGTAAGAATGTATAACCCTAACTTATAAATCGACTCTATTTATTATTAACGTGTAATTATTTGAATTTCCACAATACAATAAGATATCAAACATTGATCGTCATTATAGTAATCGTTGCAGTCAAATGGTAGTTTAACTAAATTATGTGCTTTTTTAAAGGTTCATTGTTATAGTATAACTAGACTCGTACACGCAATTTGCACGCTTGGCGACTATTCAAAAAAATTAGATTTTTTAAACATAAACAAACAATATTGTTTGAACCCGTTCGATTGATGTAAATTAACATAACTATATAAAGCTCGATGAAAATATACGATGAATACACGATACTGATGATGAATCAGTATGCTGGCTTACTTTATTCGGCAATATTATGATTAGATCTTTGACAAAAAACAAAAAATTGAGTAGTTGTTTGTTTAAAATAGAGAAAAAAATATTCATTTTATCCTTAAAATTGAAAATATTCTATTGGAAAAAGTTCTTATTGAGTATGGTATAATATTTGAAAATGCAACTCACTGGAACTAACTTGTATGTATGAATAAAAATTAACTAATATTATTTCAAAAATTCGTTGGAAAACAATTGGCAAACTTTTATTAAATATAGTATTTGAGATTTACAAATAATATTTATTATGGACTTTCAGAAATCCAAATTTATGCAGAAAATCCGGGTGGTGCTTTAATAAAATATAATAAAACTAAGTTTAACTAAGATTTTCAGGTCGGTAAAAGGTTGTTAAAACCTTTAAGATACTTGTTGCAACAGATTAAAAGCTCCATACGATGTTTTAACAATCTGCAACACATTTTTTCTAAATAAGTTAAAAGTAATAATCAAATTATCGTGATAGTTATAAATTTACAAAAGAAACTTGATTATATTTCTATGATAAAAGTAACACATTAATCTTCAAGACCAATATATTGTAATGCGACACAATCACACACACACACACACACACACACACACACACACACACACACACACACACACACACACACACACACACAGGTTTATACGATTTTTGTTATTATATTATAAATTTAATTAAATCATACCCATATGAAAGTATCCATAGATAGTTGGCACTGCCCGTGATATGAAATGTTTGAACCTGATTGAGCTTTCATCATTGCAAAACGAAGCGTGCGTCGGCTTTCATTCGAGTATTCTATCCAATTACCCATATAAATGGAGTCTGACACTGCTTTGCTCTGAAATTTTAAATTACTAGTCATATCGTCATTTTTTAATGAATGAGCAAATTTTTATCACCTGCAGTTCCAACTCATTGCCGTACCAGCAATAAAAGTATACCATGAATAACATACACACAAAATACATGGCTAGAGAAATAAATTCAGGACTTGCAATTTTTTGCTAGATTGGTAAAGATAAAAGAGGGAAAGAGTCCAAAAGAGTGTTTTTTTTGTAATTAAAATTTGTGAAATTAATATACGTACCTGAGACATTCGAAAAATACTGGTACACAAAATAATTAAACTAAATGTAAAAAGTGGAGCAATAACACGGATAAAAAAAGATTCGATTTTATGTCTTATTCCAAGAAGTAACTTGTGATGAGCCATGCATTCTTTGATTGAATCTTGATTGCTAAGGTTGCTTGATCTCATGCAATTAATTTTGAATTGTCCAGCTGCTGACATCATAAATCCATAGACCATTGTATCCATCGATACGTTCAAAAACACTCCATAAATCGTTGCTACGAACTGTGAGGCGTAAGCCATCCAATAATTGAATCGGCTGCTCGAAATATCGTATGGTTCGTACATTTGATAAGGCAAAATACTGCAATTGGTACTAAACTGCATGATAGGGGCCATGACGAGTGAAAAATTTGTAAATTGTGATAGACCCATAATAGCCATGAAAAGTTTCCCAGATACCCTCCTATAATCACGGACGATACTCAGTTCATCTTCATTTTGAGCCTGGCAATATGTAGATCGGAAGTCGTCGAGCAGCTCTGTCATTTCTTGTCGTCGCACCACGAAATTCAAAATTTTCATGCACAAAGCCACGTAAGTAAAAGTTACGAAAAGAGCATCGGAAAATTCGTCCACACTATTGCTGGCATTAGGTATTCCAAGTATTTGACAAATTGTGAATTGAAAAACAATGAACATTACGGTGAATTTGTAAAATTTTTTCAAAAATAGAAATTTCTCCCCCTCGTGCCATACTCCACAAAAAAGACACGTTCGAAAATTATAAGGTAAAATATCCATTCTTTTATTTGATAATTGTTTGAATACTACTTGAATGTAAATAACGAAAGATTACCAATAGAGACGATTTTATTGTATGTGCGTCATTGTAAAAATACGTACTATATTATCAGAGCAGGTTATTAAATAAGCTGCAATGAAGTAAGTTTGTACTTGCGATAAAAACCTATTGTATAATTAAATTTAAATCCATTCAAGTCGTGAAATAAAGTTATACATACAATTCTTAAGATTTTTTTTCTAAATTTTTAAACAATCTTTTTTTAATTAATTTGTTTAGTTTAAATGATTTATTTTTGAAAATATTTTTTTCATAACAGTTCATAAGAAACTAGTTACGTTAAAGATGATTGTTTGCTTAGCAACTCACTTGTCAACCCTTTTGTCCATAACTCACTCCACATAATAGTTCTCTTATAGCGAGATAATGATATGTTCGAGGTATATAAGCTTCGCATTGCGAAATATTTCCCTTACATTTTTTACTGTTTAATATTTTATCTACGTTGCATAATATAAGCTTAACTCGCTAATAAAATTATGATACGATAAAGAAAAAAATTTTTTGTGTGGGTTTTAGAATAGTAAAATCTATATTTAATGGAAACATTTTACTTGGGTATTGAAAAAAAGTATTTTTAAACGGATAATATTTCTAAAATTTAAAAGTGTTATTTAAACGAAATCTTAAAAAATAATTACATATCTTTATATTATATGATGGAATGTGTTTATAATGGCCCACAATGGCAATTTCGTACTCAAATTTACTTGCGACAATAAAGTTAAATGGAAGGTAATTTTTTAACATTTTTAGAGATAGTTATACTTATGAATATTTACACTGCAGAAACATTATGCAATATGGAATAATGCATAAACCAGAAAATAATACAAATATACAGGCACGCGTTATTTTTATTTGTCGAATACCACACAGGAATTTTATACCCCAAAAAATATAAAATGTAATCACGAAACTTTGGTTTTAACTTATTTTATCGTACTAAAATGCATAATATTATATAATCAAAATATATAATATTTCAAAGTACATGTTTTACATTTAGCTACAGTAATTTCTCCTTACAGAGGCCCAGCTCATCTTTGCATAGTTTCAAAGGCTCGGGTAACTGTTTAGCTAGATTTCACTGGTCTCTCTTAAAGATTTCACTTATAACTAATGCAGACTACTTCATTACACGCATAATAATTTACTGTGAAAATTATAAATCAACGAACTCACACGTTACACAGACTTTAAATGAGACATTTTATAGATTTAGCGATGATAATACGTAACTTGACCTATGGTAGCATCTAGATCGAAAGATAAAATACAACGAATGCAATAGATAAATTTGACCAGGTATCGATTCATAAATAGAATAAGTAAAATAGTAGTCAAAGTATAACAACAGTCAGGTGAGTGACTCGAACGATGACATTACGATGATTTTAAATTATTCGAAGAAAGCTTTGTTTCGTGTAATTAACGTTTGTTCGGCCTTCGGAAGATACCAGCGAACAAGACAGTACGCGACGGTCTGTCGTAGATGAAGTAAGCGAAGGGATGATTGGCGGTGAAAAATGCCGGCTCCGTAGGCCTGCTGGATCGGAAGCTGAAGAGGGCCGTGGCCGCGGCGGCCGTCGTGCCCTCCTCGGTGATCTCGATCTTGGCCCGGTGCACGGCGTCGCCGAGGGTGATGGGCTTCTCGCCCTCCTCGACGAAGGCCCCGAAGTCGGAGTTGGCGCTGTCGAGCACGGATTCGGCGCCCATGGCGTCGAGCAGCGTCTTCACGGGCAGCTCGCGCTCCAGGCTGAACTTGGGTATCTGCAGGTCGACCTCGCGCGCCGGCATGCCGCTGTCGAGGATGTCCCTGAGCTCCTTGGCGCTGTCCTGGTTATCGGACAGACGATTGAGCAGCTGGCGCACGCCGTTGGACTTGGGCTGGCCGGCGGAACGAGCGGCCGCCGCGGCTTGCTGGGTTTGCACGAACGGCGGCAGCAGGATGTACATGGACACGTCGTCTCCTTTGTAAGGCAATTGCAGGATGTGCACGCCGAGCTCCTCCGAGACCACTGCAACGAGGAAATATATGCTTGTTGCGGACGATCCTTTCTTGCTTTTTATACCAACTAAACGCGAGTTATCTTACTGTGACTGAAGGATCCCTTCTGACGCATGAACGTGGCGATGGTCATGTTCTCCTGGCCGAGGTAAAACACGTCGCGCTTGGTGTTCTCGGGCAAGAATTTGCTCTGCCAGAGTCCCTTGAAGTAGACGGCGTTGGCCAGGACGGCGTCGGTGCTATCGTCGATGGCGCTCGGGGGCAGCAGGTCCTGGATGTTGCCGCGAGTCTCGCTGCTCACCCAGTCGTTGATGCGCTTGCGGCTGGCCTCGGGATCGGCGCGGAAGTCCTCGCGCTGAAGCTCCTCGCCGTAAAAGTCGAGCACGCACTGGCGCAGCCGCTTGGCGCTGCTCAGCCACAAGCGATTCGCCACCCGGTACTCGTAATTGTCGCTCGAGTTTGCCTAAAATACACATCGAGCATAGCAAAAGTTTTTAGAAATTACATCGGCTCCTTTTGCGCGCTCGTGCGCTTCGAAAAATTCATCGTCGCAAAGTGCAGCAGAGTCGGGAATGAAAAACGGCTGCACGCGATCGGCTCGCGCTCCAAAGCCGCAACGGCCTCGACTAAATAAGCACTTGTATATTTTTTGTCCCGAATACAATGCGGCACTCTCGGCAGACTGCAATGAGCATAAACTTTTATGTACCCGCGACTCGTACACGACTAAGCAGAGCAAACTAATTTTCCGCGCCGCGTGTTGCGGACAATAATATTTATTTATCGATTCAAAACTGCGATTGCGATGCGGGGAAAAGCGGCCGCGTTCTTACCTTGCGTGCCAATTCGAGGGACTTTTCGTAAGCGTAGAATCTCTGCACATCGAGTTTGTTAAAGTCTTCAGGGATGTTGAGGGCTTTGCGCAGAGAAGTCTCGGTCTTGCCGTGGGCGCCGGAGTAGGCGAGCCCCAGGGCCTCGTACAGGCTGTGCGGGCTGAAGAAGATGTTATCCTGCGTCTCGATCTCGGAGATTTTCTTCAGCGACTCGAGGGCGAAGTCGAAGCGGGCATTGCTCAGAATCTCGGCGGCGTCCGGGCGCATCGTGGCCGGACTGTCGTTTTTGGTCAGGCATTGGCTGCTGCAGCCGATAACCAGGAGGCTGCCCAGCAGCAGCAGTAGCGGAGCTCCCGAACTACTTGCCATCTGTGCAGAAAATGAAACAAATTATTCAGCTGATGAAACTCGTCCGTTTCCAATGCATCGAACATCGCTCGAGAACGATCCGATCGTGCGGGCGCCTCGACGTCGCGGCTTTTACGCGCGCGCGCACACGAGGCAGCTCTCTGTCCTCGCGACGCATGACGAATCGGGACGAGACTCGCTGTGCGCGCGATGGACTCGAACGATTGCGCAAATCGAGAGGATTGTATAACAGGACATATCGTGCGAGCTTATCAAAGTGTGCAGGCGTGCAGTGGCGCGTGTACGCACTCGTTACTTTCCCCGAAAACTGATCGAGACGTCGTCGTTGCAATTTATGCCCGCTGCGGCTGAAATGTATGTTTCTGCGATTGCACCGCATTCGCGAAATTATGTGGAGCGATTTCGCGTTTCTGCCCGCGACATCGATTTTATAATTTCGTTATTGTCGTTGGCGAGCTTCTAACGGGCTATAAGTGAACCGAAGCGTTGCCTGCAGTCATGAAAGGCAATGAGCAAACATACGTTTCCCCTTTGTGTCGTACAATAATTGTGACATGTAAATAATTCACTTTGTCCAACGTTTTATGCGCTTTTTTGTTTCGCTCTTTTTTATGGACAAATTCGATCTAAGTGGCACGCGCACCTCATCCATAGCATGATGTGGCTGGCACTGCTGAAAGCACAAACTTCACGTGCGAATGAGATATATTGTGGATTGTTGTTTGCACGCACATGCGAACACGAGGCGTGTATATCTGACACATAAACAGTCCTTATCAAGATTTCGAATTCGATGTTACGTATATGTAGTGTAAAAATGTATGATTCACTTCTGACTTTTTAGCTTTTATCACTGCATCGCTTGTAGTAATTTATTTTGAAGGATATTGCGGCAACTGGTGCTACAAACAAACGATATTTTGTTGCTCACTTGCCATTTTACCTAATGATAATAAATACATAGAGAAGTATCTTGCTCCGTTTTACCGTCTCTGCAAGTAAATTCAGGATCCATTTCGAAGCTTAATATTTTTCAAATTGTTCGGACTTGAGGACTTTTTTCCACTTTTTGCCAGAAGCCTAGCAAGCAGTCGGCTTCGATGACGGTTGCAATATACTCTTAGCTCGGAAATTCCAACTCTCTACTCTCCGTCTTTCTATTGGGTATTTAGCGAATTTCTTTGACTCGATTCAAATTTATCGTATTTTAAAATCTACACATTAATCACACGAGGGGAAAAAGAGCCCCTTTTTTTTATCTTATCCGAGGAGTACAATTAAATGTTTGAATTTTGAAAATCACGAAAAAATAGACGAAAAATGGCGTTAAAAAGAATTAATTTGCGCTTATATAAAAATACTTTCTCGCGTAGTGTAGCACGTGGGTAAGAGAAAGCTCACGTATGTATGTGTGAGTATGTGTGTATTCTGTTTTGCTCGATGGCCAGGTACGGTCTTCTCGCCCACGCAATACTGTATATTTTTTGAAACCTTTTACCAAATGTGTTTGCGATGCTCGCTCAGTTTTTTAGTCAAGACTGCGCGGGGCTCTCTCAACATATACAGCCTGCAGTTTCAATGCCAATCGCGATGCCGTAAACTTTCACGAAATTCCTTCGTTTGATTTTTCTGACGCGAGGACTGAATTTCGTGTTTACGAATCGTCACGATATCGAGTGCAAAAAATAAGGCGGAAATATATGGATAATCGAGTGGGTCCGCTCGCGCGGATGAGCTCGCGCACTTGGGTTATTCGCGCTCTGACGTTGTTCGCGCAAATTATGACCGTAGGTACACTGTAATGTATATACGAAGTGAAAGCATCCGACGTATAGTCCCAATGACGCCACGATATCTTTACACAGCCTTTGCTCGTATGAATATCTACATACTACGGTATGATGTCAAAAAAACAACAAGGATTTTTCATTATTAACTTCAAAATGACTCATGCAGCTGTATATTTTTTCTCGAAAATAATTACTCCAACTGAAACAATATTTCCTCATGTATGCTTAAACAGATTTTAAAATAAAAGTGAAAAAGGCACTCGAGTATACAATAGCTCCTTGGATAAAGATGAGAATTTAAAATTATTCATTCCTCGCGTGTAAAATTAGGTAATACGTATACGCTCATATCTGATCAACACACGTGAACATTATATACCTGCTCTCGCTCACAATGTATAAATATACAATAATAATATTATGATTGAAGTCGCGCGCGTCAGTAGGCACGTCTGAAGAATATATTAATTTTAAAAAATTGACTGTGCGCATCTGGCGAATAAATAAGACATTACAATAGTGCCCCGATGAATAATTAACTCGTATAATAAATAATAATAATAATTTACATCCGATAAGTGTCGATCATACTCGTTAGTTGTAGAGCCGTGCATTTTTCCATCGTCATCCATCAAAACTTGGGGAAGTCGAATATCGACCCTTTGTACAGCACAGCTTGAGAATATTATTGATGTTTCATATCTCCGAGCTTGGAGAGCTCGATGACTTCTCGACGTGTGTGTTTTTGCGCAGTAAACACAATGAATGGTTATAATTGTATCGCTCAAAAATGTTGCAATAACAAACAGTTGCTCGCAAGTGAGTACAATGCGGCGCGTATTGTAGCTTATTAGCCAATGATGAAGTTTAATTAATACTTACAGCTCCGCAAGTCGCGAGTCTTTGAGAGATCAGCGAATAATTGCAGGCTGCAGTTCGCCGACGAGTCGACGATTATTATGCGATCGATGATCATGTTTGAGAAACGAAGAAAGCACGTTATATATCATAGGATGGGATTCGTTGGGGTGAAGCATTACCAGGCGAGCTTCTCATCTCTGTTTTGCCAGCAAGATAACAACAGCTGCTGCTGTTGATGCATCATGCAGTTTGGTCTAAGAATTTATCGCGCTCGATAGTGGAGACGCGAAACGGACAATGCCAATGGCTCCTCTCGAGCAGATCAAAGGCTACGTTTAATCGGCTTGAGATAGCTGTGAGATGGTGACATAACGTAACAATTAAATTCATCGATCGCTTGACTCGTTCGAAAGCGATTTAGCTATTCGTAATGTTTCGTACAACACATTTACTTTTGAAAATTGCCGTGCTTCGGTGATGTCACGTAGCGTCGATTTTGACAGTGACAAATTTACAAGAAATCGTTTGAATAAAAATTCAGATTCGTCAAGGGCACTTTTAACTAGCAAATGTAGTAAAGCGTCAAAATGACAGTTATCCTTGGGTCGGATGCGCTCGAGTTTCTTATCGATTATCTCACTGGCGGTGCGTCTCGCGGCGGTAAAAAATCGGCTCAGGGTTCGCACGATGGCCTCTACTCGAGGCGTGAACTGCGCTACGGTGGCTTGCGGTAAACTTTGATATCCGTCAAGCAACGAGCGGAGTACACTTGCCATCGAAACTCCAAATCGACGATGGAGTTTTGGTAAACAGACGACAGTCGAGCTGTCGGATGATCATAACGAGACACGGGCTGCTTACAGATATTCCGCTTGAATAAATCTGCTATAGGCGCGCGTGCCTGTACGATATGCGCTGTTATGGCTATAGCTATAGGTGCGGGCTCGTTAATATTATTCGCGTGCGTCGGAAACCGATGCTCTCGCGCATCGGCCTCGTGCATACAACAAGTAGGTGCTCGGCAACTTTCACCCATTAGAAAGACTCACCGGACTGGCCATCGTGAACGAAGGGAAGAGAAGAAAGCTGCGGACACTCGGCACTCGGTGGACGCGCGACGATGACGACGATCAAAGTGAAACGTCCGTGCGAGCAAACAGAGTACGACGTGCGACACGAGGCAGAGCAAGTCGACGACTACCGCGCGGCCAAAACTAAAACTGGCAGGGACGCTGCTCTTGGCCGCTACTTTTAACTCTGCCCCACCATCCAGCGCGAATCGTGTATAACATACGTGCGATACTACATCGCGGCTCTCGCGGGCCGTGAGCGTCACGAGCCCGACCTGCCTGCCTGCTCGTTGTGTGTGTGCGGCAGCGATCGCCAGAACGTATATACGCCTCGTGCAACGCGCCGATGATGCTGCTCTGACCAGCTTTACTCGCTCCTGCTGTTCGTTCGCCCCGATTGTTGTATGACGCAGGCATCGCTTCGACGCGCGCGCAATTCCAACCGATCCATCGGACCCGCGACGCAGATCGACGCTCGATGGTCGGGCCGATTTTCACCTCCACTCACCTCCCATGCGCTCGTCCTGTTTATTTTCACTTTGGACGGAAAAACTGAATTTTCGTCGAGGCTTATCGAGATTTTTAACAGCGAAAACTCACGCTTGACTACGAGTTATACTGCTTTATTTGGCGCCTCGGCTTATTCCATCTCATTTTAACCGATTTTTTCTCGTAGTCTAGACATTTTCCTCACCGGGGTAATTCCAACGATTTTATAAGAGCGTTTGTCTCGGAGCTTTCAATTGAAGCTGTGAAACAATGAATGAAAATTCCAACTCGACTGTGACATCGAATACGTGCAGCGTTGAATGCATTGATGCTGCAGTCCAGCCAGAGAAACGGAATTATAAACACAGCACTAAGCACAAAAGAATTAATGAGAGTTGGTTTTTTTTCCATCTATTCTCAACAATAGCGTAATTTATTTTCTCGAGATCTGTGTGTATAAACATACTTCTCGCTCGTCCAATTAATTGTTTTCTCCGACTTTTATTTTCCTCGAACATGCGGATCGAACAAGAAATGCAACTCTAAACTAAATATTTGCTATTTTTAGATCGAAAGCGGCCAATATACTTCTAAACACAAGTTGAAAATCAATAGCAAGAAAGGAGTTTCACCAGAAAAAGTAGTAAAAGAATATTGGAACGACGGGAAAAAATCGCATTGAAGCGAGGTTGAATTTAAAATGATAAAACACGTTTTGGTTCCGTCATCGTAATGCGTAAAAATCAGTTAAAAATAATTTTATAGCTATCATAAATTATGCGATGCCTCCAAACTACTAAGTTGTTTGTTAAACGTTTTAAATGTAGCATATTAGTACCTATCTTTAAAAAAAAACATTTATTTAGAGAAAAGGCGTCAGGTTTTTTATTTTTTTTTTAAATTTATAAATTTTGAAAGTTACTTTACGCGTTTCGAAAAAAGATAATTTAGATATCAAAAAATGAATTCTACGTAAAAAAATACTCAGCCTCCTGATCAACCTTTTGGAAAAAATTTAGTTACAACACAAGTAATTTGCACGGCTTTAAGAATTGCACATTATAAGAAAAAAATACTGGCCATTTCTCTATCAAGCGTTGTTGGATTTGACGAGGCATTAGCTGTTCAACAATAAACAGGTAAAATAATAATTGCAATTCTATGCAGGAAAACCCAATATTATAGCTCGCATAGAGCAAGTTGCTCGATCAGCGCTACATCGATCGACAATGAGTTGCATTCTGGGTATTTCCCAGGCTGTATTCTAACGAGCCCGCATACAATGACGTGAATTGTATACGCTCGTTACCGATCACGCGCATTTTTACCTCAACGGATCCACCGATAAAAAAAATCAAGTTTGTCCCCGAACGTAATAACGTCAACAACGCCTGAAATTTCTGGCCGAAGGGGGTTTTATTTTACTGTGAAAGATCTTGCGTCATAGTTAGTAGTCAGTGTGAGATTTAAATAAGAATTCACAAGTTAATTTAAGTTATTCATTCTGTTTTATAAGAAAAAAATTCAATTGATCAAAAATTATCATTTTTCCACTCTGAGCCAAATTGAAGCAAGATAAAACTTTCAATTTCGCAATTTCGCGATTCGCATCAATCAAAATTTAGCATATGTAAGTATATTAATTTTCGTAAAATATTCTTCACTTTATTTTATTACATTTAATATATCATCATCAAAAATAATAATTGATTTCATTGTTCTAGTTTAATTGCATATATACATATAATATGAATATTTCTAAATATACAGTCTCTATAAAATAAATAATAAACTTATATACATATATATATCTTTGTAGTAAGTCTCAACTTAGGAACAGTGAACTGTTGCTAATACATATATCACATTTAACAAGAACAAGTTATGCTCTCAACAAAATAATATAACAACTATTTTCTTAAATTTATCAATGCACATTGGTTCTACTCACAATTCAACATTTAAATATACTTATATGGCTTTAATGTTTTATCATAACTGTTCTTTCATCTAAATTTTCTTATCCTTTAAACTTATTACACTGACTATTCAACAATTTAAGGTTCAACAATGGATTCCATGCTTTTTACCCAAATTTTCATAGGCTTTTCTTTTTTACAATAGTAACGTATTGTAAAGAAATTCATAATCATGAAAACAATTCCCAAAACTATATAATATCCACCATAAACAAGATACTGAAAATTTAAATAAACTTATTAGTATTGCATTTGCATTTGTATAAAAAATAAAATACAATTTACCTGTGATTTTATATCCAATGCTAATCCTTTCTTTTCCACCACTATGAGAGTTAGTATGGACTGCAGCAATAATGCAAAAAATGTATTTGTTCCAAATATTAAACCATAACTATCTTCTGATAGATGTTTGGCAACCTCAAAACTATTGAATAGAAAAAAATAAGAATTTTCTCATTATGTTACATGATGATATAATTTTTAATACATTACCTGGCAACAGTAATTATAGAATGATAAATGACTCCAAAAGCTACATAAGCAGCGTATAAAACCCAAATATTGTCACACATGTATGATGCAATCAATAAAAATCCTTCAATAAAAGAAAATATGGACAATATTGCTTCTCCTACTAATGGCCAGTTAAAGTGGAGATTTCCAACGCAAAATACTACAAGGGCACCTGAAAGTTCAAATTCATTATTGAATAAAGAACAGAAATTTAATTAATTGTTAGTTTAGTTAAAAATAATATAAATAAGGTACTAACTTATTAATGTGTATACAGCTTCCACTGCACCATTATAAATTTGAAAGTCATTTGAATTTGGCTCAGTATGCTTTACAGCATTCTCCCATAAAACTTGTATATAGCTTATGACCTGTAAGTAACCGCAAGTGGCAAATGCCCACCACAAAGACCATTTTACAACATGCCTATTTGTATAAGCTTTTATAAAATCTTCCCATAGAAGATAGTAAGCATGTTTAATTTTGACGAAAAATGTCTTAGTTTCCGTTTGAGAAATCCTGTGAGAAGAAGAAGCTGACAATGTATGATTACTATCTGGGCTTCCCAACGATGCAGAAATATCGGTTATACTGGGTTCTGATCTATGAAAATATATTGACTGATCTACCGGTGGCAAAAACAAAGCCCAGATTGTTGCTATTATAAGAGCTGAAATGTAATTAATTTATTGATTTAATTGTATTTTATTCAATTTGTGTTGTATTTTTAAAATTGAATTCAATTAAAATGATGAAAGTTTATTACTAAGTGTGAAATTTTTCAACATCATAAGCTTATCATTTAAGCAACAATAAAGATTATCTGATAAGGAATGTATATTTATGCATAAAAATTTAAATGATTATTAACTTCCTAAGTGGTTGAATAAAAATTACTTACAGGCAACTGTCACATAATTAAGTTGTTCATAATCCAAAATTTTGAATGATATTGTCAATTGTGCAAAAACACCAGCCATAAAACGACCAAGCAAGAAAGCTCCCCTAGTATGGCTGGTTACTTTCTGGTAACGTTCTTTATCAACCTTAGCATAAATGTAAGTATAGTAAGCTACTTCAGTTGATAAAAGTAAGCCATAAAGAAATTCCACTATTTGCATGTGAAATATGGTTGTGCCAAATATAATAGTAATAAATGTGGCAGCCCCAGATAAACCACATAATATAATGACAGGTTTGTATCTAATCAGATCAGTCAACAAAAATACTAAAATTAATGTGGCCAAATAAGCATATGTGCTAACTGGAAAAATTTCTTGGTTGACCTGAAAATTAAAAAAATGTTCATTAAAAACTGATTCATTTTTTTTATTTAATTCAAATTTTTGAAGATTAATGAATTAACATTACCTGTTCAAGGGTGAAATTTTTCCAAGTACCATTGAGGTAATTCGTTACAAATGGTTCATTTGGTCTAAATTCTTTGAAAAAACCAAAAACGCAAAGAATCAAAGAAATTGTGGACCATTCCATTGCGAAATTCATGACGACGGAGTTTTACTTTATTTGTTTATTTGAGCGTAAAGTGATAATTAAAAAAAAAAGTGTTATCAACTAAAAACTTTCGATTTTACGAAAGAGTTTTGAAGAGAGAAAAGCTTGATCTGTTGCTGAAGATGTTCTCGATTCATATGCAACAGCATTTATGTAACACAAGGCGCGTAATTGCTTGCAACAAGTCTCTCTAGCTTCTGATCCAATGCGTGCAACGGCGAAAGATTGAGGCGGTGTAATTAGTCTCGAAGAAAAACTGTCACAGCTTTCGGCGAGTAGCAGCTATCAATCGTTGCGTTTTGATGAATGGCGAACGGGGCCGAAGATTCACGTAACTCGTCAAGGCTGCGGCGAGAGTTAAAGGACACGAGACTGCCGTCGGTCGCGTGCAGTGCAGGATCGATAAGCGCGAGCTGGAGAGCAAGTTCACATGTTTCGATCTGCGAGTAGCGCGAAGGAAGCTCGCACACACGCGGCCTGCTCTCGTCGACTGTCGCGGTTCTATCGAGAGCGAAAAGCTCGGAAAACGAAGCGCAAGCAGACTCACTTTGCTGCACGGCGGCTCGACTGAAACTAGTTCTGACATGCGCGAAACTACGTGCGTCCGCGGCTACTAATATATAGTGCAGGCTGCTATTCGACAATCGACACTGAACTCCTGATCAGTGATTGCATATATAGTCCCTATCTCAAGACTGCTCGACTCCAGCGGATCAGACAGTCTCCCACGAAATTAACGCATGTCACCGAACTTTTTAATGAATTGACTGATGAGCTTGATTATCATGAGGAAATCTTGATAAACAGAGCCAATATCAAAATAAAGCTCTATTGCGTTAGAAAGAGCAACTATATATCCCATACATGCTGTACAGCGAGCTCTAAATGACGTCAGACCTCACGCACGAACAACTTAATTATTGCAGAGTCAGAATACTTTACAAATAAGATAAAATTAGTTACATAAATTTTAATATTATGTAATCCTTTGTTGATAAGTCAATGATAGCCAATTGTACGTTTTCATAGCACAAAATCTTGTGAATAATGATCATTGTTCATTTTCGAGTTGACATTGAACTGCAGTCGACATAAATATTCTCTGTTACACTATAAACTCATTCATTATGTACACTAAAATAAAATAAGATGATTAAAAGTTTAATTTTCAATACATATCTTCAAAAATAAATGTCAAACATCAACAAGGGTGCAAAGTTACTTCTTGCAAGCTTTTAAGCATCACAGATGTCTTCCGTGAACAATTTTTACAATTTAAAGAAAAATAATAAAATACAAGACTTCGAAGTTCCATACACTGTGTAAATCATATTCCGTACAATACTTATATTAAAACTAGGGTCACTAATCAAAATTTTAGTGATTAGTGTAATCTCCAATAATTCCTTACGGCAACTGATAAGAAATCGCTCAAGACAAGACCGAGGTCACATCAGCTACTACTTGAATAAAATGATTCCAAATGTTTAAGCCTGAACTTGTTTGTATGAACTATGAAGGTTTAAAAACGCAAGTTACAGCCTACAGGGTATTCACGCAGGCGCTTGACTTGACGTCGAGAATGTCGAGATTCCGGTACTAGCGTACGTTTGCACGAGCTTCTCGCTGAAACTGCAGAAGACTCTCAAATAATTTGCTCTTGACTTCCCGCGTTCGCCGCACGACCTTTAGTCAATTCGGAGTGTTAAATTCATAATCGATCAAAACAAAACTTTGTTTTAAATCAGGACGTATTGTAAACAAAACATATGAATCTCGTTTAATATTGTAATTTGCAATCGGACAGACGAATAATTACATCATGTTATGAAAACTATTTTTAATTGAGCAGAACGAATAATTCAAAGACAGGTACAATTCGTCCTAGCATTTTTTAACCTGACGTAATATATAAATATTACATGTGATTTAATTTAATTACAGGATTATTTGAAAGGAATAGAATTCACAATGCCACAAGATATTCGCTCATTTTTTGCCAGGCAAAGCTCGTCATCAGCTGTCACTCAAGAAAAATCGCGTAGAAAGCCGCCGAGAATTTCAGATGAAGAAAATTCAAGCCCTTCGAAAGTTAAAAAAGCAAAGCACGATGATAAAAGTAAAGATAAAGAAGTAAAATCCCGGTCCAAAAAACGTACCATCGAGTCTTCAGACGAAGATGATGTCAAAACTGTGAATGTTAAAAAAGCTAAAATTGAAGACAGTTCTAAAAAAGTAGAAATCATTGAGGACCCTTCAAGTGTATTTAATAAGAAACCAGTAAAACGTATTAATTCTACTAAAGTTACTAAAAAAGAAAGCCAGAAAACAGAAGCTAAAAAATCATCAAAACATCCAACTGCTTTTGAAGATGATGATTTTGATGCAACATTAGACCAGCTAGATACCTCTCAAATTGAAGATGAATATTTGAACAGTCTCAAAGATGACGAAAAGGAGCATAATAAAAGTGGAAAGAAAGACAAAAGTTCCCCTGAAAATAAAAAAAGTGAAAATTCAAAAGTAAATAAAGATAATGTTCATTGTGACGTTAAAACAAAAGATTCTTCTAAGAAGATTTCTAAAAAAGATCCTCACCCAAAACTTGAAGTTGAAAAGTCAAGCAGAATTACAAAGGATAAGAAAAAAAATGACGAATACAATGAGATAATTGAAGAAAATATTGAAAAGAAAAAGCAACATGCCGCTTTATATCAAAATTATTTGCACCGTGGAGGAGCCAGAAATCCTGGTTCTAAAGATGTCCCTGAAGGAGCTGAACAATGTTTTGCAAATTTAAGTTTTTTAATAACAGGTGTACTTGAATCTTTAGAACGAGAAGAAATAGAAGAAATAATAAAGAAATATGGAGGAAAAATACTAACTACGGTATCGAAAAAACTCAACTACTTGATAGTTGGAGACCAGCCCGGACCATCAAAAATGACCAAAGCAAATAGCTTAGGTGTAAAACAAATTGATGAAGATGAGTTTTTAAATTTACTACGTACTTTACCAGGTCATAAAGTGAAAATAGACAATAGTAAAATTCAAACCAATCAAAAAAGTCCTAAAGAAAAAATTAAAGAAGAAAATAAATCTTCAAATACACCTATTGATTCTGATAAAAATGAAAGTATTAAAGTAAATCATAAGAGCCCATCAAAAAAAATAGAATTGATGAAAATTTCTAAAGTAGAGATCAAAAAAGAAGAATTACCAAAGAACCTTAAACTTGATACTTTAGAAACTGCATCAAACAAAAATCTTAAGGTAGTTGAAACAAAAGTAAAAATTGAAGAATCTCCTCAAAGTACTGAATCAAATATAGCTATGGTGACAGCTTTGGTTGAAAAATATAGGCCAAAAGATATGAAACAGATAATCGGTCAAAATGGTGATAAAAGTAATGCTAAAAAACTATTTAAATGGCTATCTAATTGGTACAAATATCATGGTTGTCATGCAACAGAAAAAGGTGTAAAAACATCTTGGAAAGATGATTCTGGAATCACCAATAAAGCAGCTTTGCTGTCAGGTCCACCTGGTGTGGGCAAAACTACTACTGCTTATGTTGTCTGTGCCCAATTAGGATTAGAAATTTTAGAGTTTAATGCTTCTGATACAAGAAGTAAGAAATCCTTGCAAGATGAAATATCAAGTATTCTTTCTAACAAAACTGTTAAAACACTATTTTCAAATACAACTGATAAAAGTAATGCCACAAAACCAAAGCATGTGTTACTTATGGACGAAGTAGATGGCATGGCTGGAAATGAAGATCGTGGTGGAATGCAAGAATTAATTTCCCTCATTAAGGCCACCGAAATTCCCATAATTTGCATTTGTAATGATAGAGCAAGTCAAAAAATAAAATCTCTTGCTAATTATACATTTGATCTAAGATTTCAAAAGCCTAGAGTAGAACTCATCAGAGCAGCAATGATGTCTCTTTGTTTTAAGGAAGGTATTAAAATTACTCCAGATGAATTGTCACAAATTATCAATTCAACAAATCAAGATATTAGACAAGTCATTAATCATTTATCTATGATGTCTGCAAGCAAACAAAAATCAGAACAAAACTACCAGGAAAAATTGAAAAACCTCAAACTAGGACCATGGGATGTCATTCACAAAGTTTTCAGTTGCGACGAACATAAAAACATGAAGTTTCGTGATAAAAGCGACTTATTTTTCCATGATTACAATATTGCGCCTCTTTTTGTTTATGAAAATTATCCAATGGTTAGGCCAAATGCTCCACGTTCTGAACTTCTTGCCAGACTGTCAAAAGCTAGTTCCAGTTTAGCTATTGGAGATACAATTGAAAAAGCTATAAGAAGTAATCAATCGTGGAGTCTTTTACCAGTACAGGCTGTATTCTCTTCAGTAATACCAGGAACAGTGATGTCAGGTCATATGGGTGTCAGACCTAATTTTCCAAGCTGGCTTGGAAGAAATTCTAAGAGCAATAAATTTGATCGACTGCTTCAAGAACTAACTTTGCATATTCGTTTAACTACAGGAGCAAGCAAAGAATCAGTTAACTTAGATTACATCAAAATGCTGGTTAATTCTATATTGACACCTTTAATTAATGATGGTGAAAATGGTATTGATCAAGCTGTAGCAGTAATGAATGAATATCATTTATCAAGAGAAGATTTGGATTCATTAATAGAACTCACTCAGTGGCCACATACCAGAGATCCTATGCAAACTATTCCACCTAAATTAAAGGCAGCATTCACTAAAGCATATAACAAAAGTGCTCAAGCGTTTAGCAATACTGGTACTACAACAAAGAAAAAGTCTGCTCGAGAAAATAAAGATGATGAATATGCAGATGGAAATGATGAGCCTCTATCTGATGAAAATGAAGAAGATGAAAAAATTGAAAATGATAAGCTTATTAAGGCCAAAACTTCTAAAGCAAAAAGTGCTCCAAGTAAAGCCAAGGCAACGGCTAAAACATCAAAACCTTCCGCATCTAAAACTGCGAAAAAACCTTCAACTGCAAATAAAAAAAAATGAAATGATGTTTCATATTGATTTTTGTGTATTAATAATACATTAAATTTGCCTCTGTATACCAGACTGAATGTTGTATAGTTAATAATTATATTTTTTAATGCTAATCATCGAAACTATTAAATTTTTGTATTGAAACTGAATGGCTTAATGTTTTGATTTCAAAATTTTTATGCAAATAAAATTTTCACTTTTTATGAAAAACGTCTTAGATTAATGACATTTTGCTATTAAATTGCAAGCGAATGATCATAAACGACATTTTTTGAGCCGCTTAAGTAATAAACCTAAAGCGAATTGTAAATAAATAGATTTCAATCATACATTGATAATCGATAAAAAATGCGATAAACTCGAGCTCCACTCAAAAAAAATTTTTCATTCATCTGTCAATTCGCAAAAAATACAAACAATCGCCGACCAATCCCAAGCTAGCAAGTGAATAACCGTCACGAGTTGATGGTCAAGAAACAGTTTCGTACACCGTAATGTTGTCATGATTCGTAATATACCTTATTTGAATATTATGGCCACGTCTGGCGAAAAGTTCGCAGTGAGTGTGCGATCGTCGCCGTCGACGGCTGCTTGCGGCATTGTTAAAATCCATAGTACAGAATCTGGGACTCGAGTGTAGCCCAGTCGTTATCAATATAGTGATACAATTTTGTGAGGTCGGCGACGTATATTCTTCAAATGATGCAGAGGGTAAAGAAAAGTAACTGGGCCCTGGGTCTGCTGTTAATTGGCGTCTTTTTCGTCGTCGCCGTCACCGCAGAATGGAACAGTAACGACTACATGAAACGAGAACATTCGCTCATCAGGCCTTATCAAGGTAATTGCTGAATTGAAGATGTTTCCAAATTTGATAAAAATATGCCGGACTCATTCTGCTCATACATTGTAACAATTTTTCAACGGTGTTCTTTGAATTCTAATCATTCCGTTATTAATTAAAACTGTCCATACGGGGTGCTATGGAAGACATAGATTGATTCGCAGATGCTAAACAAGTATTCATTAAAAATGGAAATGCAAATTATTGACAATTGATGCGTCATCATTTTTGAATAATCATAGGGAGAAAATTTGCAATTTAGTTACCTTGATGGTTTTTGAGCATGTAATAACTTCCAACCACGATTCGCGGACGTGACTGTCGCCGGCTCACGAACTACTAAACTAGCACGAACTATCACTTACATTAAATTATAAATTGTCTTTTTTTCAGGATCTGGAATGACAATACCGTACTGGGATTTTATGGGCAGTACATTAGTGACAAATAGTTATATAAGATTAACACCTGATATTCAAAGTCAGCAGGGTGCACTATGGAATACAGTGGTAAGTGTATTTATCTTTTTGTAAAATTTCCGAATGATAGCAACAATCAACTTAATTGTATCTGCAACACAAAACTTTGCTTATTATCTGTATTTTACTTCAGTAGTTCATATTGATAAAATTTAATTTATATATTAAATAATGTTTTTAGCCATGCAATGCCAGAAACTGGGAAATGCAAGTCCACTTCAAAGTATCTGGTAAAGGAAGAGACTTATTTGGTGATGGAATTGCCATTTGGTATACCAAAGATAGAATGCAACCAGGACCTGTTTTTGGTAGTAAAGATTATTTCCATGGGTTAGCAGTCATTCTTGATACTTACAGTAATCACAATGGACCCCACAATGTAAGTGATTTTACATGAAGATATCTTAAAATTGGTTATTTAAAAAGAGATTTTTTATAACGATTTATATGAAGTAGAGATGATACAGAGTAGAATCAACAAAAATAGGATTTTCTTCTCCTCTTGCTAGAATAGGGAGACTTTGGGATAGACTTCCTGATGAGGTCAGATTCTTGACTGATAACTTTCATATCTATTAGTAGTTGTTTTTAAAATGTACTTAATGTATTTGATGAAATAACTACATTAGATTTTCCTTGATTGCTAGTTGTTATACAATATAAATATTATTACATAATATAAAATCTTTATAAATTTTTGTAAATATAGAGTAAAAATGAATATTTATTTATTACAGCATCAACATCCATATATTTCTGCTATGGTTAACAATGGAAGTCTCCATTATGATCATGATAGAGATGGTACTCACACACAACTTGCTGGTTGTGAAGCAAAGTTTAGAAATTTAAATCATGACACTCATGTTGCAATTAGATATGAAAAAGATACATTGACAGGTATGCTTTGTGAAGATTGTTTTTTAATTAAGAATTAAGGATGATATGTTTTATTTTTACTAATTTTTTTTCAAAATTATTCATTGCATGTAGTTTCCACTGATATATCAAATAAAGGTGCTTGGCAAGAATGTTTCTCTGTTAAAGAGATTAGATTACCAACTGGATATTATTTTGGAATAACTGCCACAACAGGTGATCTTTCAGATAATCATGAAATTTTATCTGTGAGATTATTTGAATTAGATCTGCCTAATGATGTAAGTATTTTTTTCACATCAAACCACTATAAATAGCAAATAAATAAACAATGATTTTTTTATTTTTGACAAAGCCTAAGGATGAAGAAGATAGAGCCAATATTATTCCTTCAGCAACATTTTTTGAATCTCCTAGAGGTACGATTTTTATATCATGTTTATAATTGACTTATACTCATTTATCATATATAATGGATTATTTATTTTAAATCATTTTTACTTTGTTTCAGACCATGTTGAAGATCCTAAACCATCTACACTTAGCGGCGTTAAAATATTTTTACTAATGCTCCTTGGCTCTGTTGCATTAATTGCTTGTGTTGTGATTGGAATTATGTTCTATCAAAAGCACCAGGAAAACAATCGAAAACGATTTTATTAATTTTGTGTACTACCAGTGTGTTCTCTTTTACAAACTTATGAACATTTTCTAAAAAGCCAATTAATTGAATGGTGAATTATAGTTCAAATTTAAGATCGTATGTGTCAACAATTGAGAACGATAATTTCATCAATTAAATTAATTCAATCTGTGTGAGTGTTTGTGAAGACCTGTGGTTATAGTACATAAGGTATAGAAATAAGTAAATCAATGTAAATTTTTCAGTCATATCTTTTTATTAACTTTACGAAGATATTTTTCAAATAATACGTGGAAAAATGTATACTCAGAACAATTATCAGGATTGTTCATTCAATCTTTTTTTTATTTTTGAACAAAGATTTTTTTTAATACCTATCACATTATAATTATTAATGAAAACTATTTTTTTTTTACTTTGGGTTGCTTCATAGTATAAATTATAAGGTAATTGAAAGACTAACTAGATTATATATTTGTATATAAATGAACATTGAAATGTACAATATTTGTAAACTGCATTAAATCTGAATGTGCAAAAACTGCTAGCTGTGCAATTGCAGTCATAAGACACCCGAAACATCAATGAGATAACATGTAATAAAAGAATATGTTTTGAAATCATTGTCATAATTTATTACTGATAAATTAATTAAACTTGAGATAAAATTTTCATGTTATTGACAAGAACTTTATTGCAAACACTTAACCGGAGAGTTTTCTGAAAAGAATGGACTATAGTATTTTAATTATTTTGTTACAAAGCTCGTTTTAAATTTTTTTTTTTTAATAAAATTGCAGGAATACATTCAATCAAAGATAGTAATGAATTTTCTTTTATAATTTAATTCATTTATTTTGACGTTATTGAACTGCATTGTACTTCCAATATATCTAGAAAAATTGCAAGTATTGAAATCTTTCATTGCATAATTATCATATATAGTAGTTAAAATCAACATTCTAAAATCTGAGCCATTTATAAAGTTGTAAAAATCAAGGACATATACATTCTATTACGTATACTTAAGATTTAAATTTGAAAATTCCGTAAAAGTAATTCTATGAATACATAAAAGAATAAAATTTGACTTACACAGCAGTCATTACAAAAAAACTAGCATAATAAATATGAACAAATATTTAAATCTAACTTATACTTTAGAATGCCTGTTTATACTAACAGTTACTTTGTTTCTAAGAAACTAAATCATAGATTCAAGCTCACGCTGTTAAACAAGGACTCAATGGGAAATTTCACCATTGAACCTAAATCGAAATAAAATGAGTATTCTACTTTTTTGAGTTATATTTTACATAATTTTGTCTTAGACATAAAACTTTAAAGCTGTACATTCAGACGTCATGAACTTACTAACTATAAAATATGAATAATAGGTAACAAAGATATGAACACTTGACAACGCTACTGTAAATTTTTTTCATTCAAAGATTGCTCTTTTCATAAACAGGTATATTTGCTATTATTTCAACAGGTGAAGAAATTTTATTTTAAACACTAAAATTTTGATCTGAGATTCATTTTATACTTATAAGAATAATGTAGAAATCGTTGAAAATTTAATAATTACGATTCGATCTGTCTATACTTCTTCGAAAAAATTTTGTTTTTCATTTTTATTATTATTATTATTTTTTTAATAAAAATTTATTCGTTTGAGTAATTTTATTCCTCGTCAATAAAAATTTGCCAACTCTAAAGAGCTAAAAACAATTAAACGTAATGATATTTAAGAATCTAACTATTTAAATATAACAATAGGATTGAATAGAAAATTTAATACAGTTTTTAAACCTAAATAAATACCTCGCGCAACTTCATTTAATTTAATTTTATGTCTATGTCTTTTTTGAGTCTTGAGATCAATCGCATGACAAACATGACAACCAACTTCTTCAAGAAAAACATGGGGACTAGCACCTCCGAGTAGAGATTCACCTTCTAAGCCAGCATTAGTTAGCTGGCCGGCGAACCATATCTTATCACCCGGATAAATATTGAGACTGAAGTTGGCAAATGAGCGATCACCAAGAAGAATGACTTGGGCTGGACTTCCCCACATACCGTTTTTCATTTTAACTGCAATCTCAAACTCATACCAATCCCAAGCGGACAAGTGACAACGAGCTCGTTTACGTCGTACATTAAGATACGCTTTACAGTTCATTTTTCGTATTTCATTCTTGTGTCTGTAATGAGATTTGAAAAAATATTTAGTACAAAGTAAATCATAATAAAAAGATTTCAAATATTAGTTGTTAAATATTTCAACTTCGCAAAAATTGAAAAATATTGCGACTTACTTTTCGCAATCATCTTTATGCGGTTCGCCAAAAGCACATCTTAACGGATTAGCAATGATATCGGGAAAATAGTCTAACACGGTAACGAGATTATTTTGGACCGACTTGACTCGTGTATTTACAACGTATCCTTCCCAAGCAACGGGTACACCCTCTAGTCTAGCGCACTGAACTTGAACTTGAGCTTTCGATGAAGTTTCTTCCCATGCTGGTTGATGACAATAGTTCTGATATTGTTCCCAAGTTAGTTCGGATGGTAGTTCAAACGGACCAGCTTCCAAACCTGATGAATCTCGATAGCCTGATAATACAGGCCATGTTAAAAATGTTCCAGCTAATGCACCAAGTAACAACTGCAAGAGATTTTTTATTATTTGTAGAACATTTTTTAAATATAAGTATTTTTTTTAAACAAAAGCAAGCAAGAACTTTGAATCAATGTATTTATATTTAATTTAAAAGTAAAAGTCTTTGGGATTAGATCAAGTACATGTACAAACCTGGACAAATGAAATGACCCAGTTGAATCTTCTAGGAGCTCGGGTTTTTCTTAGATACCAAGAAGTTAAAAACGGAAAACCACCAAGGATGGCTGTGGTGCCTATTCTCATAATTAAGTCGCTTTCTGACATGTATTTAGCTGTGGCTGCAATTGGAAGTATGATCGAAGCTACCCCAACAATTGGTAAAAACAATACCATGCCCACTAGTGCTAGGGCACCTCTGATGAGTCCATACCAGGTAGCACTGTGTGAACTAAGTACTGCCATTTGCCACCAACTTAAGGTCACACAATGAGGTATCAAGCTTTTATAGATACCTCGACCCTTTTCTCTGGTTGCCATCTTTAGAAAAATTGCTGGTATGATGAGATAAAATACTACTCGAAAATTTAAACAAAACTCGATTCCATTGCCAACTACATATGAGGCAAATGTTGGTACCTTGATATCAAGGAATCTCCAGGTTTGCGCTACTACCAAGTCCATTTCGTAAGGATACTTGGCCAAAACATTTATGCAAAAACTGAAGAGAGCTAGAAAATCGAGATACCGCGAATTGTTGTCTCTCCAAGCAAAATTGATAAGAGTAATGAGCGTCAAACAAGATGAAATGACACAAAACTCTGATTGAGGTGTCCATTGAGTTGCTATGACTGGATACAACATGAGATTGAGTAATAACGCAAAAAAGAAATGAGCATAAGGTTTGAGATTATTTTTACAAAATTGATATTCTGCTTCTTGGGGATTCAAACTCCCTCCTGAATAGCTGAGGAACAAACGGGACCAAACTCTAAGCTCACTAAGTTCTCGTTTAGTTTGTAGCACCTGGAACGTAGCTAGAACCATAACGATAAAAGATAAATAGTAAAGTGCCAAAGGAATAAAAAGCACAAGACTTTCAGTGCCAAGAATAGCATGAAATAGGATTAGTAACAAAACATGCACATGAGTTGTGAAAAAAAACTTTCGAAGTGGTAAAGTTTTTCTACCAAGACTCTCTAAAAGCCAAACATATAATCGTCTCAGTGAAGCTAAGGGATGAACAAAAGGTCGTTGTAATAATGGCACTGTATCAAGTTGGATTTGGCTTGGCTCAGTTAAACACAGAGCCCTTGAAACTATTGGAAGATCACCACGTGCATAGGATGCAGCGGCTGAAACTAGTACATTTTCACTTATTTTTTCCCCTTGATTCACTGACCAATCTATAAATTAAATTAATAATTAGTTTAAAAATAAAAATTGATTTCTTTTTTATGATCAACAATTGTACCTGGAGCAATTTCTTCAATCTTATCTTTATTTTCATGAGGTACAATAGGACTGGAATCTTCATCTGACGGCGTATCTTGTTCACAACTGCTATCTTCAGTTAAAGAATGCTGAAGATGACTTTTACCATTAATATATCTAGACTTTTGAGAGTTATCATCATTGGTTGGAAAAACAATTTTTCTTATACACCTTTGTAATTGTTCAGTTGTAATGAATTCTTCGCCATTTGATAAACTGTTATTTATTCAAATAATTTAGCATAAACATCAAATCAAGAACAAAAGAAAAAAGGAGATTTTTATAAACAATAATAACCTTGTGAACATCTCTCTAGCTGCTCTTCTAGCAAGCTTTTCATCTTGAGACATGTCTAGACAGCTTTTTACATCAAAATAGTTATGTTCGGTAATACCTCGTCTGGTAGCTAAGCAGTTGCGAAGCATTTCAGTGGCCTCTAAATTACCCTGTTCTGATGCTTTTGTTAACCAATAAACGCCCAGCTTTGCATTTTCCTCTTTATCAATTTCCAGTTCTAAAACCAATAATTGGAGTTTAAAAATTAAATTTTAATCATTTCAATAAATTTATTTTGAATTTACTTTATACTTTTATAATTTTGATAAAGTTTAATAAAATTTTCATTAAAACTAATTTTGATACAAATCAGAATTATAACTTACCGCAAGATTCTTCAAGTAACTGTTTGGCAAGAACAACCTGGGATTCAGGACAACCATCTTCTGCAAGTTGAGATCTTAGTCTTCTTAAAGAACCTCTAGGTCCATCTGTATAAATGTATCAATTGCTTTATTATATATTATAAATCTTAAATAATATTGATAAAAAATTTTGAAATAATTTAATTTAGAACCTTGTAAAATTTCTTATGTGTTATTTGAAAAAAAAACAACAACTTTCAATGTAACTTGTGTTTTTATACTACAAGATTTAAAAACTGACCAAACTATTACATCAAGCTAATTTTGTATTGGACCTAAATAGATTTTATCTATTGAAAGATGAAAAAATAAATTGAAACTTCTAAATGGTAAAAATGCTATTTAAATAGTTGGCAGCTTCATGTTGCATTACTCTCTTGCATCTAAATTTATTTTAAGTACTTTTATTTTTATTTTATTGAAATTATAAGAAGTAACGAAGAATTCACGACATTGACGCTTTATAAGAAGGATTTCCGGGAGATATCCTTTCAAAAGCATGTAATGAATCTCCGGAAAATGTTTTTAAAAAAAGAGAGAAGTCGAGAAAAAATTTGCATACAGCTTTACATGAAGATGCGAGTTTCTGAGTCAATTTGCATATAATACATGTCAATGTATGTATTGGCGTAATACTAGTTGATCATTACATAAAAAGCAGTGGGCAAGGAATAATGCCAGTCAATTGCGCGAAAAATCCTCGTAAATTATTCACTGATTTTAGTGAATCAACATTTATAAGTGTCGTTAATATAAATTTTTTAATTTTAAGTGCATTATAACGATATGAAGTAATAATAAAAACGGAAAGAAAGGTTGCATTAAAATGTTCAAAGCGATACATTTTGCTTTCGTACATATGATTTCTCCTAAAGTAAATGGATACAAGTGAAGTAGAAAGTAAACGAGAGTTTTTATGAGCATAGCATGAGTAGCATGTATATAAGACAAGAATGAAGAGAGTTGGTATCCACCTACGCGCGCATCAATGCGAAATGTGCAGAATAAGCAGAGACAGAAGAAGAGATAAGTGCAACTCACCATGCAATGTCCATTGTTTTCTGCCGGATTTCCCGGAGTGCGGCACTACGCCGGCCATCCTCTAAGACGTCAACAAACTCACTTGAATGAAGGAGCGATTCTGGTCCGAGCAGACGTGCAAAGCAGCTCGTCTCTTTCTTAATATATCGCGTCCGAATCAACACTGGCCATATAACGATCGACTCACAACAGACAACACATTACACAGTCGTCGCGGTTGTCGGACACACGAAACATATAAACGGCGGCGGCGCGTCTCAGGTGTGCGCGCGTTAAAAGACTAGCTGCGCTGCGCTACTGCTGCTGCCAATGGTCCGCATTCTGTTCACTGCAATAGTCGACTCGCACTCGAGAGATTGAACGAAAAGAGCCTGAGTTTGGCGAACCGAACCAAATGTAGTTAAAACTGCAACTGTAGCACGTAAAAACTTTCGCTTTCTCGCGCGATTCTACTGAGCTGTGTCGGAATTACACAGTCAAGTTGTCCGCGGCACTAGGTTAACGCTTGGCAGTTGGCACTCGGCTCGGCGAGGCTACTATACATCGGAGTGCAACGCAGTCCTCTCTATGCGCGTATATGTAATTCGCGCGCGCCAAGCGTGGGTTCGCACGGCCAGGCGCATGCGCCGGCGTAGGGCAATTTTAGCCGCAGTGCAAGCAAAAACCTCTCCAGCGTGTGAAAGCACGCAAGTCGTGATCTCGCTCATCTTTTGAATCGCCTTCCTTCCCCCCAGTCCAAATTCTTTTTACTTTCTCACTCGTACTTATTATATCTTCTTCTCCTTCGTTTTTCCCTTTGCTCGAGAGTCGAATCTCTCTCTCTCTTTCTAATCTGCCGAGTTATTACTCGCATAATCGCGCGCTCATGCCGTTGGCCGTTGACCGTTGGCCCGGCGTAAAAAGCAGAGCTCGCAAGTGCCACTCGAGCCGCCGAATTGTTTCCAAACGTACATTATACGGCGCATCGAGCAACACGGTATCGTCATCGCATCGTTGCAACACGTTCCGGCCGCCTAACTGATGTTTCGCTTCGCAGACCTATCATTAGCTGACTTCGTATATCCGCTCAGCGTTCTCTTTCATGTAAGTTGCTGAATGCTGGTCAACAGAGAGGTCAGAGATGAAGAAAAACAAACCGAGAATCGTCAATAGCCCGACACACCTTCTTGCAGCTCCACATTTATTCATATTTTTTGTATTGAACGTGCACAAAATTTAATTTACGATCGAACCCCGTGAGTTTATCCGAGTTTGAGCAAGCAACTTAATGTTCTACTCGATTCTTAATTTCATAACTTACGATCTGGAGTCAGGATAAGTGATCGATGCTTTTTTTATACGTTCGATCTACTTACGACTAATTCATACAACATTAATGATATAATTGAGGCTAAAAGATCAGACTTGTAAGTTTAAAGCGACAATTATTTTACATCTCGTACACGAAACACGTTTGTTTGTTTTACTTGTGCCCAAAGGCTATTAGAAGAAATACATATTATTTTGGAATTTTTCCCATGTATTTCACCCGTTCATCTACTTTTTGTTAATTTACCTTTTAATGATGCCAGAAGCTGCATTTTTTCCTTTTTTAATCGATGCGTATTATATGCACTCGGCACTTATTCGAGTATCTTTTGTAATTCCCCTCAAAACATTATACAGTTGAATGACAAACGAATTTGTGAAAAGCACACCGATTACTGAATGTAATGGGCATTTTCCCCGGTAATTTTGTCGCGCAGTGCGCAAATTCATCTTACTCGCGCGCGATACAAGTGTTAATGAATCATAATAAACACTCATTATTTTTCGTGCACTTATTGCCGTAATCTAATCTCCGTATCACATGACGGTTGCATTATATACATGCTGCTCTCAAAATAATGCCTTTTTTTAACGGATCGGCAAATTTCGAGTGAGGCAACACTCGAGACTGGTGACGCACATTTATTTCTCAAAAATTGCCTCCGCTTCTCAAAGTCTTGTCTCAATCTCGGCGTAATCTTTTCACAGAATGAAAACGAAAATTCGAAGATGATAAGACATGTTTGTTTACACGTTTGGGTCATGAAAAAAAGCATAGTCAAATTTTTATTTGTCTTATTGATTTAAATAGATTGTTTACTATATTGTGCTTTAAATATTTCGTTTAATATAGCATTGCCCTCTTTAAATTAATTCCTGTATAAGAAAAAGCAGCTGTATAAGCATTACATTTGAAATGAGTTTACAACGCTGTCATCTCTAAAACTAAGTGCATTGATATTTTTCGTTGTGCATATCGACGCCTCTTACGAAAAGTAGGTAGTTTACGTGTTAAGTTAAATGTAAACTTCCTACTTTTCGTAAGAGGCGTCGATATTATGTACAATATGTAAAAAATTCCTACACATTTCTACTTACTCACAAAATTGGAACACGACAATAATAACATTTGAGCATAATAATAGAAATTCATTTATAAAAAGTAGTTAAATAAATTGATGCATCTATGAATATCTATAAGCTGCCGAGTTCAATTTGTGCATCATATACATAATACAATTCAATCTTGATTAATAGTATAAGTTTTCACATTTAAGGTATTATAATATATGTTTAATAAACCAGTCAAATAACATGTGATTTTTTGGTTTAGAACAAAATATTCAATAGATGTGGCAGTCGCAAATAGCGTTATTGTAAAATGCACATGAAATATTCAATCGTCTTAACAGATTAGGCCTATTTAGCTTTCGTTACATGTTCCCTTTCAGTTTGTGCGCAATCGATACCGATTTTAACATAAAAAAATGGGTAATTTTATTACCCAATAAGTTTATAATGGCCAATAGTTGTCTTTGACGTCCTTTCAAAATTCGATTCGCAAGCAATAGACACTTATCAGCGTTTAACAAAACCATGTCTGTGCTGGTTCTTCCGCTAGTCATATGTCCGCTCGAGGAGACATTCCACTGTAATACATTTTTTCAAAGGTTAATCGATGTTTAACTAGTAAAAGTATAAAGAATATAAATATCTCACAAGCTATTGGAGCTGATGTAAGGCGGTGGCTTCGGTCGAACGTAGTTGTTGCTGTGGTCCCTTCAAAAATAACAAAAAAAAAAACGCCAATCTCAAACTCAACGCGCGATTGAAATAAATCGTGAGACTCACCTGGGGCTGCGACTAATGAGCTGCGAATCGCTCGTGGTAGGACTGCATGAAACCTGATTATTGGGAAGCGAGCGCAGTGTGCCTGCCCGATTGCTGCCCATAGTCGCGTATTGAATCATTTGTACGCCGTTGCCCCTGCTACCGTTGTCTAACAGCAATGGCGAGCCCCTCTTGCCGTTCGATGTGATTCTGAGGAAAATAAATTCGTGCAACTTTTTTACTCACTTTTTTTTGTGATGGAAAAACTTGATAATGATTTTGAAAAATCTGACATCGAACGTAAATGTTGGATCCTTAATAAAATTGCTCTTGAATCAGTAATACCAATGCCCATTAAACAGATACAAAAGCTTGTACGAACGTTCGCGATTAATTTAAATAAATTACTTATTGAGTATTTTATGAAACTCTGTCGACCTTTTTTCAACTGTTTGCGAATGATGTAAACATTTTTTTAGAGCTTCTGCAGCCTTATGCGATTAGTTAATAGGTGATCTCGCTCTTCACGCCATAGCAGACCTCTCGCAGGATTTAGACCCACCACGTGTGACTCGTTCGTTTATCTATGCTAATCTCAATAAGCTGAATGATATCAGCCAAATATAAACTCGAGTTCGAGAGAATGCCGATTCCCGCATGATTTCACAAAAAAATGTTTGAAGCACCTGATTTCACCTTATCGCGTCCCTGCGCGTGCAGCTGCGTAAACACAGACAGATTATAAATATCTATATTATGAGAAGGACCTGCAGTATGCTCGCTGCAATATTTTGAATAACAACAGCAGCAACCATAATAGACGGGCACCGTTGATATTGTAAATAACGACGTCATTCATAGAGTTTTAGTAAAAAAAAAAATGGTGCATGAAAGCTACGTGGGTTCAGATGTGGCAGTGCTATAAACTTCGTAAGTCGAATGAATATATAACTCGTAATGAAAAAAACTCGTGCAGCGAACAATGTACGGCTTCCAATAATATTTATGCAATGATTGAATTCAGCCTTGCAGTATGAATTTTGGTGTAGGACAACTCCGCCAACTGATTGCGATGTAGCTTCGAATGGCAAAAAATTTGTGTAAATGTCACTACGTCAAAGCCAATCCTGAACGAATAAATGAAAAAAGTTTATTTGAATTCAGAGGACTAATTTGATGAAATGAAAAATTCGTAGCGAAGGAAGACGGAAAGTCAATCTCTGTTGATTACACGCCGTACTTGCACGTGAAAGTGATTTCACGAGATATATGGAACAAATATAGGATGTAGCGTAAAAAAAGACGAAGCATCGTCTAACAGCTCCGCCGCTCAATGAGTGTGGATATAAACGATTGAAACGAAATAAAAAAGTGACTTTTTTTCTAACAACGAGATCGTCACAATAATAGTGATTCGATCGAGCATACGCGTATAGTTGTAGATGTAACGAAACTATCGCGTGCGCGATCGATTGTTTTTTTTATACGTATTTTGTTGTGCCAATGAGCGAGCAAAAACGAAAAGGGAGAAAAAAGCTCCAAGTGTCTACGTCGCGGCCATGTGCAGAGGCAACTATGTGGAGCAAAAAGAAGCACCCGAAGAATGCGATCGTTTGATTTTTTTCTTTCTCTCTCGTTGAATGCGCCAACGATTTTCGTATGTTGCCATAGTCGATCAAGAGCTAGTTGAATATTCAAAAAAGGTTCGCGCGCGCGTGATAATTTAATTTTGCATGCTTCGAACGATCCGACGTCATATATATCGCGCCACATGCGTCACTTATAATAGCATGTCTCTACGTGTGTATATATGCGTGCTCGGCTCGGCGCTTTATTCGTTTTTATATAGACGCGCACAAAACAACAAAAAAGACAAGACATCGTTATTCCAGGCAGCTGGGACGCGAAACTGGATCACTTGATGCGTGTGACCTGTGATATTAAGTCTACGTTTATACGGACTCACCAATTGTATGCGATGAACAAAACTACCAGTTCTCTAGCTCTTTAATGTATGCAAATTTAGATTATCCTTTATAACTCGATGGAAAAAGTATTTTGTAACAAATTCAGTTTGATTGATTGATTCAATTCATTCATTTGCTACACATTTCTGACTGAAACTATATTTTTCATAATAATTTTTTAACTCTACTTGTATCATTTTATGACTTTGTTCGTCAAGAGAGAGTTATATTTAATTTTTTCTGCAGTTAAAGCTGCTTTCAATCTCTATGTAAAAGTCTTGTTTAAATTTCATTCCGCTATTGAAGGAGTATTTGAGTGCAAAAGTTAATTGTGCACTTGATATTTTTCGTATCTCCACGGGAGCATCAGTCTCGAGTTTTCTCGGAAGAGTAAATTTTTTTTTTGACTCGCGCTCTCGCCAACTTCGCTCGGAGGCATATTGCTTCAAAGTACATATGCCGAAGTTGCTGCATCGAGCAAAAGTCTATTAACATACAATTTTCCTTCTCTACTCCCAAGAGGGAAAAGTGGCTGCGTCAAAGCGAGCGTATATAGGCGTTCGTTGACCTTTTAGTAATTTTTATTTCGTGGTGACTACCGCGAGCCGGCAATCGTATGCGGTATATGGCAGCAAGTTTTCGTTCCTCGTGCGCATATTGCGCCGACGGTAAAGTTTCGCCCATGCTCCCAAATTATACGCCCTATGCTCTCCGGGAGTGTAGGATGTAGCTCGAATCTATCATAAGACACGATGTGCTCGGTATACCTATGTACGGGCGAGATTGGCAGCGAATGATACTCATAGCTCGAGATGCGTGGCTCGCATTGCATTTTTATAAAGAAGAACGACTACACCGGTGGGATTGCGCCGCGGCTGCTGCCTGTAGAGAGAGAGGCCATTGCACGCGATCGTCTGTATGGTAGCATAAATATATATAAATAGCAAACGCGTCGTCTTGCGGCTGTCCATCAGTGTGCTCGAGACGGCGTCACTGTAGCTTTGCGTAATTCTCTCGAGTGCGGTGCAGTCTCGCAATACGTCGTCGACTCTCGTCTGTATATAACGCAAGCACTGCATCTGCATACATTGTCTTGCAGCTAGTCGTGCAAGATGATCGGATGGGCCCGCGCATTATGCACGCATATGCATCTATACGAGCGGAGGCAGAGGCGCGCATATCTACGTATAAGTCAGTCGCGTCTCTATAGTTGCAACGTCGTTCTGCGTTATCGGTACAAAGGACGCGCGTCATCGGTCAAGTGACGCCGCTGCTTTCTATGCATCTTGCAGTGTCCCTTAATTTTTTTCGCTCTTTTATCATTCCATCCCGCCTTCCTAGATCTGTTCAATACTACTAAAAAAAACTATAAAAAAATTAATGTTCAAGATTTCTTGAACGCATTGACCTATCAAATCTGTACATTTTTTGGCGATGAAATAAGTCCAGATCGGACTTGATTAGACTTTCATTGTTACTCTCTTTAGCAGTCAGCTTTCAAAGTGCTTAGACTCTTTTGTAGTATTTTTTTTCACGTTTAAAGTTGCTCTGAGCTAAACTAGACATACTACTAGACTTACTATTAGATACAACGATGAAATGTGGAAATTTTGGATGACGGACGTTTTTGTAAATCATAATAAAATTTCGGCAAGTGAATGGCATCATGAACAACAAGTTTTTTACGATAGCAGAAAACAATTTTTGAGCTATTAGATTCCGATAGAGAATCGACCACATACCTTTATGAATAACCGTACTTATAGAAACGCACCGTGATGCACTCGCGTATCGCGACCAATGTAATTCTCTACTGGCCTTTTGGCGCTTCTTTTTGCACTCTCGCTCACTCTCGTCTATATATAGTCGCACATATGTACAGTCAAAGTCAAGAGCCAGTATTAATGTAGATACAGAAGCTCTCGATGTAGACGATGTTGCCCCCGTGGCCGAGCCTCGAGCTGCGCTCGCGATAACCGGTTTCGTGACTATATACTTATAACACATAGGCGCATTAATGCATTATGATACTCACAAATCGTCGTGTTGCAGACAGAGAACAGCGCTCAAAAATCCGACGAGCAGCAGGAGCATGAGAGCCGGCACGAATACACTGGTGAAGATCTCGCGCCTGTAGCTGCGCTGCGGTAGGGCCGATTTTTTGTCCACCAACCAGCGCCAATCGGACGCCGCACTCGGCTGCTGCTGCTGCTGCTGCTGCTGCTGCTGCTGGTCCTTAGAGGCAGGCGCGGAACCGATTATACTGGCACTCGTGTCGTCGTCCCTGCCCTCCGAGTCCTCGTCTCGGCGATCGTTTAGATCGTCGATCTGCAAACGGTAACCGAAACTATAACGTCTTGACTATCGTGCCATAAACTCGCATTGACTTACCAATTTGAAGTAACACCAATCGAATTCCAGGTCCCGGAAGAACCGGTCGAACGACACTTTCTTGAAGTTGCAGCTGCTGAATTTTCGGATTATGGGTTCGAGTTCTTTTTCCAAATTCTGCAAGTCGCTTGAGAATTGCGTCGAGCTGCCGATCCTCAGTACTGTGCTGCAGAAGCAAAGTCATTTTCAAAAATATTTCCTTCTGCACTTAAAATCGAATTAATATTGAATCTCTTAAATCTTAAAGATTTTAGATGGATAGGGTATCGGTAGGTAATAACTAAAAACTTATTATTTTATCGGTAATTAGAAATTTATTCTTTTATTTTTCATAAAACATTGAACAAAAGATAATCTAAATTAGTCAGTCTTCTCTACATGAATCTCTCTACTTTCGCCTTCTGGAGTCGTTGCAGTCGTTGGCTTGACCCTTGACACCGTAAACCTTGCAGGATCCAAGCAAGTTGGTCAAGTTGATCTGGGCAAGGACAAAGTTGCACCCAAAGCCACCGTCGAGGACACTGAGGCCGAGGATCTCACCGACTCCGTTGAGGAGCGATTGGCATTTGACGCAAGTGATCTTGTAGCCAGGGTAGTTTTTGTTCAATCTTGGCGGTCCCGCAACGATGATCTAAACATTTTCATCGTCCATTGCAATTATATTTGGATTGAAGATGAGCAGGAAGTAAGTAAAAGCATGAATGATTATCAGTGTACTTACGTTCAAGAAAGGAATGGTATCGAGAAGAGTGTCGCCATCCTCGCGCTTGCACTGCTGCTGCTGAGCAGCTACGGCGCCGATCAAGCACACCAAAAGTGCCAATTTCAATGCGACCATGTTTTATGTCTATGGGTATGTGTTGCTTGAGAGAAATTTCTCTAATGTAGTTTCAAGCTGTACTGATGCTCTACTGCTGTCGTCGAAGCTACCAAAGCCAGACTCTTTTATATATGAAATTTTCTTATCGTAGAATCATAACATTTTCATATCGATAAGCTGCTTATTCGAAATCGCAATGCGCAAGTAGCGCACCGGAAGGATTTTCTTTACATTTAGCAATATCCCCAATCAAACGTTTTTTTATTGTGTCATTTTGGCACAGTTACAATGTTATTATTAATCAGTAATCATCTAAACATTTACAGGCAGTTGCGCTTGAGCTGCGAAAGCTGCAACTATATTCAGTCGGGATAAAGCCAGCCGGCATTCGAGCAAATTAGCAGTTCCGTGTGTACCGATCAAATTAACGCACACAAATCTTCTTCCGTTTTTGTCTTATTTATTTGCACGCGGAATGACATTTTCTCCTTGCAGAGAATTGCTGCAGATATACGTGCACTTGGTAGCGACTGTCCTTGTTTTCGTCTCATTTGTTGAATGCGGCAAACAAAAATACTAGTCTGCTTTTACAGTGACAAAACTTAACAGTTTTACGAGATGACAAATAAATTAATTATGACGTTCTCTCATTCGCTTACATTATTCCGCGTCGTAAATATTTGCGTAACATCGGAACTCGCGGGCTACCTCTGTAATTGTGAATTGTTTAAAAATATGTTAAATAGTCCAAAAGTAAGCCTGAAAATGGAATCAATTTCCATCGCATCGACAAAAATCATCACTGTGTGTGTAAGACGACACATTTGGGTATGCGTCGTTACGGACTGTTTTGTTGTTGAATTGATTAGAGACTCGAGCGCAATGTTCCATTTCTTTTTAATGTGTAACAGTGAGATAATTAATTTCGATTGTCGGTACAAATTAAAAATATTTAAAGAAAGTTTCAGATGAGAGACTAATTAAGTTTTATAGTGACGGCAATCAGGATTATTTTAAGCACAGCGATCATAAACCGAAAGTAAGAATTTTTTAAACTTTTGCGAATCTACGAGATTAATACTAACAAACAAATGATAAACAATGCGAGGTAGAAAAATTATTTCAAATAGAGGAAAATATATAATTATGCTTTGTTTTGTTCACTACTAATTTATCCACGAGCGAGTTATTTTATATTGAATTTGTTAACAAAATCAGTTTTAAATCCTAATGCATTATTACATTTAGATGTCTTTGGTACATCTCTAAAACTGTCATTGGCATGATGTTAGATTCATAATAGCGGGTATAATGCAAACGTGTTTGTAAAGCTAAATTCAAAACACGCGGTGCGCTCATGAACAAGTGCGTAAAGTGGCAAATCGCGAGGAGCACAAGGTACACGACATACAGTAGAGCTTTGGCACGAAACGCGAATCCGCGTTCGAGGCCCAATGGCCTCTGTCGCGGTCTCTCGGCGACACGCGGGCTTGTGCGTGCGTCATAGGTTCGTTGCATTCCCAAGGACCTCGGCGGTATAGACGCATCTCGCGTTGCAGAGAAAAAAAAGAACAAGAGCAGCCCGTTCCAATGCCTCGAGGCGGTTTTATACACGTTTTGCGAGGCGCCTGCAGCTTTGGACGACGCGAGGCTTTTAATTATTCGACAGCTAGGCAGAGAGCATTTCTGCTACTACGTGCCGACTGCATATGTATACTCGTTTGTGAGACGACTATCGAAGCCAGGATTATTTCACGGCTATTTTCAGACGTTCGCGAGTTCGATAACGTTTCTACATTATTTTACTGGCCAAGCGTAGCGAAGCGTCGACTCGCGACTGCTACGGCGATCCCCGTCAGCTACACTCGCGAGCCCTACTGCCAACTGCCACACGAGTAGACCTGACATAATACATGGATAGCTAATTGGCCTGTCATCGGCCAGATCACATAGACGCATACATTCAACAAGCTATTGTACTGTGGCTGTGAAGAGCTCGACTGTTCGAATGAAAAAGAAAAATTCGACTATGTTGAGTCTCATACGTTCCAGCAGATGTATACATACCAGCGCACAACTGCGAGAGAGCTTCGACTTTGGAAAAAATAAGTAATGAGCTCAAAGTTTTCGAGTCGATATTAGCATGGTATGTGTGTTGAGTACACGTGTATTCGCGTGCTTCCCAAGGAGAAAGAATATCACTTATATATCGTATTTCATCGTTTGTTATAAATAAGTATCATTCAAAAATAACACTCAGTGGCGCAGCGCAGATGCGCGAATGGTGTATCGATAGCCACGTACACGACCGATCGTCTTAGTAGGCTATTTTCGGCGGCCGAAGGCTCGCAACAAATCGCACACGTGCTATCCGACGACGGGCTCGAGCGATCGTCACAACAAATCATGGCAGTTTAGTTCGCGCTACACAGCCCGTGTACGTACAAATTTCGAGAGTGAAATATGGCTCGACGCTGTAAAAAAAAATGCATAACAAGATCGGCTCGATCTTTGTGAAAAGCCATTGGAGTTGGATAGCGATTGCGAGCGCTCACGTCAATGCTTCGTTATGAGCTGCACTTATGCATTAATTACGATTACGCGCTCGTTGCCGATCGAGTGGCGTTTCAACTTTTCATCTACGCACACGAAGGTAAAAAATTTTCTTCGTTGAATCAGCCTACTGGATGATTTCATTTTATTCGAAACAATACAATGGGCTTCGACAACAATGAAATCGGTTTGAACAAATGAAAAATTGGTCGTTCGGGTGAGAGATGACGATTATCCGCATAGGTGTTTGTTTACAATTAATTTCAAGCGATACCGCAGGTAAATCGTCAATCGTCACATATCGTCGCGTTTGTTCACAGAGCTCGTGACTCACTGGGCGATTAAGCAGCTACTATCGATTTTTCTGGCACTTTTCGATGTATCCGTCGTGGCGCGATTCCTCGAACCGGAGGATTCATCATTGTTTTCTAAAAGCTCGGCGCGATACGGCGATAATTCGTGAATCAAAAGGAGAAATTCACGGTAGCGATCCAGTGGGTAAATTGCAGTAGCTCACAGCCAAAAAGCCAAACCCAATCGAGAGGCGAATGGGCGAACTTGCGAGAAACGACGAGCGCTGAAATTTGTTCAAGTGACCCATGCGAGAGATGATTAAGAAGTATATAGCGACGTAGCACGACGCAAATAGAGTAGTATGTAGTAGCTGGCGCGCGTCAAATCTTGCTCGTCGCTCGAGCGCACTCGGGTAATTAGACACCAAAGAGTGCGTTTGATAAGGCTCGCCGCTGTTGCAACCAATGCAGGCTTATTAGGCGCTTCGCGCAGACTGTGACGCGCGATCGAGTGTATTACATGCGTGTGTGTATTAAGCCGTCGGCCGTTGGCGAGTCGCGTGTGTGCACGTGTGTGCATGTGTGTGCGTGTGTGTGTGTGTGTGTGTGTGTGTGTGTGTGTGCACGTGTGTGCAGGGGCACATGTATACAGGATGATGAAGAACGACGAGAGGCCAAGGAAACAGTTAAAAGTTGGCGAATTTGCGGCGCGCTCGACTCTACGTCATACGTAATGTGCGTAGACTACGACGACGATGACGACGTGGAGGAGTAGGCAGGCAGCGTACGATATATAACAGTATATAAAGGAAAAAGCTGGTGGCGCGCGCGAGCGAAAGAGAGGGAAGAGTTAGGTCGCAGTCGGAGCTGCGGCCAGCGACCGACTACGCGAACCATTAACGCGCCAGCGAGCGAGCGAGAAAAAGACGAAACGAACGAAGCAAGAAAGATACGAGACTGCCGAGTCCAATATTCGAGTGCTTCGAGTGCTTCGGCTGGTTTGGAGCAGGTCCCATGCACGAGGTCGGAGCTCGCGCGCGCCACTAGCAGCGTGGTTCGGCGCGACCGGCTTGCAGCGAGGCGCCGTCAAAGCGCTGCATCTCGGGCGCGCTTCCTCCCTCTTGGCACCGACTGCCTGTCTGCCTGACTGACTGACTGACTGACTCGAGAACTTGGCCAATCGCTCTCCGACGGTGGAACTGGCCAGTAGTGCAGCCGCTACAAGCTCAGTCGGACTCGGCCGTTCGGTTATAAAGCTCGCTCGGGGCTCCTCCGCGACAACGTGCCTCGCTATACGAGATCTAGGCCGTGTCTGTGTGCAGTGCGTGTCAGCCAAGTGCATCGGTGCGTTGCGTACGTGTGTTTCTGTGTCTCTGTGTCTCTTGTGTGTGTGTGTCTGTGTGTAGATTTCACAGTGCAGGCAGTCGAGGTGTCGCCGGTCACGCATCGGCCTCGCTCGACAACGCCAGTGGGTGTGTACAGTGCGTGCGGAACGGCAGCAGAAGCACACGCTGCTATACGCGTTTGCGGCGCGCTTACACGAGTCGGCGAGCAGACAGAGCTGCCTGCAAAGTCTCTGCGTGCGTACGTTATCAACGCTGGCAGGCGTGTTCGCGACAGATCGGGACCATGAGAGGATCGACGAAGCTCTTGGGCAACGATCGGCTGCTCGGCTACGGTCTACCGGAACTGCCCGTCGTGTCTTGCACTTTTCCGACGAATCGCCGGTCTCTCACCTAGAGCCAGCACAGCCCTCGTCAACGTCCATCTCTGGTGAGTCTCTCTCCTTATCTCGCTCCTATAGGCTCGTTTAAAACAGCACCTCCTCGTTTGCGCGTAAAAGACGCACGAAATGCGTAGTACTGCTCGTCAATCCTATTGTATACGAAGCAGCTACGAGCGTCGCGAGCGCGTGCGATCGTCGTAAATGATAAATAGTCGTAAAAATTTTCTTACCTACCTACGGCTCTTAGTTTAATATTTAACGAGTTCTTTGAACTTGTCGACGTCTACGACGATGCTCGATTCTTAAATATCTCCCTGAGAATTAGCTATACATACTTGTATATTCTTTTCCCCTTTCGCGCGCGCGACTTTATTCCTTTGCGGGTATAATAGTACGTACATTAACACTTAATTAAGATACCCTGCTCGGAAAAACAGGTCTGTGCAGCTTTATTATAAACTATATATACTCGCTCGTTTCTCTTTCTCTCTTTCTCTCTTCTCCCATGTACGTAAGCGCGCCTCTACATATTATACGTTACTTGGGTTCATTCAGCAGAAAGCCGTGGAGCCTGCACAGTGTGTTTCGCTGCTCCTTTTTCCACGACTGTTCGCGCGTGCGTATGTGATAAATACATACCAGATTGCAAATAAACCAGATTTCTATATTTATCAAAGTGCATGTGTGAGAGTCAATGGCATGTAGACTGTGTATCGCGCACACACACACACACATTTATCAGAGTCCGCCCGCACAATTCTCTCTCGCTCTCTTTCTCGTCTCGTTCAAATATTATTTCCTCTTTTTGTTATCTCGTGCCTACAAAACCAACCCGATTATAGTTGCGTTGACGGCTCTCCAAAATTAATTTCATCCCGAATAAAAAGGAAAAAACGTCGCGCGAGAGGGAAAGAGAGAGAGAGAGAGAGCCGATTTTTGTCGATGTCGCTGACCGATAACGATTTTCTCGTCGAAAAAAAAGGCCGCAACGTGCGAGCGCAAAAAATACATGCTTTGGCGACCGAGTGCATGCATATTAATGAGCATCTGCCGCTGCTTCGAGAATACGCGTAAACGTCAGTTGTACCGCGCGCTATAAAGCATTTATTATTATGTAAAAAAGTATGATCGTCGTCGTCGTCATCGGCGTCATTGACGGCTCATTATTTTTGCCGTTACTCGGGACGCTGTACAATTTATCAGCCGATTGGCGACGACGAGCGCAGACTGCGCGTACTTTTATATATGCATGCATATTTCATGAAATGCCCTCGTTTGTACATATGCTAAACATTTACGACAAGAAAGTCTACCGTGCGTCTTTGATATTCTTTTTTTTTCAACAATTACATATAGTTCGTGACGAATCAGATGACTGAGATTCTCAATGGGGTTCATACAATCTGCAGTAAATATGACACTCGGGTCAGAATTTCAAAAGTGCTTACAAACTAGGGAAAATCGTTAATCGTGCTTGTGTTACTCACCCTACTCCCTCGCCGGGTTTTAGAGGATAACGAGCACCCAATTCCACTGCCGGTGCCAAAAACGTCAGCTGCAGATCAGTGGCATTTTTCCAAATGTTTCGCCTGAAACAAGTTGCAAAAGTACGCAGAAAATGAGCACAAGTTTAAAAAATAAATATATCAGAGTCTATAGGTCGCGCGCGGCTCGTCTAAAACAAAAACATCTCTCGACGACGTCGCGAGATCTCTTTCCAAAGTGAAATATGATTTGTGCAAATGCAAAACTATCCATTTTGCTATTACAGCTGATGCTCGTATGCGTATTGACGCAAGCACGAGTCGTGCAAATGTGTGTGCGAGTCTGTGTGCGGCGGCCTGTCCACGTGCATATGTTTATGTGATAATGCATGCACATTTTGCATGTGTATGTAGATGTGCATCTATGATGCACGCGTCGTCGTCACAAAAGCTGATGAATTACGGAATGTACGTAAGAGAGATAAGAATATAGTAAATATATTCTGGCGCTACTTTGAAATTACAAGCAAAAATATTTGCTATCGCGTGCGGTCGCACTGACGGCCAAACAAATGTAACAATACTGCGGATCGTATTTCATTGAAAACAAACAGCGATTTACTCGATACATTTTACAGGATCTTTCCAAACGGTTTAGAGAATGCCCGAATCGAATCGATTAAAAGTATAGAGGTACGCAAAGCTCGTTACCTGAAAATATCAAAGAGCATCTCGGTTCGGTTGAGGTCAAACATCTCTTCGACGTTCCAGCTGTTGACTTTCAATTGAATCTGATACTTGGAGACGACGTCGCTCTCCGAGACGATAACTTCCAAGGTTTTCTCGCGCGTCTCGTAAGTTTTCTTGTTTAGAGCAATGATCTCCAACTGCGACATATATAATATAATATACACGAGAAATAGACGAGCAGCGTCATTAGCATGTCGCGCTCACATAATGCAATACAGCCTGTATATGTATTTCAACAGAAATTCTCATTTTTTCTATTGTCAACTTGGCGAGTTGCCAATATTACCTTGAAATTTTTTTGATCCTTCGGCGCTACCCCATAAAGATATCCACGATGCGTCCGCTCGCTGTAAATATAATGAATCCACGAGGGTAAATCCGGCGAATCCAGTAGCGATGCCTCGTATCTATACTCGTTTCTCCGTTCTGCAAATTATGAAAACCAATCAGTACGTTACTATTATGGTTTACGGATGAACAGTCGACTCACCATCCGAAGTCCAATTGAAGTATTGAGGTACAATGGGAATAGCAAAAACTTGTAGCGAATTTATGTTGACATCCGTTGCACAGGCGTGCTGACCCACCAGCAACACCAGACAGCACACCGAGATGATGTTGAGCATTTTTGACAATCTTGATTTGAAAAAACATTAGATAAATTCGGTACTTTTCATTGCTGTAATTGCATTTGTAAGCTTTTGATGCGCCAAGAAGGCATCGAACCTGACTTACTGCTCTCATTAGCTGTCTAGATCACAACTTAATGCTCGCGACTTATATAGTAATATGAAGCAGTGACTTCTCACGAGGCGTTCGCGGAGTGCAGCGCAGCACAATTTGTTGGAGTCGTTACTTGTGCAACTTTTTCAATGGGAAAAAGAAGGAGCGCGTTTATTTTCTCGAGTATAGAAAAGTAGAATCGTTGAAATAAAAAGCCGCGCAACCCCAGAAGACAGTTTACCCGAGGTCAATTCGAACGCATTTATTTGAGCTCGACGCGAAGAAGCTGACTCAGGTCAACGCGTACAGATATTTTTCCGGTTGGCTTTGGACGAAAAAAAAATTGTTCGGGTGCATTGTTTTGTGAGTAAAAAAAGTGCACACACGAGAGGCTCGCGGATACATTATAGCGCGTCGAACAAAGAGCAGCGGCTACAATGACTGTATATATACGCGCGTCGAGTTGAGAAAGAAAAGCTCGTGGGTATTATAATACACGCATGCTATATACGCGGGCCGCTGCGCTGCACCGCTGCTGCTGCTATGTGCTCGCGTGGCGAGACGATGACGACGACATATATATAGGATTGACGCAATTCGTTTTCTGCCTGCTTAAGTACTACGGGCTATATAGCATAATGCGTGCGCGCGGCCACGGTCATAGCCAGAGAGAGAGAGAGAGAGAGAGAGAGATCTACTCTGGGCGCTGCGCAAGAGCCGCGAAAACGATACTCTTCCACGAGTTTCGAGTATGCCTGCAGCACTTGCTGCCTGTGCAACATGTGGCGTTGAAAACAAGGGTGTCCGCGCGATCGTCTGCACACACAAAGCGGCCACTTTGCCAAACTGCATGCTTGATATTCTCTTTCGAGAATTTTCTCACCTATTTTAAGACCCAAATCAAGTGCTAGTGCGTACGTTCGTATGCCACTGCTGTTTACGAGCATTTCACATGCATTTTAGCGAGAGTTATAAATAATTCATATTTTTTAACGCGAAAAATCTTCGGCCAACTAACTTAGGCCAGGCAACGAACCGATAATATTAATGTCGACGTTTTTTTTTTATTGTCGAAAACGAGGCAGCCTGAAATGTTTGCATTTTCAAAATTTGACACCGAGTCGTCGGTATTTTTCTAACAAAATTTATGCTAAAGAAATTCTTTACTCGTTAATTTACGTCGTAAATTGATTGAAAAGTTCACACGGTGTCGCGTTGCAGTTAGCCAGAGTTCATTGATTCGACAATCATGCTATACAATTTTATTAATGGGCATTAGCGATGTATATGTGCTCACTAACATATTTGATGAGCTGGAATAAAAACAATCGTGTTGCCTTTCAATAAAACGTTTCTGATTTCACTTTTTATTTTATTTCATTTCATTTTTCTTAACATTAACTCGTTTCATTAATCACGTTCGTCACACGTGATGTGAAAAATTTAAAGCCTACGAAATTCATGAATGAATGCAACGTTGTTGACGCTTCTTTCAGATTCTAATGATAATATATTCTATACATTGATGTAAACAATATAGATGCTCTTTGGTTTGTTTATTTGTTTTGATTATCTCGAGCTAATATCAGTTTTTATCTACTTGAAAAAATTTAATTGTAAAAAGTCAAGGTAATCGGAAATATCAGACAAGGTTGTTTTTACGACCTTACGTTGAAAAATATTTTTTAATCCTCGGTCGATATACGATATCACTTAGAAATAGATAATTAAAATTATTCGTGGCTTTATTTATTATCATATTGTGCATTGAAAAGTAGAACTTTTTGTATGCAAGATTTAAATAATTGAAACAATAAATTTGAATCGATAAATTCTTTCTAGTGGTTATTCATACATAGATTCAGATGCATGGATAAATCTAAATTTTCTTGTCCAGCAGTAGAATGGCTAGACTTGGCGTAAACAAAGAGCGCGCATTCGATTGACAAAAAATCAAGTGTAAGCTCAATTGAAAAATGTGGCGAAACGGGTAGCTTATAAATATACATGCACAAATAGTACAATATAAGTGAATGAAAAATGTAAATGGGATTTGAAAGGTGAAGCGTATACACGTTGGAGAATAAACAGCGTGGACGAACGCTTCGCACGGGAGAATTTCTCCTTCTCTCCCCCCCTCCAGCGGTGTCGAGCTCGCGCGAGCTTGCGCCCTCGGCGCGCTCGGGGCTAGTCTTTATCGACTCCCAACGAGCTCGAGCCTATATTTCGCGCTTACTCACTAGCGGAAGAGATCGAGCTCGCTGCTGAAAGAGCCGACCGCAAGAAGCAAAATAAGGATCAGTGTTTTACTCACGGGGTGAGTGGCCTGCAGAAGTGGTCGAGCTCGCAGCGGTTGAAAATCGGACTCGAGGAAGAGCTTGCGACGAGGGAAGGGTCGGGCGCAATAGTCTGCGGCGAGGATCGACTACGCGCTGGTGGCTGCGGCGAGCTCGGGCTGCGCACTCGGCTCTCGACGCCGCTGAGCGAGGCAGACGCGCGCGCAGCCTCGGCTACATATATATATATATACCTGCCACTCGTGTTGGCGAGTTCTCATAGACATATATCGATGCCGTATGCCTAGGAAGCTATGGACAGGCACGAGGCGTGCGCGCGATGCATCATTGCTAGGCAGACCATCGGAGCCGAGAGTTCGTACGACTAGTCACCCCGAATTGGTCGGCAGCGAAGCACAGCTCGAGTCTGGGACAAGAAGAGGCAGATGCTCGCGTAGAGGCCAGTACGCCCTCCCGCGGCACATACTCAGCTCGCCCTTCTCTCCGTCTCGTCCCTCGACTCGTTACTTTGCCTCTCGTGTCGCTTCGCAATATAACGTGCCTCAGTCATAGCTGTATTGTGAACGATCAAAGTTCACCTCCGTGTTGTTGTTGTTGTTGTCGTTCGTCGATTTGACAGCTGTCCGTACGGCTCGAGTCGTTGTCGCCGTAGTCCTCCTCATCGTCGTCGACGGAAGGGACCCACAAGCTCGTGTCTGGGGTGAGCCAAAACTTTCGATAGTATATTCCTGTAGATGTTGAAGCTCGAGCTTTTCTGTATTTTCAACGGCAACGGGAGCCTAATTTTGCCGGGCTAATTCCTCTATTTGTACATAAGTTACGTTTAAAGTACATAGTCAACAGAGAGCTAGGCTCAAGACAATCGTTCGAGTCGCTCGTGTAACGACGTTATGTTTATATAGATCATGCCAGAGCAAAGCGCGCCAAATTACGATGAACTTAATTTAAGAGCTTGGCACGATTTATACACTTTTACTTTTGCATGAAACGCTACGACGTGCGCGGGTGCCTAGGCTGTCGCCCGTTGCAACAAAGTTCACTAAACGCTCGCTAAACGATTGCGATAAATTTTTTATTTGTGCATGTATACATAAATGTGTATCTCACATCGCGCCCGCGTATACTCCCATACACGAGCTATATACGACTCGACGATAAAGTCTTTAGGCGAACTCGCGAGCATCCAATGTCCATGTGTATATGCTTCTAACACAAAGCTTCTATAATGTTATAACCGCACACACCCGCTGCGGCCGGTTTGATTTAATAATAATAACATTGTATAATGACACTCGGGCGGAAGCCGTACGTATGAAACTTGCAACATCATTTATAAGCTTTCCCGTGCCCGAGTTCAAAGACACGCTTAAGGAAAAATTTTTCAATGTTTTACCCCGGCTCGATACTCGTTTTACGTCCCAAGAACCCGATATGTGAGATTTATACCCCTTTTGGAATGAGCGAATATTTTACCTCAACGTAGCACTTTTTGTCATCAATCGATGATATACTGATAATAATTTTCCGTGCCTGCACTTTGTGCCAAAGAAAATAGCCGAGCGATAAAAAGTACAGATCGATATCGTCCCATTTTTTTACCATTAAAAATACCCGTGAGTTAAGTCATTGATAATCGATGCGCTATGTTTATAGCACGTAGTCGCAGATTCTTTAAAAATATTGTCAATTCATATTTGTCAATTTAAAGATTAGGATCGATGTAGAACGAGGTTTTAATATCATTTGAAACGCTGTGGTACTTTTTTCAAAGAAAATTTAATATTTTATCGTTGTCGAGCAAAGCACTGAAAAAAATAACACGATTGTCAAATTTGGAAAAAAAACTTTGCCCGCTCCATTAGGAACGGATGCAGAAATTGAAAGAAAATGCGTAACGGTCGTGTACACAGCGATCACTCCTTAGCGAAATGTAGCGATTACTTCATTGTAAACATAAGATAGGTCGTAACAATCGATCGACAGATCGATCGACGAATAACATCATCGACGGATCATTTACGCGTGGAACAATTCGAGCTCGGCTCATCGCGCTCTCGGTAGCGCGCCACAATCCGCGCGCATTTTATGTATACAACGCGCGGGAAGATATAATGCGCCTAGAGAAACAATTGCATCAAGTGCTGCCATTGAGGCCGCTGCCACAAACGCACGACGTGCGGACCGATTGGTCGAATGAAAATAAAACGTTAATTCAGTCAAGGACGAAATATATTGCACGGCGAGAGAGAGAAAGAGCTTTTCCTTCACCGCCAGCACTACCGCAAAGTGTCAGTGAGCCGCATCAGTCGTACCCGAGTGAGAGAGAAAGATATAAATAATTCGCGCGCGCGAGAGCGAGAGTAGAAACGCAAATGCACGCTCGATAATCGTATGCGCGAGCTGCGCTTTTATTATATGTACGTGTGCGCGCATGCGAGATTAACTTCCGCGAATCGATACAACGTCTATTCTGAGACTTATCCGAAGAAAAAAAAAGCAGATTGAAAAGACGCGAAGCCCTTTGGCTAACTGCCATCCTAGTCGACGCGTCCTTACAATCAATTTTGCACGTGAAAACATTCGCGCAAGCTCGGTGGATTTTTCTCGGGCGAGCGACAAAAAGCTCGAGTTTATGAGCCGATTGACGTTTGTATCGAGCGCTGCACACAAAGTGTAGAATTTCTCCGCAAATGCTCGCGGATAAAGAGATGACTCGCGAAACAAAGTGTGTACGCGGCTTCGAACGGAACAGCTCGAGCGCCAGAATCAACAAGTATACAAACAGAAGCGACGAAAAAGCCAAGCGGCGCCGATTCGTGCGCGGCAACGTGGCCTCGATTACAGCTACCTATAAAAGTTGAACCTATATCCATGTCTAGATAGTAGCACTGCTAGTCGGGCTGTGCACAAGTGTGCGTGTGCAAGGCTCAAAGTACCTACTACCCCCTCGAGCCGAGCCGTCGCAAAAAGAATAATAAAGTTTTCTCGGTCTTTTCCAGCGTTTTCTCCTTTTTTTTTCACCTCGAAAGCTTCCGCTTGGATAATGAAAGCTCGGCACGTCCTTAAACTCTCGCGCGCAACGATATATAGCTCGCTTCGACGCGAGCCAATTATAGCTCAGTTCTCCACGCGTGTACGAACGTGCGTGCCCTTACATACAGATATATTATGCACGACTCGATACGCGAGCAAGAGCTCCAACTGGACTGCGTGGCATGTGCGCGAGGATCGAATATAGAGTTTGCCTCGCCGCTGGCTATTAAGCTCGCTGAAAGGGTGAATCGATGTCGAGCCTCGGCTTAACATGTCATGTTTAGCGAGCTCGCAACGCACGCGTAGGCAGCGCATAATCGCGCAACGGGTACAAAGCTGCGCTATATACGGCACTGTCTATCGACGTTTGCGGCTGCAGGCGTGGTCACTCTCACTTGGCGCGATCCTAGTGCACACTCTGTGCAGCCGGTGCCTGACAAATGAATCGATCCGCAAGCTCCAGCGGATGCGCTTCGATCTTGTCGCGTTTCTGCATTTTTCTGACCTCACCGTCGATCAGATTATACATACTCTTGAACATCTTCGGATAAGTCACCAAGTATCCTGCTCCTACCTAGTACCTCCTGCACGTGTACTGAGAACTTTGCATAAATAACAAGTAGTATACTATTAGTGTTATTAAGATCATGTTTACTCGTCATATATAGAGACAACCCTTTTTACGCTGACTCGTGAATTACAGCAGTCGCAAAATTGAACTCGAACGAGTTTACATTTAACTTACACCTACATAGGTGTATACATAACATATATACCGAAGCAGAGGAGAACTCATGCATATTGAACGGCAGCAAATTTCAGCCCTACATGCATACGACGAGTCTGGATACGATTGCACGCGTGTTCGTACGAAGCTACGGCTGGCCGTGCAGAGCTACAGCCACGCGAACCGATATATTATATTGCATTGTCTCTTATCTGGCTGCACAGCGTCGCACACGTTATAGGGCCTCGAAACATATAGAATTGCGTGCACGAAGCTGTCACGCGCGCAAAACAGGGTGACGCCGATTATTTGTCGCGCACGAGACTCGCATGACTCTTACATATCCACTTCGTGTAGCAGATTCGTAAATTATTATCCGACTGGTATGGCGCATAAATGCTTACTTTGTTGAGATTTTCACTGACTTTCCTCTTCCCAACTTTACTCGCTGCGAGTCCGAGACTCGGGCTAAAGAACCACCACGGTACAGTAGAAAAACTCACGCGTTCAAGCATAAAGAAAGCAATTAGTCCCGTACGAGCTGTTAATTTTTTTCCTTCTCTCGCTTAATTACAAAAGTTCGGAAGCGCATCTTTAGTCTTGTAATTGAAAAACTTTAAATCCGTGTATTTTGTCGACAATTTGTTTGTGTGGCCGTAGTTATCGAAGAGACAAGCATTTTCAATTGCGCTTTTTATTATATAAATAACCAGTGATCGGTTACGAGTATTCTAACTAAACATTTTCCTTATTTTCATGAATTTTTTTTTGCAAAAAAATAAATATTTGATGAAATATTGATCGGTTTTGAATGTAATTTGTACTAACATTCACATTATTTTGGCTGACATATTTTGAATTCCTATTTTGTTTTTAGAAATTACACGATAGTCAACTACGAAAAAGCGCTATTTTTTTAAACGTTATTCATCAAATCGCTTGTCTGGAACAATGATGCAGTGCTCATATTCTATTGTTCTTATAAGTGTCAAACACATTTTACATATTTAACTCAGACCGGCATATAAAGTGATATTTGCAACTCATTATGAGCCTATTCTCAACTCCATATTTGATATCTTATTTTCAATTATACTTAACAGTATTGTAATATTTTTAAAATTCGGAGAAAAATATTCTTGAATTAATATTTATTTATAAATAATAAAAAATTGAATAACCAACATTTCTAAAATTTATCTATTAAAATTTCAGACGAAGAAGTATTGGCAATTAAAAGAAAAAGTAGAAACCATCTCTGAGAGAAACAGCGGAAATGTCATCGAGCGATGTTCCGTTTCTGCTTATCACCGCTAATGTCGGGAGCATCTTCGAAGAGGTAAGTTAAGGAAATCAGAATAATTTTACCATTTGAAGTACTTTCGAATTAACTAGATGAATGTGAAAATCAAGCTCAAGTACGAAATTTGATTCCACGTATTAATATGTGAAATTAATTTCGGTTCAATAAGTTTAAAAAATAGCCTTAATTTAACTCCAAATCTGTTCAAAACACAATTACTTTTTTTCCAGCCGAGTACTATGCTAAAATTATGGACCGAAGAATTTTTATCGGTAAGTTTATAACAAATTATAATAAAATTTCCCGTGAGAAAACTAATATTATTATTATTATTAAATATATAGCCGCAGTGAGCATAATACAAATCGATCGACTGATTTTTCTATAATTAGGTTGCTATATATTATATATTAATCAAGTTACAAACTTATGAGTTAATTTTTATTCTAGACAATAGCTCGGCTCGATCCGAAATTCATCGCTCTTCATTGCCAAGAAGTCGGAGGAAAAAATTATGCCGAGAGCATGCGCCATGTAGAAGAATTTGTGAGGTACTTGCATTTTATTTAATTTAACAGCTCTTTTTTCTAAACATTTACACATATCGTAACGTGAGAGGATGAAAAGAAAGGGAGAGATAGAAAGAAGCATTTTTCATTTTACTCCCTTGGCCTAGATTTAAATAAAGAGTAAATCATGCACCTTTCAGTGAGTACGTGCAACTCTCGCATCGTGGAGCTGTATAACAATATCGGCTCGCAAAGGCGTAAAAGCAGGCAAGCTTCGCCAACGACCTAACTGCTTGATTAATATTTTCATGTTGCTTGAATTTAAATATAATCTACGTCAAAATAGATGCATCAACGATAGGCAAGCTCATTTGTTCGATAATCGCGAGAACCTTCGTTATAAGAACGGTACACAAGGACGAAACTTGACTAAATAAATATTCAAAAGCTCAAATTACTCATACAAAATGCTACATGTCAAATATTAAATAAAATAAATAATAATACAAAAAGAAAAAGCGCAGCCATATTAAATGACATACAAGTTGGAAGTCTCTCATCCGCAGAGCCTAAAGCGCTCTCTAACTGCAGCTGATTGGCCCCGTGAAATTGGCTAACTTTCATCCCTCTGGCAGCAAGCCGAAACGAGGTCATCCTAATGTGCAGAGGGCCGCGCGTCCGTCGCCCGCGGAAAACATGTATACCGCTATACACGTATACGCAAATCGCACAATGAGCACGGAGAGTTACGTTTGATAGGGCGCAGAGCCATGTATCGTCGCCACCGTGTGGTTTTCCATGCAATAAGCCTCGTCGGTCGTGGTCGCGAGCGAGTAAGCTTGGCTCTCGCGACGCTCGGCTCCATTATATTCCCATATCGATTTCGATAAACGTGTACGTATGAGCGAGCTCGTCGGCAAAGACTCGAGAGTTAGATCATCGACGCGCAAAAATACGAGAGATTAAAATAAGCTGCAAGTGTTTACGGCATTATGATGATGATGACGATGATGATGACGCTTCGTCGGAGCTTATACTCGTATCAGCCTGGAGAGAGATAGTTATGTAGCCTCGTATAAAAGCTTAAAACGGCAGATATTCATACGGGGTCGTGCCCGGGAACGATGAAACTATCGTCGACCGTAAAGCAGCTCGACAAACTCTACTCACGAGTACTCTGCTCAACGATACAAAAAATATATCCATCCTCCTGCAATTAATTCAAGCTTACTATCCTTTCATTGTATCGACTACTTTACGCTGTAACAATTTACCTATACAAGAAACTTTTAATTAATTTTCCTGAGGAAAAAATACCAAAGCCAGCATAGAAGTGAACATTTTAAAATTCTTATCGGTTATTCGTACTATAGATTACATTCTGAAACAAGTACGCAAAATTACGCTAAAAATGTCCTATAAAGCATCGATAGCACAGTGCAGTTGATTAATCATAAAATCTTTAATGCATTTATTAGATTGTTGATTTCCTCCGAAGAACTACGACTATTCGACAAAGTGAGAGTCTTTCTCGACGAAGATTTTTCGTCAGCAGAACATTTTACTGTGAGTACCAATAATAAATAACGTTTCATTGCGCCGTAGCAACAATAACTCACAATGACGAATCGTTTTCAGGCCCTTGGAAACCTATACTTTGCGCATGAAAGTTTAACCGACGTACAGCTTTGGGACTTTAAAGGTATCATTAAATTTATTATCTAATTTTGCTCGAAAATAGGCACTTTTAAAAAATGTATTATGTACCTGCAGCGGGAGTTTTTGAACCGGCAACTGGTACGGAGATTCATTCGGGCAATATCGAAACCGTGCCAACGAAAGAAAAGGCGAAATTTCCTCAGGATTTTTTTCCTGAGTGCAAGTGGTCTAGAAAAGGGTTTCTCAGGACTAGGTGGAGCATCAATGGAACTGTCTTTGATCTCATAAACATTCATCTTTTTCACGATGCCAGTAATTTTATCGCCATGGAAACAGTGAGTTTACGCGTGATTCACGTATATATAACCAGTTTCAATCAAAATGCTGTCATTTTCTCCAACTATTTATATAAAGCACAAATATTTCTTGACAAATAATATCATTTTGATAGGGACACAAATGACATCATTCGAGCCCCACGTCTCATTTGAAAATGTATGTTCTGTACTTGCTTATCTAGTGTCAGTCATCATGTGTATTAATAAATTCATCTCGGTAATGTTCCCCTCACACAAATGTTTATCTGATAAATTCTCGAATGAAAAATATTTTTGATGTGGGATTAGGGAATTCATGGAAGAAATCAGTTAAGCTAAATTAAATAAACTTTCATTAAATCAATCATTAAATTGGAAATATTTTACCTTTTATCGTACAAATACTCGAATAAAATAAATTTTTTTCATCTTCTAATAGTTCCCGTCAGTGTACAGTAAAACTCGTCGCAGAGCTTTGGAGCATACATTAGATAGGTTTCACAATGATAATTATCCGAATGTACCCTACTTCGTATTCGGTGACTTTAACTTCAGAACGGATACGGCCGGTGTCATAAAGGTGAGAATTTTTGAAGTAGAAAAAAAGTTTTTGAATTCGTGCATTTAACTTTATTGAAACAAATCTGTCGTTTCCAACTGCAGAAACTCACCACGGATACACGAGAGAGTCAAACATCGAACAAAGGTACCTTGTCAAAATTACAATTCCACAACGAGAACGACGACGTGATTCTGAGTCTCGGCAAGAAAGAGTTTAAGCATCATCACCATCAAACGGTCTTCTCTGAAGACAGCGGGGAATGGGTGAGCTCATAATTATAATGTTTAGTTTAAATAAATTTGAAAATCAGTTTATTGGTAGAATACTCTTTGATCTGACTGTCCACCATTGAATGTAAAATTAAAACACTTTCCGCAAATTGCAGTTGCGAGAATACGATAAGGAGATGTCCGATTTCGAAGATAGACTATTCGAGTTTCCGATCAAATTTGTGCCGAGCTACCCATTCGAAGAAGACGTGAAGGAAGGGACAAGTTATATGCAGACGCGAGTACCAGCTTGGTGCGATCGGGTCCTGATGAGTCCTACCGCAAAGTCTCTAGTCAAAGACGTAAGTAGTTGGTCGATATTTTTAAGAAATTTTTGTAATGTAACACACGATTACTCATGTGATGGTTCTCGAATGTCCACAGTTATCAGTTCCAAATTCCACCGAATATGGCATCATTGGTCCGGAAACTTGCATGGGCGATCACAAGGTGAGTTATCAAATTTATTAACCTTTACTTCACAAAAAATGCTCAAGTCCGTGAAAGAAAAAACCTTTTACTCACACACTTTGTGATTGTTTGAACTATCCTGTTAAAAAAAAAAACTTTAACATGATACACAGTAAATGAATGAATAATTCTCATGCATACATTTTAATGTACGATTTGGGTGCAGCCTGTTTTTCTGCTGTTCCGAATGAGTATCTAAGCGTCGTTAAGGTACTTATTAATTTCTTCATTTTGGTTAAAAGTATCTGTTTGTTCTCATTGTATGATATATATATTTGAATATTTTTAATCTGTTTTAAATTTCATCGTTATTATTCAGTTTTGGTATTAAGATATATTTATACGTCTTGTATAGCTACTTTTACCTTGCCCGAAATCTTACGTGTATTTTAATGATATGTTTCCTTTGATTGTTTGATAATTTCTTTGCCAATTTATCACCTAATGCCAGAAATCGTAACATTATACGTACATATAGATGTATTTAAAAGCATCCACACACATACCACCTGAACTTCACATAGATTTTCCAGCTTTCCTTTGTTATTCGACACGATCTACATTCTGTCAATCTCGCTTCTAGTTTAAACCTCATTTAGACTTTACAATTAAGTTAGTTATCGTTTTGTATCAACCGTAAGGACCTGTGATAATCCTAAAGATCGTTACCCCCAAACATAGTGAATTTAATTTTTTGAAAAAAGATCACTTGAAATTAAGAGTAAAACTTATATCTTGAGTTGGAGATATTTTTCATTAGATAAATGCATGGCTCGTCAACCAGATTTAGTGAAAATATTCAATAATTATAGTAAAATAGATTTTGAATCTCACTCGATTGCTGATGAATAAAGAAATACGTAACCTTGCTTGAATCTCAATTTATAGACTCAAGATAATAACTTAAACAATGGACAATCATTAACAATAAAAATTTCGTTAATACTTTTAAATATTTGAAAATTAAAAAAAAATGTCATTCAATGGTTTTTTCCATTCAATTGCGATTTGGTTCCATAAAATAATTGTATTTCGATCTCTAAATTTGTCATTCTAGTCATGCCTCAACACGTGAACTCGTTTAGTTGCTTGCATAATAGTTGGTTCCGAGTTTAAAGAAACGGAAAAAATGTAAATTTACAAGCTCATACGCTCATTCTGATTTGATAACATGTGTAAGAAAAAGTGTAATTTTGTGTAATGTATGTTAATTGCAGCCGGTGTATCTGAAGGCCAAGCTGATCTCGGACGCAGGTATGATTAATTGCTGCAGCTCGCCTAATCCCGAGCAAAACTGCTTCCGCGTGCCTGAGAGCTACAAGTTGCCTGTACCCCGACCCTTGAATCCCTTACTGAATCCGTTGACGGTAGTTTTAAACGAAAGCCACGAGCAGCCGCACAATTTGAGGCTCAGCATGACAGCTCGCTATAATTTCCCGGCGCAAGACTCCAACTTCCTGCTCGCAGTACCCCTCAAGCATGATCCTTACACCCCGGACAGCATGGACAGTTCGAGTCCCACTGCCCTGCCCCAAATATCCTCGGATCAGCAAGAGCAGTCGCAGCAAGAACAGCAGCAAGAGCAGCAGCAAGAACAGCAGTCGCAGGCGTCGACCGAGAGCCAACACAGGGATCGCGCGGTACCGGCGGCTCTGCTCAAGTCCAAGCTCGAGCTCATCGCTCAGGAGTTCGAGGAGGAGGAGTCGCGAGAGCACGAGGCCGGCTCGGCCGAGCGCAGCGATCACCGGAAAAAGAGCCGGGCCAGCTACGAGGACGTGTCGTGGCAGCGCTCGCATTTGCTCACCAGAGCCTGGCTCGAGGGCGAGGGCCAGCAGGCTTACCACTCGTTCGGCGACGAGCTACGCGCCCCGGCGAGCCAACGCGAGCAGCAGTGCCAGCAGTCCGAAGAGCTTCTGGATGCAGCAGCCTCGCAAGCCGATCCGTCCCCCGACGCGATACCGCGGATAGCCATCATCAACGCCAGCGACTTCGCGTCCAACTCGGGCTCCGTACGCCACTCGCAAGCCGACGACTGCGATCAAGATCAGGCGTGCGCCTCGGCCCTGACCACTTGCAGTAAATCCGATCAGCAGCTCGAGGCGTCCACCTACTCGAATCAGAGGACGAGGAGCCTCAGCGGCACCGACTCGCGGGCAACGGCCAGTGTGGCGGTCGAGGACGAGCACAACAACGAAGAGTCCATATCAAACAGCAATGACGTAATTGACAAAGATGAAGACGAGGGTAATTCCAAGGACGACTCGTCCAAAAGCGAATCACTGAAAAGTCAAGCCATCGGCGACAGCCCTAAACAGAAGAGAAGTAATAACCTAGCCCAGAGGATAAGGAAAAATCTCATCGTAAGGAGCGGCGAACGCTGCAAAACTTGCTGTGTGCTATCCTGACCTAAAGTAGTGATTCATTACTGCAACCGCTCTTTGACTGATAATCGTTGCACTTTTTATCGTAAATGACCAAACACGCCTTTTTTATTTTTAGCCAGTATGTCAATTCGTGACTTATGTAGTACAGTGAAATACGTACATAAATTCACACGCTAACTGTAGTAAGCAATTTTTTTATTAATATTTACCTAAGGTATCGTAACGAATCTATTGTTTGTTGAATTGATTTGCGCGATTTAGTATTTTTTTTCATCATTATTATTCATTTGTTCGCGTTTTATGAGACGTCTGAACAAGTGTCATCTTGGTTCATACGAATCAATTTAAGTACAATTTATCAGTCACTGCAGTATTCCAATTAAATCTGTAGCAAATATCCTATGCCATGCTCCCTTGCCATGCTAAATTACAGGTCGAAACATTACTTCTTATGACCACGTTTTGACTAGTACGCAGAGAGTAGTTTTATGTCTTAGTTAATTAAAATTATGTAAATAATATACCTTGGTATATTTTTGTGGTAGCCACGTGAACAACTATATTGCGTTGACAAAATATGCCAAATTATTATCAATAGGTTCCTGAACAAATAAATGGAATATTTTTCATTCCATAAAAATCGAGTATTAAAATATTTGCATGGTTTTAGCCAGTTTTAAGCTAACTTTTACTTGAAAAACACTCCATCTTTCGTTGAAAGTTAACTATTGTAATTAAGAAAATGAATATTTTTAATTGTCAATGCTTAAGTAAGTAGTTGATAATTTTTTTTATTCGTACAATCATCCTTTAGATGTAAACACAAAAATTAACAGAGTATTATTTAACTTTATGATATCATAAAATAAAAAAACAGTTAATTTCGAAAATTAAAAAGACTGCGCTTCCGACAAATAAATGAAAATTAACCAAAACAATAAAATTATGACAAATCAAAATAACCATTACTTGCTTTTATCTTAAATATTGATGTAAACTGGATAAAACTGCCAAAGCTGTAAAGCGTTTAGTTATAAGATTTTTTTTATTTCAACGTGAATGTAATATGTGCCTTGTTTTTTCGAATTCTATGTGTTCCCAATCGACGTATGCATTGTTTATTTAATGAGTTAATCAAGATAATATATTATTTTTATAAATTACAAGAGTAGCCTTATAAAAATTTTGACATTTAAAATTGACTTACTGTAACAAAATTTCATTCAATAAATTAGCATTCAGTCTAAAGAAAATAAAAAATTTTCAAAATTATATGCTTTTTGGCAATAATAGTACTTTTTGTTTATATTTATATATTTTGTATATATGTGTATAAAAATAACAAGTCAGTGATTATTTTTACTAAATTAAAGTTTTATGTAAATTTTATCACTAGTAATTAATGATCTTTATTTTTATGAGAAACCAAAAAGCGAATTATAAATTTATTATAAAAATTATACATGTGATGCATTTTATGTATAAACTTACTGCTTACAATTTTTCGATACTGTTATTATATTTTAAGTTAATGAAAGTAGAAACATTTTTTTTTGTTTTTTATAATAAACGACATCTCATTCCTTAAAAATATCAAATATATTTGCGTATTTTTCATAAAAAAATCATTCAATTTGTACTTTTTACATTTATTTGCCTCATTTCAATATTTTACAATTTCGATTGTTCCTCAAAAATATGATTATGTTTGCACTAAATTTTTTCCCATGTACTTAATTTTCAAAAGTGTCAATGTAATCAAGTTTTTATCGTAGATGTTTGAGTAGTTTGACGTTGTAGTTACTTAGTCAAATTTTTCAATTGTTTGTTGAATTTCTTACCTTTGCATGCTTTTGAAGCGTAAAAATATTAATCATGAATAAAATATTTAAAAACAGAGGAGTAGAAAAGTATCTCTTCAAGTGTATTATAATTGTTATTTGCATTTGCCTTATAATTACTAATTCCAGATAAATTTAATAATTTTTTGAAAGTAATCTTTGAGATCATGTTAATTCCTGCACGTAATTTTATGTAATTTCTTTGCATATACTTGAAATGTTCTCTTTTTGGATAAGAAAATGCAAAGGGCGAAAGTTTAAATTATGAAAAAAATTATAATTGTCCAAAGTAACGATCAGAAAATAGTATAATGTGATTGTTAAACATCATATTGACTGCACTGAACGTACCTGCACAGACTTGGATCCTTGGAAGCCTGTCGAAGTATTGAGATGTATGCAGGGATTAAGCGGTTCCCTCCACAGAACTGACTCGTATCAGCGTCAACAGCAGCAGGAAAATCATCATGAGGAAAATGGGGCTTCGATCGGCAGCAGCACGCGATATATCCACGTTAAGCACAGAGCAGACTCGACTGTGAAAATTTTTCGCGAGACCACCGTTTGAAACTGCAGTGGAGTGTTCACCTTCGCGTAGCTCTTGCTGGCACTCAGCAGTGATTTCGATTTTAATTAATAATTATTGTTACTATCACTTAATTCCAATGTTGCATGAAACCTCACAACCAAGCCTTTTGAAATTTTTTTCGGACCCAAAAATGAAAAAAGTTGCAGTTTCGGCCCTTTATGTAGTCATTTACACCACCCCTAAGATGGAAATTCCTAAAAATTAAAAACGTCAAATTAAAAAGAGTTTAACGAAACCATCTTTTTTAATTTAAATGGCAATGTAAAAGACTCGTAGCTTCCCTATTCTCATTTTCAGGTCTGAACAAACTTTTAAAAGCTAAGAAGTTAAATTCCATGCAACTGGAGAACTAAGGGACAAACTTATAATAAGTATACACTTCGAACATTCCGTAAGACATTTGAATTCACGGAAAATTTCGTATGCAATAATATTGTTTTATTTTTTCTATTGTTGTAGCTTCGAATCCATTTACACCAAAAAATTATTTTCGGAATGTATACATTGAAAAAGAATTCAATAATGTTTTGGCAAAGACCCATTGATAAAATATTTGTATGAATTTCAACAAATTTTACTTTTTATGTAAAGATTGAAGATATAAAAAATTGTAGTTCAAGATTGCTTAGAATGACTCGTAAATACAGAATGTTTGTTTATAATATAAAATAATTTCATTAGTTTATAAAAGCCTAGAAAATTTGAGTTTTTTATTTCCAAATAAACTTTTTCTAATTATTGATAATATTTAAATGAAAAAATTAATAATTCAAATTTTTTATTTGAAACTTAAACTGATTCAATCTTAGGTTGTTTTTTTGCTATGTATCTTATTCTTGTTTGTCAAAATTAAAATTAATTCTATCGAAATTTAGTTGCTAACTCGTAAAATTTAATATTATACAATCAGCTATTTAATCAGCCAAATTCATCAGTAGTTTTATTTTTATCTTAAAAATTCATTTTTATTATGAAGAAGATACTGAAACCGAAATAAAAATGATAATTTTTAAAATGTTCTCTAAAATTAATACAAAATATTTTTGTAAAAGGCTTCACGGTGTCAAGAGAACAACAAAATAAAGACATTAATGAAGTTTTTCAAAAAAGCAAAAGAATACAAATAAAATTTTTATTGAATAATGAATTGAGTTAAGTTTGATAAAAAAAACTGCAACTTTGTTGCATTTGTCCAAGTCTATGAGACAATGATCCAGGTCCGGAGTAATTGACCAAAAACAATCTAGTTAAATCTTTTTTACCATAAAGAATGTTAATTTTTTTTTTGTATTTGTTTTCTTTGATGGTAAAAAATCATTGCAATTTAATTGTAATTTACTTTGGGGGCATAAGATCCCATATAATAGTCTGCGTCTTTCATTCTCTGCTTCCTGTAAGTAAATTATGTATGAACAATACCTGAAGATTTAATAATAGCCATGTCTATTTTACAAAATAAATAAACGATCTCATTAATTATATCTAATCAAAAAGTACCCATGATAACATCATGGAAACACTTTATCAACTTATTTTCATATAATGTATTTTAATTCAATTTTTATCAAATTTTATAATTTTACCATAAGGAAAAGTAATTTTTATTAATACAATGTAATTGCAAGTCTATTATAAATGTATATAAAATTATTGAATTACTTTATTTTAATACAAATTGAAATTAAAATTAAAATAAATACATATAACTTAAAACTCAGTAACTATAAAAAAGATATCTGGTCTATTATTAATGTTAATCATATAAGGCTAAACTTTCCATACATGTTCTTCTACTTCTACTTCTATTATCCTTTTGCTTGTTTTACATTACAATGAAGTTATTTGAGAAAAAAAAATTACTCATGGTTTTATTTGTATTTATTGTAATTAGTAAAAAATGTAAAAAACATTCCCACAATAAAATAAAATGATTTATTTGAAATTCATTCAATGTATTGTTGAGGCTCTTTTGTTCTATCCATTTAGTACTTATAATTATCAATGTTAAAACTTCTAAAAAGACACTAGGCCAAGCGATCAATATCATTAAAACATGAAAAATTATCACTGTTATTCGTAGTTACACTCTTGAAAAATTTGAGTAATGTTATGATTTTTAAATAAGTATAAAAAATAAGCAAAAGAATTTTAAGTAATAAACAAAACAAATTATGAAGTAACAAAACTACTTATACAAACTTTTGTATGGTCAACAAAAATTCATTGCCATTTTATTAAAAATAATCTGTAAGGTATTACATCAGTCAAAGTGACTTTTATAAGATTTTGATGAAATTTGGAAGGTATGTAGTTTTAATGAATACATGAATACTCTCAGAATTTCATCAAAATCATATGAAAGTCAATTTTATTGATGTAATACCTAGTCTAAGATTTTGATTGATGTAGTATTACACAAAAGCACACATGTATTACCATGATTAAACCCAACGACTGCTGTTCTATGTAGGATTTCAATAAATACCTTTCAACTTTTTTTCAGAATAATTATAACAATGAAGTGACTGGATTGTAAGTTTTACGTTTTTTCTTTATTGTTCATAGTTACTAAAAGTTTAAATGTGTAACATGATTATAATCGATAAGTGGATAGTGTAATAAAAAAATTGTCTCAAAATATCAATGGATTATTCTTTATCAATATTCATCATAGTCTCAAACCAATTGAAAAAAAAAAGGAAAGTTATAAAAATAAGTGAAATTATTTTGCTCATTTGTTCAATAATAATGATAAAACTAAATAATCATAATTAAAATTTTTTGAAGTGTGTAGAGTAATCACAATGTTCCGTCCAATTTTCCACTTGAATGCCCATTCCAATGCTCTGGATAGGAACGAATCAAATTGAATTTCGATTTCGCCAAAATTACTTTGTCTAAATCAGGCGATTTTATAGCAGCCTTACACATAGCCATTAGTTCTTCATTACTCAAATATCGAATAATAAATTTACAACAAAGTACAGGCAGATTTTCGTAAACTAGCGATTGTAAAAATTCAATCGCTGTTATTTCGTTATACCTTCTAATTAAACCTTTATAAATATAACCTTCCATTATTCTTCTGGAAATTGAAAAAAGTTGAAAAATTTCGCTTAAATACTGTACTGAATCGTAATTAAAATCAATCAAAATTCGATAGACATTTTCAGTTCTTGCTTTACATATATCATGAAGTGTCGCACGATTACTTATCATTGTTGTTTCGATGAACATGATTTCATTCATAATTTTTGATAATTCAGGAAAATCATCAATGATAAGATTGGTTCGACCTTCTTGTAAAATGCTTATTACTTGTAAAAGGTATTCTATTGTTGTCTCACTTATGTACATATTTCCAACATGAATCATCAATAGATGTTTAATAATTAATTCAATTTTTATTTTGAGTTTTTCATTTGAAAACAATGTTTTCTTCATTATTAACTTGTCAAAAAAATTTTTGATTTCTGCTTCACTACCTAATGAATAAATAATGCATGAAAATCATATGCATGTGGTTTAGTTTTATATAGGATTATTTGCCTTACCAAATTCTAGAATATTTTTCATTTCAATATTGTCGAAGTAATCCTCAATGCGGTATCCCTCATTCAAACAAAACAAAACTTGAAGTTTATCACATCCATTCATAATAAACCCTGCTTCTTGTAAAAGTGTGATTATATGAAAGAGATGAATTGTGGATTCTAATTGAGGTATAAAGTTTTTGTAGTTGCCTGAACATGTCAAATTTAATTCCTTGAAATGAATATCATGTACATTGGCCCCATGTTTCAACAAAATATTAACTGCATCCCGCTTCATACATGTCACAGCATTCTGAAGAGGGGATATCCCTAGCTTATCTATTGAATTTACATCAACTCCATATTTCAGGATTATTTCAATTATTTCAACATCAAAAGTCAAGTGCAATGCTGTTTGGTTTTGTGAGTTCAAATCTTTGAGGTCAGCGTTGTTTTGAGTAAGTTCTTCTAGAACTTCTTTCTTATGCTTGTGAGGACCACTTAATAAACTGTATATCGGACTACAGCCAAAGTCATCTTTTGCATTAACAGTACAATTGTATTTTATAAGAAGTCGTAACTTTTCCAAACTTTTATAATAATCCTCATCATTGTCAAAAGACATACAAATACGATGCAAAGGCGTGCGTCCAAAAGAATCTTTTACGTCTGGATTCAATCCATTTTCCAAAAGCAATTCAACCAATTCTATTCCAGAAAATTCAATTGCTGTATGCAGAGTTGTGCAACCGTCCAATGATCGATGCCAGGGGCATTCAATTTTAGCATTTATGTTAACACCTTTACTGATATATTTTCTCAACACACTGATGTTGTCAAAACGACAAGCAATGTGAAAATGCTTCAACTCATTCGTTTCATTATAGTCTTCGTCGCAACAACACTGAAAAATCACATTGACTGCTTCTGAAAATTCTTGTTCAGCCGCTATCTGAACAGCCGTTCTACCAAGTTTGTCTGCAGCATCAAGAGCTTTTATGTTAGTCTTTGCAAGATACTCAATAATTTTTATGTCCTTTTGCATTATTGCTCTATTGAAGATAAATCTTAGTTGATCCAGATTTTCAAATGCGCTAGCGTGAAAAATACTTGATAACTTCGAAGTCGATGATGCGCGAACCAACTTTTTGTAAAAATTTCTTTGACGTCTTCTTATCATTTTTGAAATTTATAACTTTTAATTAAGCTCACAATGACGAGAATGAAGGTTATTGATGTTATAGTTAATCTGCAAATTCCAAGTTGTAATGGGAATCCCTGAAACTGCAATTGACTTGGATGTCTCATTAGAAGTTAGAACCTTACTAGGACTAGCGTTTGTATTTGACCAACGCCACCTTCACCGATAGCATTGACATTTAAGGAGACTGAACATCCTTTCATTAAATCCAAGAACTTTGATCGTACTTTTATAAATTAGTTTATATTTGAAAATACAGTTCTAATAGATTCATCATTATATGAAAGAAAAATGGTTTAAATTACATTTTGGAGCGAAACGCATAAATGGCCATTTCGAAGGTGAATTGTCGATTTACCGTTTGTCGATTAGTGACGCTAGCGAACAAACTTTATGCGGCGTTTTCAGCTCGACAACACGGTTGTCGTCAGTTCGTAGAGAACTGCATACTGCCGGCTTGTCCGTGTTTAACTTTCATTCATAATTTGAGACTGAAAATTGTTCTAAAACTTTTTTTATAATCACTAAAGCAAATCGTTTATTACAATGAGCAAAGCACATCCTCCAGAATTGAAAAAGTAAGTAAATAATAATCAAATTACTGATAATAATGAAGGAGAAAAGTACTTGCCTGTAATTAATCATCAAATTATGGGTTATGTTAGTAAAATGATGACTTATTCAATAATATTTTTTTCAGGTACATGGACAAGAAGCTGTCACGTAAGTATAAAAATCAAACAAGCAGTTAATTTTACATTAGATTATTTTTTAATCATAATATTATATTTTAGTGAAATTGAACGGTGGCCGACATGTTACTGGTATCTTGAGAGGATTCGACCCCTTCATGAACATGGTAATTGATGAGAGTGTAGAATTTTGCAAGGATGGCACACAAAATAATATTGGAATGGTGGTAAGTTTTTTGAATTCATTAATCTATCACAACACTATACAACTCCAACACAAAGCACAAAATGATCTTATTAATTTAATTTTGATGTCAAATAATCAAACTTAGACAAAATTACTCCACATCAAGCATTATCATTTTTTTCATTTTCATTTATAAATGAAACTTTAAGTTTTTAAATTTCTTCATGTTTCAGGTTATCAGAGGAAATAGTGTCATCATGCTTGAAGCATTAGATCGAATATGATATTTTGATTATTTAGTGCATAAGTTATTAGTAAGGTATATAATTTTTTTAATTGCTGGAACTTTGAGTTGGAAAATTTAAGACAATAAAAATCAGTTTTGGTAAGAATCAAATTTGTATTTTATTTCAAATATCTGAATTTTACTATAAGTTTTAAATTATTCATTAAAAAAATTCTAGATAAAAGACTTTTAGTTTTGTATAGAAAAATCTTATTTTATTTAAAGCTGTTTAACTTTTTCTTTGTCATAGAAAATAAAATATTTGAAATAATTATTTCGATACAATTGTAAAAATGTATACAACAATGATTAATACTCATAAATTGACCAGAAATTGTTTGACATATCATTTTACAATATTACAACAAGGCACTCCAAGAATCAAGGATTACGGAAAGAAAAATTTCAAGTTAAAAACGGATACTTTAATAACATTTTAAAAATATTACATTTAAAAATAATGTGCTGGATTCAGAGTACTTCTATAGTCAAACCCTCTGATTGATTACCTCTCATTTTCAAGAATTTGGTAGCATTTTCTTTTGTTATGCAATCTTCATTGTAGATATAAACTATTAATGAAAAAGATATAAAAAAATTTGTTTAAAGCTCTTCCGCTTTTAACTCAAAATAATCATTTCACTATAGAAATTATCATAAATGATAGTATAAACATCAGCAAACATTAACTTTATCACAGAGAACATTTTCTTATTCTTGAATTCTAATTGAATTTAAAAGATCTAAAATTCTTTGTCAAAATTTTGTAATAGCTACTTTGCACTAGCTCCCGTTAATTTATTTTAGATCGTAATGTACATTTCAATTGAATATTTACAACATAAAATTAAAATAAAACTATTAAACTTAGATTGAATTTTGACAACTACGAAACTCAGTGTGTTTCTAGATAATCATGATCATGCAAAATACTCTGCATAAGTTTAGATGAAGATTCAATGAAATGTGCTTCACTCAAGTTCACATTTAATTGCCAAACATTTTCATTTTCTGTAATTTTTACAACTTCCGAACTATTTAAATCTTCTTTGACACCATTTAAAGCTTTGGTTTTTATATTATTCTTCATGATGTCTTTACTTTTTTCAATATTTTTTGCTACATCTTCCATTTTTACTACCTCTAACGGATCACATTTTTCAAGTTTTAATGCAGTATTTTGGTTTTGGTCAGCACTGTTAACTTCTGTTGAATTTGTGGCTACGGTACTAAATTTACCATTCTTCAAGTTGAGATTCTCATTTAGATATTTAGAGATTTTTCTTTTGACAGCTTGTTTCACTGAAATTCAAAATGTTTATAAATCAATGTATTACATATTAATATAAAATTTGATTTTCATTTACCTGGTATGATTACATTGGTTCCACAGGTTTTGTTATGTTCATTGCATTCAGCTTTTCTGTGAAATTTTTTACTACATTTAGAACAAGTAGTGAATTTCATAGGATTATTAGCTAAATGTATTTGAAATTGTTTTTCATTTTCAAATCGACGATCACAAACTGTACACAAAAACATTTCTTTTGATAATTTTCTTCTACTCGTTCGACTTCTTGCTAAGCAGTCATCATTAGTCTTGTTTTCTTTTGGGAATTGAATTTTTTCAATAGGTTGTACATCAACTTCATTGATTGAATTTTCAAGAGAAGCAGAGTCATTTTTTTCTGGTTCCAGTGATAATTTGTTTAAATTAGATTCTACGCGATTTTTAGAAATGCTATGCTCAAGCATTAAATGCCGTTTTATTTTTAACTTAGCTATTTGATGTTTACAAATTGCACAAATAAGAAAGCCATGAATTTTTCTCATATGATAGTCTAAACCTCTGCAAGTATCAAAACATTCTGAGCATTCCAAACATTTATGTTCCAATTTTGTACTTGGATTTTTCATGTGCTTATTCAATTCTTCTACTGAAGAAACAATACTATTGCACATTTCACATTTCACTTCTCCTATTTTATGACTTACTTCTGAATGTTTTTTCATCTCATACTTATCAACAAAACCTTTTTCACAAATTCTACAAAAGAATGCTGTGTTATTTTCATGTCTGGCTATGTGCAATTTACAATATTCTATAGAAGAAAATCCTTTTTGACAGTGCGTACATTTGAATTTTCCTTTTTTCAACAATTTTTTTCGTGAACGCTTCTTGAATTTTTGTTTTTTAAAAAGCTCTATTACTTCTTTTTGTGATGTAACTTCAAGTTTTGAACATATTTCTTCTGATGCTATTTTATCTGAAGGTTTTGGTAATATATTTACCAAGTGTTTGCTAGCAAGTTGATTTTTATTTGCTATTGCTTTAAACTTTTTCTTTTCGTTAGGAGACTTTAATAGAGGTGTTATCATCGGTTTCTCATTTTCATTTTGAAGTGTTTCTTCAAGTTTATATTCAGATGTTTGAGAATCATTTTTGTCGGTTGAAGCCAAATTGGTAAAGGCCTTTACTTTTTTATCAGAATTTTTTGATTCTTTTTTTAATATCTGTGATGATTCAGAAGCTTTTTGATTAGTTGGAGTCAAGCCTGAAAAGTAAAATAATTCATAGTTAACTTCATTGAACATATAAGTGAATGAAAATAAATTTTATTAACTAATCATGAAAAATACCACACCTAAACTTGTAAGAACTGGTTGTTGATCCAGAGAATTCAAGTTGTTTTTGTCTTGAATATTTGTTTTAGTATTTTTCTTAGGATATGTATTGCTTTTTTGAACTAGCATATTTGCATCAATTGGATAATTAAATTGAGCGTTGGTCAGATCTTTAATTTCAACAGTTCCTCCATTTAAATGGTCAGATAATTTAATATGTTTGGAAGATAGATAATGTGGCTTTTCATTTTTATATCGCAGTGATAAGTAGTTGGTTTTATCACGCTTGGGACGTGATTCAATACTTTTTTGGCAACTTTCAATAATACTAGTTATCATAGCACTTGTTAATTCCTTGTCTGCATCCAACAATTTTTTACTTCTGTAATTATTTTTAAAGCTGTTACAATAGTTTGATCCATATCTTCCTTGACCATAATAATTATTTAAATTAATCAGATTATTCATTGGACTGGTATTGGAATTGAAAAGTTTATAATGTGGAGGTGGTGCTTTGGGTATTATTATAAGTTCATCGTTGTTTGTTAAGGCTGTCATAGTACGAGAAAAACCCATGACAGGGTCAAGATAATCACTAGTTTTTTTAAATTTGGCGTCATCTAAAATTTGCAATTCTCTTTGACGCATTTTATATTTGAATACCTCTGTAGGTGTAGCAATATTGTGTAGAAAATCACTTTTTCTTTTACATTTTTTATGATTTAAGTGATCTACTAAATTATCAAACTTCATCCCACAAATATCACAAGTTGTGCATTTATTACATTTGTACAATTCAGTGGATGCGCTTTGACTATGGTCATCATTACTGCTCAGAGGATCATATTTTTGACATTCACATTGTTTAGAAACCTCTTCGTCTATTTCTTCTTCTTTTAAGCTTGTAGAAATTAGAGGTGTTAAGCCTTTTTCATCTTCATATTGCTGATAAACAACATCACAGGTTAAACTTTCACAAGGCTCAAAATGACCACATTCTTTTCTTTTTCGAACTATAGGAACTAACACAATTTCAGACTTTCCATTTTTTTTTGATGGCAAGAAAGTTTCTTTATGTTTATCTACACCATTGGATATTTTCTTATTGTTACTAGGTAAGTCAGATTGATCAGATGGTTTATGAGCAGTCAGTTCTGTAGAGGCTCCAGATTTCACCATTCTATATGCTGTAGGTGAATCGTTGTGTGGAATCGCATGAATTACTATATTTGGCTGATTGAAGAGTTTTTGCACATGGTCAGACTGTAAAAACTAAAAAACATCATCTTCTATATAATAAAAAATTATTTTTAAAAATATGCATCAATAAAAATTTTATCAGCAGCTTCATGCAAAATTAATATACACAAAATTTGAGGTACTGTTAAAGTGGCAAACATTTTTGTTCTGCACTTGTAAATTGCAATCAGAATATTAATCTAAAAAAATAAGTTTTTAAGCATTTATATGAAGTTCATAGTGTACACTAGCTTTATTAAAAAATCACGAGCGCGAATAAAAGACAAAATCAATAACAAGTAGATACAGCAAAATAACGTTATGCATTCGCGCTTGGAAATCCAAGTGATTTATTTTAAATCGAAGGCAAATTCAGAGAAAATTATTCAAAAAGTCCTCGCTGATTTGTACGGTGGATAAAAGATGTAAGAAAAGCAGAAATCAATTTTTTACGCAATAATTTTAGGCAAGCATTTTGTAATTACATAAACCGAGAATGAAATAGAGAGGCATGATAAAAATGTTTAACAAGCATACATAGCTTTGCGGTAAAGGACAACGAGAGCTGGTAAAACTCACCTGATTGAGGGGACCATTGTCAATTACCGTGGAAACCGGATCCTGTACGGTCGGCGGTAAATTTGCTGTAGCCGAGGCCATAGCTTAGTAATATTCCATGAGCTTCGCACACCTGCAGAGTAGTCTATCCGAAGCGTTTGCTCGAGCCATCAATGTAAGCCGAATACGTGAATATAATCAACTTAAAAAAAAAAAAAAACGGAGCCGTGGGAGTAGAGCGAATGTTCTGCCTGTCGTCCGTCTAAATGTATGCGTACGTACGTGTGCGAATATGCTGTTATATATGTAATACGTATCTTGTAATATATATTTCTATATATACTTATACATATGTTGGTAGTAAATGTATAGCGATGTGTGCGAGTTGCAGCAGATGTGCCTTATTGAAAATGTTGAGAAATAAAATTCGCTAAGAGAGAAAGAGCTACACGTTATGTTGCAATGGCGCGAATATCGGTGGGTTGGTTTGGTCTTTTTCGTTGCTAATTAGGGAGTTGTCGAAGAGTAGAAGCGATGGTATTTGACGTTGGTTAGATACAGCGAGCGCAGAGGTGTCCGCGTCTACATAATTCGCTTGGCCATTGTGTGTATATTTTTTCTAGTTTATAACGCAGGCCGAGCAGCGCAAAGCGTTCGAGTGCAGCTTCGTCGCGAACTGTGTCGGCAGTCGTTGGCAGCAGCTTGGCTCGCTCCCGAGAGGTTATGTGCGCTGCACCCGGATGCGATATAATGTTACCGCTGGGTCGCCTCGGCGAAACTGCAGGGCTCCCGGTCGATGCTCTCCGCCGCAGTCAGCAGCATCGCCATCCTCGCCCTTTTTTTCTTTCTCCTCTCTCGCGCGGCTCGGCGCTGCGCTCGGTGCTTACACGGCCGTAGCGCAGTAGCTATCCCTGCGCCGGAGCCGCCGCTCTGTATACGTAAAAGCTAGGTAGGTATAGGTGAGTATGCACTCTCCGCGACGGGCAACCTTCTCTCGCTCGCGTTACAAGCCGCCACATGTATTTGCGTGTATTGGTGCACTGGCGCTGCACTGGGCAATCGCTCCCTTCTACCGCGAACCCACCACCCACCCCGTGCTCGTGCATCGCGCCGTGCCGACGTTCCCCACCACTCGCACCCTTTTCGGCCGAGTGTAGGGCAGCAGCTACCGGATAAGAGATAGCAGCGCGGAAAACTACTACCTATATACCGCTACGGAGCTGCAGTTCTCCTAGGCTCGCTCTCGCGCGCTCCTGCACTGCGTCAGTTCGCGCTGACTCCCTTTCGACCCTCCATGAGGCATTCAACCCTCGTGTCGCGCGAGCCTTGGCCGTGTTGGCTCGACGCTTCGTCTCAACGTCGCCTATCGGCTCCAATACAATAGCTAATCGGACGCTTGACCGCACCAAAGCATTCATTTATTTATAAATTCGGCTCTAGCTGGATTTTTAAACGTCAGGAGTCGAACGTCGTCGATTGAAATTCTCCTGGCGTCGTTTGGTCGCGCGCAATGAGTAGAGCCACCATACTCGATCGCTTTGGCCTCTCTCTCATTCTCGTTTAATTTCACCTTGAGCCGGTGTTACCTATATAATACAGTGTTGTTCTTCATGCTACGACTACTGCTGTCGCTTTCCAAACGCTCGAGCAGCATGCGCTTGAAATTGCACGAAACACTGCAAGAAAAGGCTCAGGAACGCGTTTTGAAACGTGCAGATTTTTCATACGCATAACTCGAATAAATACTAGATCTGCCAGCATCTCCGACTATCGCTGCCGCTACGTTTAAGAGAAAAGAGAGGTGGAGTTGTGCGCTTTTTTAGCAACAATTTCAGGCCGTGACAGTCGATGCTCAGCTGACCTATGTAAGAATGGCCACTCTCTTTTTTCGAGGCTCGCGAGTCAGCTCGTGCACGACTGTTAGTCCACTGTAATACGTATCGCCGTCACCGGTCACGCAGAGTGTCGAGCGCACAAAGTGACTTACGCTTATGGAGCTCTCCATATGTATGCACCGAGTACGATCAACGAACGTGCAGTTATGTGCAGCAAGAACGACACGTTCTTGGCGCACTGGCGGACTCGAGTTCGCGGAGGAGCGTACAAAGGTGCTGCTTTTTAAACGAGCGAGCGTGGCTTTGGTTTTGCATTTGCCGAACTGCAATCATGCTGTAGCTGCGCCAGCGAAATTACCAACTCATATTCTCTCTTTAAAATTTTCCCCACTTTGCTCGGCATCGGCTACTCTCCTCTCTTGCAGTTTTTTTAGCCAACGACGCCGATCGTTGTAACGCGAACTGCGAGCGCGCGTATTATGTACACATGCAGCCGACGCGTCGTTTGCACTATGCGCACGCAAAATCGCCGCGACTGCAAGTGCTTGCCGCCTGCTGCTGTGTAGTTCTTGTTACTCGGCATACTGTGCACTCTTGCGCGTGCAGGTGCGCTTATTATTCCAGATTGAAAATATCGGTACGATTCGCGACAGAGACCTTTAGCCAAATTTCGATAATTGCACGTGCGCATCTGACGCGCTATTTTATTCTAATCCGAGACTGCTCTATTAATGGTTTGAAATCAAAGAATTATTTTGCATAGAAAATGATTATTAATATGTGGAGGCTTGCTAGATGTAAGAAAGCCGAAATAAGCTCCATCCTTTCTACGACGTGTTTATATGATATCGTCTAAGGCTAATACGGGTCGGGGTTTATTAGCACGCGCCGAGAATCTCTCATTCATGAGATGAAAATTCAAATGCTCCAGACAAATCAGTCTTACCATCTCTAATTCAAAGATATGTTTCAAAATGTTACCTATGATAAAAATTTATTCAAATGACATTCGCACATAAAATTCGTTTATTACATTTTCCTTATAACGACGTATTATTGCACACAGTTGTACAAATAGAATTAAATCTTAAATTCACGCATGTAAATTAAAGCATATACGTGTACCTGTAAAATATGTGAGAGTATTTTCGAATTTTCGTCAAGTTCATAAAGCTCCACACCGTGATAAGACCGAAGAACCACAGTTGAATGTTCCGACTGCATATCAACGCAAGTAATTCGATGGTGTTCGACCTTCAGACGCGTTACCTTTCAATTGCTTGTAGTTATTTAATGTTGCCATTTTCATGACAATGGATTATTCCGCAGCGAAACCATCCGAAAATAATTCAGAAACCAATATATATTCTTCCGTCTAATATCTAATAAATTTCTATCTAATAAATTTGGACTATGTCTCGACTGAAAAAGCCGATATACCTATGCATAAGAACTGGAGAATTCCAAGCACCGACTTACAAGGAGACCACCCCAGCTCCGGGTCATGGATTTGTTCCAAAATTTTTTTGAGGTCTCCTGATACCCAATCCTGAAGCTTTCTGTGCTTAGTTTGATCTCATGGGCCTTAGGGCCCATTTTTCAGAGGATTTTCCACATTATAAAAAAATCTTTGTTAATTTCTATATCGATATAGAAGTACCGAAACGAAAAAGTGCAACGATAAAAAGTTTTAAAATTTTTCACAGAATCTGCTTGAATTTTTTCAGAATTTTTGGGACCATTTATTACTTAATTCAAGAGGCCCAAATTTGACGCTTTTTTTATAGATTTTAGGACTTCTCAAAGAGAGTGGTAGATGGTCCCAAAAATTCTGAAAAAATTCAAGCAGATTCTTTGAAAACTTTTGAAACTTTTGATCGTTGCATTTTTTCGCTTAAGTACTTCTATATCGATATAGAAAATAACAACAATTTTTTTATAATGTGGAAAATCCTCTATAAAATGGGCCCTAAGGCCCATGAGATTAAACTAAGCACAGAGAACTTCAGTATTGGGTACCAGGAGACCCCAAAAAAATTTTGGAGCACATCCATGACCCGGAGCTGGGGTGGTCTCCTCGTAAGTAAACAGAGGACAAAGAAAAAAGGCGAAGATGTTGAGAACAATTCAATAAAAGTGGGAGTCCAAATACTGTTCGGAAAGTCGGCAAAAGTGAGATATAAGGACCAGGCTTTACTTTTTGACGTTCGGATTCGATTATGACATCTAGCGGTTGAATCCAAAACTCGCGTCGCCGCCTGTTTCGCAGCTGTACTTCAGACAGGCATAATGAAAGACTTATTAAAGAGAGTTTTACTCCATAGAGCATTTGAAATAAAGTAAATCAAATCAAATTAGAGAGCCATGCGCATCTTTCAAAAAAAAATTGGTTGGTAATTTTTAAAAAAATTTTCGGATCACTTGAAAATTTTTCAAAATGACCAGAATTTAAAATATCCAAAATGTTCAAATAAAATTCTGAAAAATTCGCACGTAATCACTAGTTTCCAAATAAAATATGAGTGACTTTTTATATCGCTGATCGGTATGAATCCACCATTCTAGAAATATAGCGGGTAGATAGAAATCGCAGCAACACATTTTTTGAAGGTTCAGAGAGAAAGGGCACGATTATTGGTGTTATCAGAATCCTCTGTAGGCAAGGCGAAGTAAAAAATCGACTTTGAAAATAAATTTTAATTCCAAAAATCTCGTTTTTTTTTATTTGCAAAATAAAAGGTTATAATGTTTATTTATCGCAAGAATAACACCGGATTATGAAAGAGCACACCCAAAAACCCATGGGCATGGATATTCAAGAAAATATTTTAACTTTACCCATGATTTTTTTTCAATGGAAAACTCATGCCCAAAATTGCACTTTTACGCACTTATGAAAATTGTTAAATAAATAAATACAAAGAAAATGGCAACAAATGATGCAGTAAAGGAAAATATAATTGATTTGAATACACTCTTAAATTAACTTAATGCATTAGTTCTAAATATGAGATTCACTCATCACGTTCGTCAACTTAACAATCTTCATGAATTGTTCTTTTATGTTTGGTTAAAGTACCTAATTGTCCGAATTTCTTTTGGCCCTTGTCACAGGCAGACCTTTGTGGACTGTTTTTTGGTGGTTGAACAAATCATTTTTATATGCAAATTTTTTCTCGCAATTGTCGCATACGTAATCTTTGCGACCTTCGTGTACTACCCGTAGGTGATTAAGTAAATTCACTTTTTGTGTAAATTTCTTCTTGCACACTTCGCATTCAAAATCTTTGCGACCTTCGTTGACTGTTTTCTGGTGTTGGAGCAAATGCGGTTTTTGTCCGAATTTTTTCTCACAGTTATCGCATGTGAAATCTCTCCGACCTTCATGTATCTTTTGGTGTTTGAGCAAATTCGATAGATGCCCAAATTTCTTCTCACACCGGTCGCATGCATAATCTTTTCGACGTTCATGTACTGTCTTTTTGTGCCTGAACAAATCTATCTGATTTTTGTTTAAATTTTTTTTCGCATTCATCGCATGCAAAATCTTTGCGACCATCATGTATCGTTTTTATGTGTATGAATAAACCCCTTTTTTCTGTAAATTTCTTCTCACACCTATCGCAAGCAAAATCTTTGCAACCTTCATGTACTGTTTTTTGGTGGAAGAGCAGAGTCGATTTTCGTCCAAATTTCTTCTCGCACTTGTCACATGCAAAATCTTTGCGACCTTCGTGTATTTCCCTTTGATGGCAGAGCAAATGCTGTTTTTGACCAAATTTCTTCTCGCATNTCACAGAATCTGCTTGAATTTTTTCAGAATTTTTGGGACCATTTATTACTTAATTCAAGAGGCCCAAATTTGACGCTTTTTTTATAGATTTTAGGACTTCTCAAAGAGAGTGGTAGATGGTCCCAACAATTCTGAAAAAATTCAAGCAGATTCTTTGAAAACTTTTGAAACTTTTGATCGTTGCATTTTTTCGCTTAAGTACTTCTATATCGATATAGAAAATAACAACAATTTTTTTATAATGTGGAAAATCCTCTATAAAATGGGCCCTCAGGCCCATGAGATTAAACTAAGCACAGGGAGCTTCAGTATTGGGTACCAGGAGACCCCAAAAAAATTTTGGAGCAAATCCATGACCCGGAGCTGGGGTGGTCTCCTCGTTAGATTAATTCATTGATACACCAACTTACCCCAAAAATTGAGTTTCTGAGGGAGAATCAACATGAAGAGCTCGAAATTTGCCACAAAATTATTATTTTTTTATGCTTAAACTAAAGTCAACTTATTTATGAGGAAAGCATTTATTTACTTTTAAAAAATGTTTATTCTTCATACTTTTGACAAATAAGCAGTGCTACAATTTTTTTATACATTACAAAATATATCTTATTTACATTAATGAACATTCAAAATAACCTGTGAGCGTAAATTATTTTTGATTGTCCTAATTCGACTATTTTAGTAATAATTGTAAAAATATCAGCAAATTGTGCTTATTTAAAAACTAAACACTACCATATAGAACAGCAAGTTTATTAATTAACGAGTCACATTTAAAGTTTTTACTAATTTTTCCGAAATTATTGAAAACTGCAATTGCTGTTATAAACTAAAGTTATTTAAATTAAAAATAATCAAATCTTAATTTTTTTAATTACAAATCAGTCGATCGAAGAATAAATTAATGAAAAGGCCATTGATATAAATGAAATGAATACAATATTTTAACCTGTATAAACATATGTACAAATGCACACATACAAAATAAACAAATGAGTGGTACTTCGTTCTGAATATGTGTCTATTCACAATACAAATTTAAAGTTTTTTTAATTATAATTAATAAAAATAGATCGTGCCTCAACAAATTTTAACTTAACATGCGATACAATTTTAGTAAATCAGATCTACACGTAACAAATTCATCAGCTGTGTTAATCTCATCTTCATTTACAATAAATATTTATATCACAGAATTTTAGTTTAATTTTATTATATTTAGCATAAAAATATGTATTTGATGATATAGTATGTCATACTATATATTATTATTACATTAAAAAGCTGTGCAGCATTTTTGTAGAACTAGCCATGGCTAACGTACACAAATGGCATGTTCATTCTAGTGGCTAAAATACTGTTCTTACAACAGTAGAATTTACATGCCGTTCTTCCTATTCTTATTTACATTGTCAATTTTTGATTATATTTTCAAACATTTAACAACACTACTAACATAAATTATACCGTGTCATCAGTCAAGTTGAGCACCGAGCATCGATGCGCTACATTTGGTATTAGCAATTTTCTCGTGGAAAATAAATTTTTCAAGAATTTCATTCGAGGTCTACAAAAAGACTAGAAGTTTTTCATACAAAAAGTTATGTCATCTCGTTTGACTACATTTTTTAAGGTGGATAAAAGTTATTTAATGTTAAAGTTCATAAAATTTGCAGCGATTCAATACTCGTTTTAATTGTATTACGCAAAAATATTCATTTTTTACTGCACGAATTTATCATGTGATTAGTCGATATAAATGCTTTTATTAGTCTTCAAAATATTCATTTATTTTGCATAAAAAATATGCATTCTCAGAATAGTAGAGACAAAAAAATCTCTTTCTCAAAGGTAGGATTTAGCTTGCTTCTTTAAATTCGTGCAGTAATTACACTATAAACTGGAACGTGAGTATCGAACTCGTTGCTTAAATATTGTCAGGAACACGTCAATCTTTGCGAGAAAGAAAAATTATATTTTCATAACATTAAACGAGTGTTTGATAAATACACAATCTATGATTAAGCTTTCGCAAAATACTAATTTTTCGGCATCTCATCAGAGAATGAGTGATTGTTGAACTATAGCACCGAAGCCAGTTTTTCATTTTTTCGATGAAGCGCTAGCATTACCGATCGGCTTTTTTCTCGTAGACAAACTATTTTTTGTTACTTTGTCGGGCTGCTCAAATTTTTGCTGCAACGAAGAAACTGTACTAACTTTATTACTACTTCCAGCTTTTTGTACAGTGACTTTTGAATCTGTAAGCGAGGAAAGCTTACTAACTGGGCTCGTCGATGTTTTATTTTTTTCTGCAAAGCTCGAAGTTTTAGTGAAGTTAAATGGGGGTGGACTGATCGTAGTGTTATTTTGTTTTGGCAGTGTTAAAGTTTTTGGTGTTGCCGCTGTTAACGTATTACCATTGATTTTACCCACGACGTCCGGTGACTTATTTTTTTGACTTGCCAAACTGCAGCTTGAAACTAAGTCTGGACTGTTGAGCTTGCCTTCTTTTGTTGACGTAATCTCGCTCTTTAAGCTTTTAAGACTCGAGTTGGAATTTTGGCGACTGGCTGATTTAATGGAACTAGTGGATTCGGGGCCTGATCGAGTAGTTTGAAGCCTTGTCTGTCCAGATACTTTACTCGTAATCGTAGGAGTTTTAGTTCGACCAAAGGCGGGTTTACTCGTTGGTGGGCTGATTTTGTTTTCTGGCATTTTATATTTACTAATTGTCGATTTCTCCGAGATCCCATCACTCGTAGGTTCCTTAATTTCTTTACCAATCGGAGACGAATGTAGAGAGCTCGAACTCGCCACAGAATTGGAATATGTCGTTTCGCCGTCGATTGTTTGCTCAGAATTGGCATAAATATTTTTGCCATGCTCGGGGCTAAGATTTTTTGTCGAGTAAATGGAATTTTTATCAACTTTGGATATTGCACCTACGATTTCTGAAAGTAATTCGGATGAGTCGGTAGTCCTTTTTGTTTCCAAGCTTTTAGGCATTTTGTACAAATTTTCAGTTTTATTGGCAGTTTTTGCTGAACTCACTTTAGATGAAGGTTTCTCCGCTGATGCTTCTTCGATAACGGCGTAAATATTGTCATCATTCGACGGCGATTCTTCGATTATTTTCACAAGATTGGCGTCCCCTTGTGCGATATCCATGCAATCGTCGTAGGTCGCGCCAATAATGTCAGTTGCCGGGGGTACTTTCCTAGATTCTCGGCTAGGTGTTTCGTAAATTTGAGCTTTTTTGCTCGGCGAGCCAGAATCGGAGCTAGGACTCTTGATCGGGGGCACTGGAGGTGGCGAGGTCGGTCGTGCCTTGGCCAAAATACTTACGGGTCTCTCGGCGCCAGGTGGGTACCTCATTGAACCGAAACTTTGAATGCCCGATCGCGGCGTAATTTTGCTGCTTCGCATTGACTGGGCTCGCATAGGGATGTTTCTTTTTGGTCCATCTTCAGGCGACACCGGTTTAATGGCTACCGCTGCCCCAGGTATTTCAATTTCCTTTTGAAGAATAGGACTGGATATCTCGAGATTCCGGAGAACTTCTCTATCTAAAACTTTGTTGGCTTTGTGATGATGGCTTCTTGGCAGTGAATGCGTGTGATACCTCGGTTGAACACTGCTCTCGTTCGTTTTAGATACTCCTGTCATAGGATACAGCATTGAAGCTATTCTGGTCAAAGTACTACTTGTACTCGGTCCATTTTTCTCAGCTGCTCCACGTTTTTTCTCGCTCGCAACCGACTCCGTTGGACTTTCTAACGGAATCGTAGTGGTGGAAGGCTGAGTCTTTTCAGCTATAGGGATTGTCTTCCCATAAGGTACCTCTGGTGCGGGTCTCGTAGGCACTTTCGGCGCTGTGAACTCCACAGAAGTGCAGGTAGTAGTAGCTAATACAGGACAGCTGATGAGTGGCCTAGCTGTGCTGCCTGCGTTAGGAGGTGGCAGAGCTGGAGGAGCAACGGGCTTTGGAGCAACTTGCTCTTCCTCGCTCTGCTCGCTCGCCGGGATCAGTGACCTACCGAGGGTGCTATTGCGTTGAATGGGCTTGAAATTAGTCTTGATGGGTACTGTAGTTGCTCCAATATTCCAACCTACACTCGGAGATGTTGGAGCTGGTCGAGCGATTTCAGATTGGCTGTTGGTCGCCGCATTGGCTGTTGCCATAAGAGGACTTATGCTGTAACCTTTGAATTGCCCGAAGAAGTTGTTGTTGAAACGCTCATCCGGATCAGTTTTCGGAAGTAAACTAGCACAGGCTGGGTCTTGTTGACCGTTGATGCTCGTCGAATCAATGACGTCGACGCGCGGAAGGGGGTCGATGGTTTTGATACTGGAAAGACAGTTTCCTCCGTTGCTGGTAATGTGACGATTGCTTGGTGTATGGCGCGGTGGATGATCGAAATGAAAGTTTCTGGTCAATCTGGAATATAAGTACATAGTTTGGCTTATTTAGAAGCGATTGGGAACTTAGGATTTGGTGCAAGCTGTTTGACATACACACGCACATGCATAATAGAAATAAAGTTATGATGTTGATCAAACAGCAGAAATCAATGATTTTACTAGTACAAATAGACATTTATGAGAGGAGAATATTTTCAAATAAAAATCTAATTATAAACTACATTTTAACAGTTAGTTGAAATTCTACTTATTGGATACTAAAAGCAAAAAACACCTACGTTCAATCGATGTAATTCAAATTACGTTACAACTAATATAAACAAAGCAACACAAAAATCACAAGCATACTGCAAGGTGCGGGATATTAGCTAGTTTTGGAAAAGTTAGCAGCAATCAGGAATGTCAGGAAATCGTTGTCAAATGTATTACAAAAGACTGAGAAAATGACGAATTTTTTTAACAAGTTCGTCTTTATTGCATTAACGCATAAAAAAAGTTTATTACAAAAACTTTTTAATTTATCTGGCAAGATTTTCATATTACCTAAATTGTAATAGTAGATTTATGCTGTAAAGGTAATTAATTAATCGGTTTTGCATATGAGAAAGCACAATTATTTGAACAGTACAGTTTTTTGGTTCTAAGCATAAAAACAAACAAACACAAAACAACAGCTTTCACGTAGAAAAAGTAGTTAGACAGTGACAAGTACGTAGAGAATTAACTTAAAAGAAAAATCGAGATAAATAGAGATTATTATCAAACGTACAAAATTTAGCTTATACAAGGAATGATAATATAAGTCCAAGGCAATGTCAAACATGCTAAAATTGTAAACTTGGTTTATGAAAAATATAAAATGCATCATCTACTCATGCACTTTAGTATATTTTGCACCTAGGGAGTAAAAAACAATTTTTTGTGAATCCCCCGGCCTAAAGTAACATTTTCATTTCGCTTATGCGGGAGTAAAATGTTACTTTAGGTTGGGGTGGCACAAAAAATAAGTATCCTGCTAGCTCAAGCTCTTTGTCGTCAAAAGATGGTCGCAATTCGCGGTTTTGAATATTGAAAACGATTTTTTATTACCTATCTGACCAGCGATTATTCAGACTCAATTATACTTCTTTTATTACGGATTTAAAATTATAATTGTAAATATTAATGATTTCATTAAGATATTAAGTTTTTAACGTTGCTAAAATAAAAATATTATTATGAAAACGTGTGTACATAATAACAGTCACTTTCTGATGGTACGAGTATGTAATATTAAATCTATAAATTGTACGTTACTTTTGAATCACAGGCAGTGAGCACATTTGGTAATGATAGAATATAGTAAGTACTTTACCAAGTTAATCTCAACTATTTCAAACTATTATTTTATTTTATATGTAAAATATATTTACCTAATAATAATAGTAAATGTCAATTTGAGGCATTGTATTTTTTTATAAAAAAAGTTTCGCTAATAAAAATAAATGCTATATCTAATTATTACCTACGAATTTTTTAAGTAATCTTATTCTATGTACAATTGGTGACTTTAAATGAAGTTTTAACTTGATTTGTGTAACTAAAATTTCGGTTTACTACTCTGCGGAGGTGCAGGCGGAGGTGGCGGTTTTTTCTCATAAAAGGGAGCAGGGGCTTTATTTATCGGCGGCGGCGGAGGCTTTTTATCATACACTTTAGGTGTCGATTTGGAAGACACTAAATTAGCCGTACTCGAAGCAGTAGAAGGCGTAACGTTACCACTTTGATGTTGCTGCGGGTCTACCTTAAGATCTGTGTTAAGTTTGAGTCCTTTGAAATTATTCGGATGCTGCTGCATATCACGAATATGTTCAGCGAGTTTTATGCCTAACTCGGTTCTTAAAGGACTTGAGCGTTTCTCGAGATTTCGCGCTTGATTACTAAAATTGCTATCATCCGAGCAAGCGGACCGCCTAAACTCGATCTGACTACTGCCGTTTATGGCTTCTGGGTTAGTTGTCGACACGAGATCGCGTTTAACTATGCGAATTTTATCACGTAGTAGTGTATTATTTTTATCACTTATACTATAGGGCTTTGAGCTAGCATCAGTGGTCACCATGGGTGACGGTTGGACTGTCGATCGTGGTTTCACGGGGGAAAATACGCGCTGCAGGAAGTCGAATTTGCGCCGACCGTCAGACTTAGAGCGTAGCCGCGGCTTGAAGCAATCTACACACGATACGTACGTTGACATCGGCCCGTTGGCTTTTTTCCACTGCTTCATGCTTGCACCGTTGTTGCGCGCGTACCAAACACCGAACGAGATGATGGCTATTGCTGGTACGATGCCCAGGAAGATTATGTACAAGCTCATAATGTATTCACTCCTCGCTGAAAAGTGACAAGTTTTTATTAATTCGGTGTTCAAATGAGCTGTTATTTTTAAAGATATGCGAGTGATGTATTAATGTAAAGAGTAGTTTTAACTACCGTTAGGGTCTTCTGCGGGGCCGCTGTCCAATGATCCACCGACTCCAGGTTGTGTGCAATCAGGAGGTTGGTAACCTCGATTGCAATGGCAGTGTCCAAGACTATTGCAAATTCCATTACCACTACAATTATTTGGGCAAGCCTTACCGTCGAACAAAGATTGCTTCAAATCGGCCGCTGATCTGCATTTTTGATTCACGCACATCTATCAGGAAAAAATACGTGGAGTTATGTTTTTTTTTTGTATCAACGTAAAAATGCGTAATGAAGTGGAATAAACGAAAAATACCTTTTTAGGGCCGCATTTGGCTCCGTCAGGAGCTAGACCAGGGTCAACCTGATTTAGTCCTAAATCTACTATGGCTGATCTACATGGTATAATTTTGCCTTGACTATTTATAAATGAATGACTGAGCACAGCTACGTTCTCCATACCAAATTCCAATCTCTCATTTAAATGCTTGCAGTGGAGCATTCCACAAAGTGAGTGTCTGTATAACGAGAAGTTTGGAAAAATTGAGATAACGTTGAAAAAGGAAATTTTGTAAGCGCTCAAGGCTCAAAGTAAACTTACTCGTCTTCACATTTGATGTAATCGTTGAGTGTTCTGTTGAATCCACAATTTCCATTCTTGGAACCTTTGTTATTCAAAAAGTAACACAATTCATCGGACGACGAGCCGGTCGGACCCCAAAGCAGTTTACACTGATCGTTGTGGGTTCGACAACTGCCCTGATAGCAGAAGGCCTTGCCGGAATTGCAAACTTCGCCGTCGATCTTGAAAACATCCTTGGGACAGTACTCGCTCTCACCGGTACAGTACTCGGGTAAGTCGCACTCCTGATCAGCACTGCGGCACTCTGTACCGGCCTTCTTGGGTCGGCAAGTCTTCAAGTCGCAACACTGACCGGTGGCGCACGAGGCATTGTAATGCAGCATGCAAGTGAGCGGATCGCAGCAAGGATTGTCGCAGTTCTCCTCCAGGCCGCAGTCGCATTGCTCTCCGGGTTCGACAAAGCCATTGCCGCAGATCGGCGCCTCCAGCAGCCGAGTGGGTTTGTTGCGTAAGCAGTAATCCATGCCGTGTTCGAAGGCCAAAGCTAGATACTCCAAAGAACAGCTTGACCAATGGGTCGGTGCCATCGGACCAGTTGACGAAGCCATGATGCACCTAAAACGGTACAAAAATGTATCCGAGTTTTGATGGAATCTTTTAAGTAAACCAGTGGGACGAGGTTTGCGATAGCCAAAAGGTGGAGATTAATTATTTCGATCTGTCAGGTGTAAAATGCAGAAGCAGATCGGTGTGATTGCTCAAGGCCATGGCCTCGACCATCGTCTCACTCGACTCTCACCTGTCCTCCGGGCAATTGCATTCGGTCGTGTCATGCTCCATGCCAAAGTTGTGACCCATTTCGTGCGCAACAGTGGCAGCCACTATGCCAACTACTCGGGAGTGATCAACCGAAACGCCGCCGGAAAATTCATTGGTGCAGATCGGACCCTTGAGAGCTTTACCGATGACTCCTTCATCGAAGTGCATCTTGCTGTCAGGAAAAAAAAGAAAGGTTCATTAGTATAGCTCTTGCGCGCATGACACCGCGAGGAAAAGAGATTGGATGAAGAATTTCGAGTGCACTCACACGAGGAGCTGCGCATTGTCGTTGGGAATCTCTCGGACTAGCACGTCCTTACGGTATTGCAGAAAATTCTTGAGCGTCTGATCACCGTTGTTCACTACGGCTATTTTGTTGACGTCCGTCCAGACCTCGATGCCTACCAGGGCAACGAAGATGTTCAACGGCGCGTAAAGCTGCAAACAGAGACAGAAATTGTAATCGACTGCGATCGAAAGCGTTTGCAGTCGAGGAAAAATGTCTTTGTTGCTACTCACGGCATTGATGATGTTGGCGATATCCTTGCAGTGCTGGTCGACTCTGGTACGATTTTTGTTGAGGGACCAGTAGCCGTCGTAGTCGATGACGAGAACGAGCTCGATGTAGCGAGAGTGTCGATTGGCGTTGTAGGGACCGCGTATCGATTCCGCAGCTCGCTTATGCTACAGTGCGAGAAAAAACAGAAAGAAAAAGGAGGCGTGAACTTTGGAATACTGTTGCTCCGGCTACGTACTGCTGCTCTCGTTGCGGTCTCTCTTTGTCGCGTGCTCCCAGCCAACCGATACATAAACCGACGAGCTTTGCCACTCGAGCTTTCCGAGAAAAGTAAAAGTAATTTGCATCGTAGCGTGTCGGAAACAAGGCAGCAGCGAGCACAACACTCGCGCGTCATTTTTTCAAGCACACCATCGACTGTATACGTTTGAGACTCGCAATCGAGTCGCAAATAACACAGTGATTTTGATTCGCGCCCGTACCTATACGCGCGTAAGCCCCGGCAAACAACGCGATCGACCGAGAGACTCCGGGACTCTCGTTGTTCTTCTTAGACTGACGGAGTAAATATGTTCGTAGGTTGGCTGCGGGAGCTTCGGAGCAGCACTTCGTACGCGTCTCGGTCGACTTGTGTGCAAAGCCACACTGTGTGCTGTACTGCAGAAATAGTCGTGTTTGCAAACTTACCCTTGAGATTCTCTCGGTCCTCGTCTCCGGCGGCGATGTTAACTTCTGAGAGATGTGATGAGGCGTTCCTTCGTATCCTGCCAATCAAATTAGACATAGTATTTAATCGCGCCAGTTCACTATCGCTAAACGAGACTTTTTTTATTTTTACTTGATAGTTCTATTCCGAACTTGCTTCGTAGCGACAAACTTTTACCGAATGAGATCGTGTTCGGGCGGAAAGCAAACAGAAAACTCCGCCTTTTTTCTCTACCGACGACAGTAACGTACGCGTATATTTATACCCGTTAAAGAGAAACTCACTCTTCGTTAAAAGCTTTTAAAAGCACAAAAACGGTGAGACTTTGCGTTCAAAGACGGATAGCCGTCAATAAATGAGCTTCTGAGCGCTTTTGACTCTCTCGGCCGTATGGTACTTTTATCATTTGTTGTGGAAATGAAAGATGAATTTTCGTGCCGGCGAATCTGTCCGTCAGCCTCGTTTCTAGGATAGCGAGTCAGTCATGCGAGCAATGACACTTCTTTATGCCCTGCTTATATACGTGCTTATACAAAAAAAGAAGCAGAACACGTTGTCGAGGGCCACTACCGGTGTTGCGAACCTTCGACAGCGCGTATTCGAGTAAAGGAACACGTCCAGAGGAAAATTTAGCCGCAGCACCAGCAGCGGTGATGCACGAGCTTTTACGAGTCTGCTGTCGACTCTCGGCTGTGAAGCGAGTCGAGAGCAGGTTGTGAAAAGCTCACATACGCGGAAGGGGGCATGCATAAATGATAAGTCTATGTAAATGAGAGTTTTCCACCTCTACGGTCTAGAGATAGCAGTAGCAACAGAGGCAATGGCACAGCCTACTCTCAAGCTCTGTGTAACTGAAAACTATGCTTTTATCGCGACGCGCCAACGTCCGACAGGTACAGAGGAAGAAAAAGTTGTCACGCGTACATCGGCTGCTTGCTTATTTGACGATGTGTTTGCCAAAGTTCGAAGCCATGTATAGCTCTTTGCTTTCTGACAATTTCCAGAATGATTGTCGAATCGATATTAACCTAGCAGCTCATTAATTTATAGGCTCAGAGAAATGTCGATCTTACCACAAGTGCCGTTAGCTAATAGGTGGGAGTGCTTATATAAGTAGTGCGCAGCTTGTAAAGACTCTTGTTCCGGTTGAATGTGGTGCATCATTTTTCCGTCAAAGATTACGCCCTTGAGGCCGTTGCAAGTTGACACGGCTACCCATGAGTCTGGTATGTCCCTTATGCTGCCCTGATAGTGACATAGTTCCTACAAAAACAAGTTTTATTGAAATGATTTATATTTTTATTTTTTTATTGAAAATTATACTTTAACAGTTGATAGTTATATATTTTACGATTCCCGTGCAAAAAAGTACGCTTACAATATGCATCGATCGAGATATGCATGATTGTGCGCGTATACTCGTTGCCGCTGTTTACTCTTTTTTTATCTCGACTGTGCGAGATGGAGCTGCAAATACAAGCTCGAATAATAATGAACTGTTTTTCTATGCTCCGTCCCTCTTTCTCGAACGCCTCATCTTGGTTCGAATACGAAAGGCCGATATCGTTTCACAGCGACGTCCGCTGATGGTGCGATACATTTGTATACGCATATAGGCATCCGAGCGCAAATAAATACTCGAGCTTGAAATGGGATCGTTTTGCCTATGAGCATATTACACGCCCGAACGCGCAAAGAAGCAAACTGCGTTGGTTTCAATTCCTTCTTCGTAAAAATGCTCACTCGCTTTTAAGCGAATATTCAAAATTGTTATACCTATGAGTACACGCAATAAAACTCACCGTTTTAACAGGTGCGTGTGTTTTGGTGCGACCTTCGTGCTGATAGCGTTCCTTGTAACCCACAGGTATGAGATCCCTGTTTAGTTTCAGATCAAGAATGCGACTGATGCCGTCGATCTCGATTCCAACGCTCAGCAGCTCCGTATGCTGATTGTCATCCTGTGAAAATAATTTAAGTAACAAAATAATTTAAGTAAATGGTCAATAATCGTATGCACTCGATATTTCATTGTTAAACTGTGAAATGGAAAATGAAATGAATGGAGTACGTAATTAAGTTGCATAAATTCTAAACACCTCGTCAATTATACACGCGCGCGAGGCATTGATAAATTCAATTCATGAAATAAATATATAGCAGCTACCTTCATGTGCACCATCGATCGCTTTGTTAAAAAAGCGAACGGAGTCGTGCCATCTAAAAAAAAAAGGTAATGTACGGCAGTCGCGTAGCATGAGTTCTGCGCACGAAGTCATACAATAGAATATAAGCCGCAAAATCATTACCCGCGAAGTTGATGAAAAATTTCGCGCACGCATCGCGTCGTACAATGGCACGGAAAATACAATCTATCTCCGGATCTATAATAAAGCTGAAAAAGCAGCAACGTAAGGACAATTAAGCCGCGGTGGCGCTTAAGCCTCTCTCTCAACTCGTAAATCAGCTTGTGAGCTCGGAAAGTCTCTCTCTCTCTCTCTCACCGCACTACGAGTTCAATTTACTCGGGAAATATCGTGAAGACTATTATACAGCTCTGAGAGCATAAAGTATAAGCACTTGATGATTTTCAGCGCACCCATATATTCCAAGTCATTCGGCAGCTCGTTTAAGGTAACAGCTGAGACGTGATGCGCGTGCCACACGCAACATCTGCAGGCGGCGGCGGTGGCGCGTGGCCCAACGATCGGGCAATAGGTAGCAGGTGTCTCCCGACGGCGCACGCCACGCATCTCTTTCCGAAGATTATCGCACGTCGCGAGCAAGCTGCAACAACCTGCAGGTGCAGCAAATGCGTAGCTGCCGCGAGCCATCGAAAACGCAACAAAGAGAATGCTAAACGCGACAAGTGCAGGGCGCGCGAGCAAATCTTGCTGCGGAGCTCAAAAATCGAGTATGCCTCGACGTGACTTCCCTCGTAATTTCCTGCTCTTAGGTCCTTATTTTCCAACAATTGTTCAAAAGCTGCGTGAAATTCACGATGAGCTTGCTCGGGGCCAGAAACCTTTACACAATTGCAGCGCACATTACACGTCGACTCGGCTTACATTTGTGCTTGAATTAATTACGCGCAAACTTGGTGCGCACAAGTGCACGTATTTATGCGCTGCGTGTAACAGCCGCACGAAAACAATGCAAACTTCACGATGAACTATATAGCATGCATATTGAGAGAAAATCAGACGCACATTTGCGGCAAAGATGCGCGCCTGAAGTCGGCTGCGAGGAAATTGCATTATCATTAAATTCACTTTATAATTAGATTCTTCGTTGCGCACGTAATGCATTGTGATGTACCAAGCTCTCGCAGACCCTTAAAATCGTACAGTTGTACGCGGTAAAATCGACGCTGGAGCTTGCAACGAGTGTCACATGAACAGAAGTAATGCGGAGCACGCTACATGGATGAAAGTAGCAAAAAAATATCGAAAAAACGAAGCAGTTTATATTACAGTTTGTATCAAGTCAGAAATCGAATAAGTACGTTAGTTCTTATAGTCAGAAGAACGTAGACGGAAATTGAAGCTAAGGGCGAGGAGCAAGCGCAAGCAAACCGGCAAAGAGAACGGATCGAAGGTGCGAGCCTTGAAGGATGCTCGCTATATGTGCACATTCCCCGAGAAAACTCGTGTAACTCTCATACGCTCACCAAGAGTCAAGAGTTTGGTAATGAGATTTGAGTTGATAGTTCAACGCAGGGTACACACGCGGCTGCAGGGTGTGTGTGCTCTACGCTTATATACATGTATGCACTCGTTACCCCCGTTATATTCACGAGTGCAGCTGCATAAGACGAGCAGAAAATATGAGAATTTTCCTGCGCTAAACCGAGATTATGCATACGAGATCGAACAGTTGCCGCGCAAACTTTTCTGCCTCGAGGTAACTCGCGTTAGAGCTTCGGGAGCCGGCACACCAGCCGGCATATAATTGGTACGCGACGAGCGACGTCGCCGCGCAAGCTGCAACGGAATATAAGGAAAATCTCCGCTCCGGTTAAATCTTCGAGAGAGAGAGAGAGAAAATCTCCTGCCACCTCCGAGCTTATGATATTTGAAATTCTCCGTCGAGCGGGGACACGAACTGAGAGTACGAAAAAGCGACTAGGCGACATTCGATAAGCAAAATTCGTACGTAACAATTTCGCCTAGGATTATCTGCGCAGGCGAAATAGCGCTCGAGCTTCGTGCCTGGGTTTCAATTTAAATTTCGAATTTCAGTCGCGTTCGTTGTACACGCTCTGGAACGAATGTTGGCAGCAAAATGTCTCTTCGGCAGCAACGCATACCAAGTCTTGCGTTCGCGCACCAACACCATAACAGCGGAAGAGCGCCACTGATTTTTTTATCGGGCACGAAGGAAGGAAGTAACGCGCATGCATTGACAGTCTCCTAACAGCTGCAGGAAATAACATTTATTCGGCCGACTTTTTTAACAAACGATGATTCATATTTTTTTCATCCCATTTTGTGAGGGCTGTAATTTATCGATCTTCGACGCTATTGAGGATTTCAAAGGCGACGATGTGAAGTAAAATCAGAGACAAGTTTAACTCTCGTATCTAGAACTGGTACGTATGATTACAAGCTCGGGTGAGCTAATCATTTATACGCGTCAATCTGCGAACGTCACGGCTATCATCGATCATCGAGTGTCAACCGCGACAAACTTCAACGCATCATCGCTCATCGCCGTCTGCGAGCTCATATTGCGTCGCTCGAAAGCCTATTAGAATATAAAATTTAATGGTCTCAGGTATACGTAGAAAAGCAAATCATCTTACAGTTAAACAAAGGTGCACTCTAATTGGCTCCGTATAGAAATTCGAAGGTGGCGTTTTTGGAAAGCATCAGTTGTTTTTTTTCTCGATCGACCACTCGAGTCGAAAAGAGCAATACAAACTGAGAACTATGTGAGAACTACAAGCCACCCACCAAATTTTTTCTCTACTTTGATTCTCTGGTATATTTAATGAATAATTCAATCGAGCTAATCGGTTCTAGTTAAAATGATCTATGATCACAATGCCAATTACTGTCTAGCCTGGCAGAGATTGATTCGTGTTTATTGAAATTAGATATCCAAGAATCTATCTAAAACAAACGATTGATTGTGGATCTGTGTGTCGAAAAAAAACTTCTATTGCGATGAAACTTTAAACAGAAAAAAGTCATCATGGTAATGGAAAATAAAGATCGCATCTATATAAATGGCGAATCGCCGATCGTTGAATAGTAATTTATTAAAAATTAGTTTCACTGTTTCTAAAAAAAGTATGTTGAACGATGGTAATAGCATTAAAAAGTAAATGAGAAAAAAATAATAGAATGATTATTTTTAACTTTTGATCACTCTAGTAGCTTATATTTTTCGCGGTCCAATAGCTAAGATGTTAAAATTGAGTGAGATTGATGGTAATTCATGATGTTTGCGCATTTTTCAATAAGACTATACTACTACTTGTGATGATTAGTAATTTTTATTGAGCTAATATTTTTTCGTGGACCAGTGATGTGTTGTGATTTATTATTCACTTTTATTTCAATTCAAAAATATTACATAAGATCAGTACAAAAAGCATTAAAATCTCATCGGTAAATTTTTAGCTGAATCATTAATAAGCAATAGAAAGATTTTCAAATAAAAAAAAATAATAATAATAATAATAATCGTGATATTCATAATATATCGTCTTACAAATTTCTCCAACAAACGCGTCATCAAGTTTATCAGTATATGCTACAAACGACAATATAATGAGGATTGGAATTGCATCAACTGAGAAAAAAATTCAGAGCATCATGAAAATTGAAGAGCAGTAAACTTCACAATTCCACCTTTATGCTCGTATTCCAATTATCAATAAGATTATCAATGCAAGTAAGTAATAATGTACTACCTATCGAGATTCATTGAAAAAAGTATATAATTGCTTGTTAACCATTGACTAACAATAAAATTTGTTATACTTCTTTACTTTATGTTTCCGTTACTTGATTATTTAAAAACAAGAGCAGATATTGGTTTATTTTATAAAAAGTTGAAATGAAATATACTAAGATTAATTTACTGCATTTATTAAAAATTTTTTAAAAATTACTATATTCAATAACAGAAAATCACGAATGTGGCAATTTTTATGATAGGCCTTATATTTTTTTTATTTAAAATGAATTAATTTTAATTTCATTCATGAATTCAATCTATTAACGATTCTATATTAAAAGAAAGAGATACCAGAGAGTAGCGAGGGCAATGCGTAACAAATCAGTAGTAAACTCATCTTTGGAAACGAAACAAAGAAAAATTGCAAGAAATAACTGAATTTATTTTATAATGTAATGATAATCGCTCAAAAATGTATATAATAGTGACGGCGTATACTACATGACTATTTACGCTTGCTTATGATGATGCCAAGGTTTGCTAGATAACGTGAAAACTAGATTTTGTGCTATTCCATCCATTGTATACGAAGATTTGCGAAAAATTATTCAACATTCAACGTCTTACAACGATTATTTGCTTTAAATAGATGCGAGCGTTTATTCTAGCGCCCTCGAATCAATCGCTTGATTAATTTCTCTTTCGGATTCGTATAGCTGCTCAATGTTTACGTTTCAAATGGCTATGCAGATGGCTTCGCGTTAGCTTCGAGTTTTAAACTCTTGCTTCGAGCTTTGGCTCTCGTTTCTGAAATAACGCTCACCACGCTTAGATTATAACTCCCTCGACAGGCCATGCTCTGCAGTTTATGTTCTGCAAATGCAGCCGCAAACCTAAAAATATAACTCTATAATTTCTTTCATTTGAACGAATCGTCCTACGAGTCGAGGGTAATGTTCGGCTGCGATATTCAACAAGATGTATTAAACTTTGAAAAAAAAGTCACCCTTATATTACTCATGGTGAAATTCAATTTAATTTTTCTTTAAAAATTAATCTTTTACTCAAATATGCTTTCGGATCAAAGTATTTAGTACTGCGCAGAAAATATGAGGCCTTTGTGCAGGGAATTTTAATTAGCAATGTCTGGTGTAGTGAACCACTTTGTTCTATTGTTTGTAAAATCATCGTCTATCTGAGCAAGCGACATTAAGTATATACGCAGCAGCAATTTGAAATTAAATTCACTACCATTCACTTGCTATACATTACGTTGTTATTATTGTTAATATTATTATTATTATTTTTATGAATTTCAACGCTAAGCATGTCATGAGCGAAATGAATCGATAGACTTTACATTACATTTATTCGAACGAACTATCATTAGAGACCAATCATTGGTTGACTCAATAAGAACTTGTGGAACGAGGTTCGCAATCAAAATTTCTGCGTCTGTTTAGTGAACATGACTTGATGAAATAACGCAACCAAGGATTAAATTGTGATATAGAATTTTTCTTGACTATCAAAATGATTTTTGAACATCTGAATCAAAGTTATTAATTGCAACAAATAAGCTCCAGCTGATAGCAGAAAATTGCGAATATCGGAAATTCATCCATTGTTAGAGAGTAAAAGAACCCCTCGGCGTAAAATTAATCCCCTCAGCAAGAGAAATAGGGCTCCTACATGTGTGAATGCTAACCAGAAATATCCACTAGCTTCGGAAAACACATTTTTGTGCGTACATAAGTTGATACGCCCCCGCAACGTGAGAATACAGCATTACGAGTTTACTTTTATACGGCCCAATAGCTGTTGTATATTCCAATTCTCTTGTATAGGGCTACTTTATGTAAGTCACGCTATTGGCCACTGCTTTGATATTAACTTTTTTTCAAAACATTATCAAAGTACAAGTTGATTGTGCATTTAAACGTCGCTTATAGGTATTGAAATCATGATTGTTATATTAATTAATCATTGAAACATCGATGCAATTAGGAGAAGTTATAAATGACGAATATTTCAGAAATTATTTAAGCGTTACTAAAATGTTCACTTTTAACAGTTTTAAATTTAATTATTTTGTTATGAAAATATGAATAGTGTAAAAACAAGAAGTTACAAAGTTTAATGTGCAACTAGCAATTCGACAGACTCAGTTTGACTCGTACACTCGTACGTATACTCGTACACACATTCTTATGAATAATCATGGATTTTTGTTTTTTTTGAATTATACGGTCTTAAGCGATGAACTATACGTTATATTTATATTTCATAAACATCCTTAACATGTAAACATTTTTTAGCTTGCTCGACTTTGGAACTCATACTGAGTTCAATTTGGCGACCCAATTTGTTGTAATCATCTTTTAGCAGGAAAAAATAATCATTTTTATGTCTATAGATATATCCTAGAATTCGCCATCAATAATTCACAAACAACGATCAGCGTAAGTTAATTTTAGTTTGCAAGTGAGATCGAGTCGTACATAAACCAGTTTAAAAACGATCCATCTGTATTGTGTCAATAGTAAAATTCAAGTGTCAAAATTTGAAATTCTGTAATTTGATCAAAATAGTTGCAGTAGATTTTCCAAAAAATATTTTGAAAGTTTTATATCAAATTACAGTAATATAACCAAGAATTTATCTACGAATAAAAATTGTAATATTTTAGCATCGAGTATTAAAAATTTGCATTGCTACAAATCCAAATACCTTGAGTAAATTTTTTTTCTAAAGAAAATATAGGTTAAGTTCCATAAAATACGTAATAAATCGCGATGACCATCAATAATACGATTCTCGCAGATTTGAACTTAGTAGGTATGTTGGTCCATGGCACGATATTATCTGTGCCATCATGCATCTCCCTACCGAATATATACGGGTACTGTGTCGGGACTCAAATATAGTAGAGCCATTATATCCGGCTGATCATTCCAGTCGGGACGATAAGACATTGTCGATGCAGGAATATGCGGTTTTTGCCAGGTGTGCGGACAAAACATACTTCATAACAGGGTCAGAATGATAGGGGAAAGCACCCAAAGACATTTCTAACATTACAATGAGAATTTTTTCCATCTCATGAAGTTATTGGACGAATACTTGACACTTAATTCCAAAGATCAATGCAGCTGTAGTTTGCCAGCCATATGGGGAAATAGATTTGTATGAAATTTCAATTTGAAAAAATGGAAATTAATAAAATAAAAGTTATCCCAAATACACATTACAAAGATTTTTTCCTTATTTGTTATATTGTTGAAGCCTGTTTTAGAAATCATGTTGAGTAACGATTATACACAGACTGACTTGTCTGGTAGGGTTGCTAAGTTTATATATAAACTCTTAAGCGTACCTTGCAGTATCGAGGCTCTTACAACTATAAACATAGAGCGATCACGGGTTCTCGATTGAATCGCGCTGGTTTCCCTTTACACATGGTCAAACAAAGAACTTTGTAATCGATACGTGGCATTTGCGCAGATTTTTCTTGTAAATGAATAAACAACTAGATACATGTCAATTAGATTGTAAAAGAATAAAAATTTCGTATTGAAAAAGAATGAGCAGTCACGCGATGAGTGTAAACGTGGATGACGCTATTAAATCATACTCACGGCGAACTCGATGCGTTTTGTGCGATCAGTGAAAAATTTACGCGTGGCCGACTTGTTGTGTGGAGACTATAATATACGCACCAGCCGATAAATCAGATTTTGAAAAATGATTTTTTTAAGCCACTCGTGCGGCAGTGGTGGCGGCATCGAAAAATAATTTGGCCCGCAACATTGAATCACATCGTCGAGCGCATTAATCACGTGAGAGCAACGCGCGGCTATCGCCGAATATTATTCACGTACGTACACAACTGGGTCATTCATAGGTTCCTGGGCAGCAGCGATCGGTCGTGAGGTAACGCGAAAAATAGTTGGCATTCTCCATTTGCATAGAAATGTTTATATACGCTATCGCAAGCTCGCAGTGTGTTACACACTGTTCAACAAGAGCCGCTGCAACACGCACGGAAATATAATAGCAAGCAAACGATCGTCGCCTGGGGCGCATTTCCGATCGGTGGAAAGCTCTAGATTTGTACGCCGAATCTTTTTCTTTCTGCGGCTATTCGGTGAATTGTTTTGACGCTTTTATCCTTCACTTGCGCATACTTACAAAATGGCTTCTCCGCGAAGAAAATTCAAGTGTGAAAGCGAGAAAAAAAGCTGCGAGAAGCAAGAAAAACTTCGAAGCGTCTATATGGGAGAAGAAAACTTTGGCAATAAAAGCCAAAACCGGTTTGTTAAGAGTTCGCTTCGACTAGGAGAAGATTTAAAGAAAATATGAGCTTGTCAAAGAGCGTCCAATTTTCGATTATCTTTTCACCTTTCTAATGAATCATTATGTGTGTGCACAAAGTGAAATTCTCGTAACGAGAGTTCATGTACGTATAAAAGTGTAAAAACATTTTCGCGAATAATGGTCGCGAGCGAGCATCATTCGTTGTCGTCGTTATAGTTGCACTCGTATAATTGCTTAGGTTTCTTATAATCGGCGACTATTTCCATATAATACCTCGCTTAGCGCGCATAAAAAATTTGTTAATGCGGAGTCACGACTGTGCAGTACATTAATTTCCGCAGCTCTAAACATGCCGTTGAAAACGCACTGCGCATTACACTTGTATGTTCGTATATGCTCGAGAACCGAATTATATGGTAGGCATTATCGACTTGTAGTGTATACTCACGCTTTCTTTGGTCGAGCTGATCTCTCGCTTGCTTCTGGCATGGTAGACCCGTGGCCTGACAATGCTGTACTCGCTGAATTCGCTCGATGGACCTGCAAGCAAGAAGAGAAGAAAAATCGGTTATAATCGGTGGCACATAGAGCTTTGTGTAAGTAAACTTGCATTGCTACTGCAACAAGGCGAGAGCCATTTGACAATAAAAACAAAGTTCTCGCACACAGCAAAGCTTTATATTTCATAATCAAAGACAGAATTTACAATAATGCAATTTTATATTGGTTGTCTCGTTTGATTTTGATGTTTTGTTAAAAAATTAAAACTACAATAGAGCGTTTATTGAATATCTAGATAAAGTAAATAAACGAAACTGTCAAATTATGAACAGAAAATTAGAAAAAAATAACTTTATACTTAATATAGAAACATTGCAGATATTCGTAAACACAAAAATAAAAAAGTATACCAGACAACTTTGACCAGATCAGTTCTAATGGAAATTATTGCATAAAATTGCTATACCTGTAAACGTCACAATAAAGTGTAAGAAAACTTGCTGGAAAGTAGTTCCATTAAATTTTTCATTAAGAGACATCAAAAATATATATTTTGGCAAATATATGTAACTGAACTCACTGTGCAAGTCATAAATTCAAAGTCTATTATAGATGGGTTTCGTTTTGAAACGTGGGGTCATGTAATATCTATCGTATCATGCTGGCGAGCATGAAAAATCAATATAAAAGTTCCTAGGTTTGTATTTGTTCTATTAATGTCACATGTTCACTAACACTTACTATATGCAATCATGGATTTTTATTTTTACGTGACAGCGTTGAACTCGCTATGTTCGCGTGGATACTCTGCGTGTGCCCGTATCATTCTCAATTTTCCTCACTCGTTGCAAGGTATGCTATTAATTTTAATGCACCTATTATAATTGTTAAGTCTATTCAAATATACGCAGCCAGAGATACTTTTACATCAAAGCTTAAAACAAAATTACTCCGGTGACATTGAAAGGATAAATTCAATTTCGATTCAAATTATGTTCAAATTTGAAAAAAGGGAGCATAAAATAATTATATAGGTGATATATGGCCCTTAGTTGAATCGGCGTACGACAATCTACGAGCTTATATGAATTCCTTTCCTCGTGATAAAAGCCAAGATTAAATTTCAATTTTAAAATAAATTAGGGTTGCTTTCCCGTTTTCAAAGAGACTAATGTAATATACAGCTGCACTTGAGACTTCAATCAATTGTAATTGTATAAGGGAAAATTTAAAACCTCATTGTCGATTTTAAAATTTATTTCAAAGAAAAATGCTATTAGTTCATTGCAGGGCAGACGTAGATATGAACTGAACTGATATAAAATTTAATGTAATTGAAAGTGTAAGCGGTAAAGAAATGTTAAATTCGATGGTTCAAGAGCAAAAAATGTAAATAGTAAACTTGAAGTTTATCAGCAGGCAATAGAAAATAACTATTATGTAATAGTATGACGAAAAATACCTTTTTTAGTGCGCAAAAAGCGTTTTTTAACGCTGGTGTGCGGTAAAATGCCTCGTTTAAAATGAAAGTATTTTTCGCTTACTATTGCATAAAATTTTGTATGCAACACGTGCCCAGCTTTTTCGCCAAAACACCTTTTGGGCACTTGTTGCATAAATAACTATTTTGTTATAAGAGGATGGCAAAGCCAACTCAACAATTATATTGTCAACCTATGCAATCACTTTTAAAGTATATTACTTTGAAACTAAGTCCAAAATAATATAAGGTTATGTTTTTGAAAGTGATGTAAAAATAATAGTTTTTAGATTCAGTTATAAGGTTACGGTCGTTAGCAATCTTCTGGCTTCTCAAATAATTGTAGCTATATTATTGGAGTTATAAATGTTTGTATATGGGGCAAGAAAGTAGCATACAACTACACTTGGAAGTCTAACCAAATAACATTAGTTCTAATTATGTTCCACTTGGGCAGGAACTAGCCAAAAAACGGGAGCAGTTCGCATACTTTTCTATACTTTTTAAAAGAACAACTAGCACAACTGGGGGGTCGTCCCTTTCTGCTTACTTACTCAAGAGTACAACTCACTGTAAAAACAGTTAAGAGTAAACGTAATCTATAATTCTTGATTGATATTGAACAAAAGTAACTTTTCTTAACTAATATTCCTTTGTTATTCGTATACGGCTATCTAATCTTCACTCATTTCCAAATCATGCCTTACCCATAAGCATGATGACAAAGTTAATTAGCATCATTTTTTGTCAAATAATGAATAATACGTGAGTATTTTATGCAAGACAGATCTTAGTCATCTGCTTGTTACACGAGACATTCCTCGCTACTTCCTCACACACGGTTTATGAGAGTCAAAGATGACATAAAATACGAGCTTCAAGTGGTAAATTTATAGTACACTTTGACTAATATGTAGGTATTTCAAAAACTTAAGTTAAAGATGTGATTCATAGTCACCACAAGTGTAAGAAAAAACACCATTGGAAAATCAAAGATCTTTTTCAAAGTCAATAGATATATTGCTGATTCGGACATGATAATATTATCGATAAAAAAGGTTCCAACACATATAAAGTGTAATTTAAAAAAAATAATTAATCAACTAAATCCGCGTGTCATTATTGATTTATATACAACGACATTATACGTGAAAGTTAAAAAAAAATATACCTGTTCAATCATAACCAAAGAAATGTGTGATTATAGAATTAAATGCACTGATCAGCAAATCTGAAAATCAACTTACGTAATGAGTCTGCTCTAAATTAATCCAACATGACGATAATGATGCCTTGTTATATAAACACTGCAGCTTCTGTCTATATGGTTAGTCGGTTGAACGTGTAGTTAAAAGAGTACATCGGATCAATTCCATTAAAGTTACTTATTCGAAATGAATAATTAGTAAGATGTAGCGGTGAGTTTACAGAAGTAAAAAAGGACTGTTGCACACTTAAAGCTCTTTACCAACTTTAACAATTTCGAGCTAAAAATGAACAACAACCGATAAGTAGATAGTAGATTTGAAATGATATCGAGCAGTAGGATCTGAAATCATTCAGTGTCTATTGCCAAGATTTAAGAGTTTTCCTGTTTTCATTTAAGGAAAGTTTACTTTTAAAATCCGTTAAAAATTAAATAAATAATTCGACAACTTATTATTTTAAATTAGGATACTAATTTTATGCTGAGAAAGTTGAAACTCCGAATGAATTAATTGATCCCAAAAAAGTAAAAAAAAGGAATTACATTGCGGAACAAGAATCGCTTCTCTCAAGAGTTTCGTGTGTTGTGGTTTGTATCAAATTTTACGATTATTAGTTGAATAGGGTCCAACAAGCATAGCAATTGAATCGACTAACCACAATCCGGAAATTAAAAAAAGGTGAAAAACGAGTGGGGTCCAACGACTCCAAGAATTAACTAAGATTTTTGAGAAATTAAATATATTCTTTTGTTCAAACAATGATACAGTAATTATAAAAAAAAAAACTGTAATTTCATGCACGCTATTACCAAAAATTGAAAATAAGATCGCATTAAAACAGCAAAGAATAATACAAGGCATAAAAGTGAGCTCGGTAATTACTTATTTTTTCTCGGTGCTTTTTGCCAAACGAGAAAAAAAGATTCTCGCGTGCGTCTGCTTGGCATTACTCACACGAACGTGTTTTAATACTATGCCGACGTCTAAGAATAAGAGCCTTATTGTAGAGATGGGTGTCGTTACTGCATGACACATGTGTGTGGCGCCTCGTGAGAAATTTTTATTTGTTTTAACTATATGCGCGATACGCGATGTGTAATTTAGATTTTGAATGCCATTTTCTCGCTCGATTGTCGACACAGTCAACAACTATTTTCATTTTTTGAAAAGGATGCATTACAGCCATTGAAACTCAGTGAATCATAAAATTGACAAGAGCTGTCATTACTTAAACGAAATTAATTCCGTAACTCTAAAACGATGAATCATCGCGGGTAAAGTGCGCTAAACCGGAACTCTAATCCACAAGTGAATATAGAATGGCCTGAAAACGTAATCAGCGAGACACGATCAATAATGCGCGCTAGGCACTAGACGCGCGCGGCGTTATAGCGCTTGAATATAGGCAGTGCGACTCGACCTATAGGCTGGTGCTATGTTCGACCTCGCGGTGCTTTGCCATTGATCGCGGCTGGTTTCATTTTGCCTATGCGACATGCGAAAGGCTTGGATAAGAATTTAGGTGACTTAGCCAGTAGTACGTAAATGTACCGGCGTTTGATCCAAGATTATGCTTCTCGAGCTGCAATTGAAACCTACTACTTTATTCATTTTTCTGTGGCGTTAGGAACAAACAGGTCACACTGGCTCAAGTTTTTACAGTTAAAGATTTGAGTAATTGAGCGCGACCGTAGGTGCCTGTATCTTATTTTCTCCTCTACTTATACTGCAGCGAAGATTTAAAACAAATGTAATTGAATTTCTTCTGACTATGCTAAAATGATTGATAATTTATGAAAGAAGCATTGAAATCAAGTGTGTCCCCCAAGAAGCACAACTTATTCTCATCCCAATAAAAATTAGATTGCAGTGAGCTGTTTGCATCGAGAAACGATAACTATTGTTCTTAGAAATTGCAAAAAGTTAGCGTAATGCACACCAAGTAGAATCACGTATCATAAATGAATAAGTTGAACAATCGATATGTTCTTGCGCATTTGAAACTTTCAAGGTTAACTTGCATGCGCGAGGAAACATAGATCTATGATTGTTTCGCGGCTAAATTACAAGCAGCAAAGTTTTTTAATTACGATAGTTGTTAACGGACGAAAGTAAAATTATCATTGCTTATGCGGACAGACAATGAAAAGCTCGAGAGTAGGCCCGAGAGATACTTCAGAAGTAATATCGTAGGTTCTGTCGTGCAGGCGAGTGGTTTGAAGAAATGGACGCGGAAATACGAATCTCTCGCAGTACGACGCGAAATTACACGACAAAGATGTAGAGGTCTTTTCACATCTCTATTGTCTTGGTCGATCGAGCGGGTATTATGGTCTCTGGGACTCGATGCG